TTTAATAAATAATTATCGCATTTTAAATATAAAAAACTTTATATAAAAAAATGTTAAAAAAAAAAAAATTTATAAATAAAAATCGGATTATATTTTAAAATTATTTAAAAAAAACTTTAAAAAAAAATATTTTATTCGAAAAGTTTTAAATTATTTAATTTAAATAAGTTATAATATCGCGTAAAACGCGCGTTTTAATTTAATTCGGGTTATTTTTTCACATATATTATAATAATTTTTCGAAATTATAAATAAAAAGTATATTTAAAAAAATAGTTTAATATTTAAATAATTATTAAATTATAATTATTTATATATTTATTTAATTATATTTAAAGTAATTTAATATTAATAATAATTATTATTAATTAAACGAAGTTTAATTAATATTATATTTTAAAACGAAATAAAAATATAATAATAAAACGTGGTATTATTATTATTTTTAAATATATATAATAAAATATTATAAAAGTTATTTTAAATAATTTTAATTTACGTACGTTATAAAAGTTATTATATTTTTTCCTTAATGTTTTATATATTTTTTTAACTAATTAAAGCTTTTTATTTTTATTTTATAATTTTTATAACACGTATATATATTATTCTTTTTATAATTTTATATATTTACATAAAAAAAACCTCGCATTTTAATTAACCTTAACTCGAAATATTATTAATTTTTTTATATCGTATTTTATAATATAAACATTAATATATTATATTTTTTTTATATAATCGTTATTAATTTAATTATTAATTTTATTATTTATTTTATCGAAATAAAGTTAAAATTTACTTTTAATTTACTCGTACTTTTTTTAATTAATATACATGATATTAACATTTTTTTTATTTTTAATATTTATTATTTTTCGTATTTCGATTTATATAAAATATTATTACGTTTTTTTATTTTAAATAATAAAAGTTATTATTATATTTTTATTTATAACGTTTATTATATTATAATTAAAAATATTTAATTAAAAAATAATACTTTATTTTATAATTATTTATTTATGTTATAAAACTTTTCGGCTTTTTTAATTAATATATTTAAAAACGATATATTACGTGAAAAAACGTATTATTTTTATGTTTATATAAATTTGTTTAATAAATTATCTATTTATTATTTTTTATTATATATTATTAATATTAATATATTACGTATAAATTCGTATTTTATTATTATTAAATTTTAATATTAAGTTTTCTTTTATAATTATATATTATTTTTATAAACTTTAAATATTTTTCCCGTTTTAATATTAAAAATATTTTTATTAATAAAAAGTTTTATCGATATTATTTATATTTAAGACGAGTTTTACCGGGTTATTTAAACACGTTATTATAATGAACGTATTTATATTATTTTTAAAATTAAATCGAATTAATTTATTAATAATTAAATAAATTAATATTTGTCGAATTTAAGGAATTTTTTTAAAATAAATAACATTAATAATACGTTATTTTTTTATTTTAATATTTATAAAATATTCGATTTAAAAAAATTTATTATTATTTTTAAAAAATAAAGAAATAATTATAAATTATTATTATATGTATTTTATTTATAATTTTAATATTTTTTCGAATAAAACGATTTATATTATAACCGGTTATTATAATTAATTATTAATATTAAGCTTAAGTTTTTTTTCGTTCGGTTTATATAATTATTATTTAATAATATAATATTAAAAATTTTTAAATTTAATCGTTCGTATATTAAAATCTTTATTCGTTAATTAAGGATTTTTAATTAATTAAACTTAATTATTTAAAATAACGGGACTTTAATTTAATTTTATACTTTTTAAAATAACGTTTAAAAATCCGTTAAAAATAACGAAACGGTTAATTTTTTAAATAAAAAACGTTCGAAATTTACTCGTAATAAAAATATTTATTAATTTTATTTTATTTTTAAAGAATGTATAATAAATTTTCCTAATAATGAAAAATATAATTTATATATTTTAAAAATCGAAAATAATTTATATAACGAAAATAATAATAATAACGATAAAAAGCTTTATAAAAAATATAAATTAAAACGTATTATTAATTTATCGTATTAAAATTTTATTTTTAATTTATTGTTATTAATTATTAATATTATTAATAATAACCGTTTTAATAAATTGGAAAATATTAAAACGAAAATTAAGTTAAGTTTTAATAATAAAAATATTAAACTAATAATTTTTTTTAAATATAAAAAATAATATTATATAAATAATAATATTCGAATTTTTACACGCGTTATTATATATAAATTAACTTTATACTTAATAAATTACTTTTTTTCCTTAATTAATAATTTTACTTTATATAATTAAACATTATTAAATTAAAAATAATTTATTAATTATTTTTATTTAAACTTTTTTATTAATATTTTTAAATTTAAATATACGAAACTTTTTACCTTTATTAATTTTATTTACTTTATTTTTAGTTATTTAATTTTAAACATTTTTAACGTATAATAAATTATTTATTTAATTCGAATTATTAATTATATTTAATTTATTATTTATAATTAACTTTTTATTTATATTTTTCGGTTTTTTATTTTTAATATTTATTTTTAGTAAAAAACGTGGACGTTTATACGATTAAATCGAAACATTTTCGTAATTATTAATATCGTTATTAAAATCGTTTTAATTATATATATTATTAAAATAATTATTATAATAAGTAAAATTAAATATATTTTAAAAAATATTAATATTATATTTATTTTTACTATCGTTTTATCCGTTCGAATAAAAACGTTTTATTTTAATTAATTTATTAATATAATTTTCATTTTATAATTAAAAATAATCACTTATAAAATTTTTTTAAACTTTTTTAATTTTATTATTTTTTTAAATTTTAAATATATTAAAATATATTACTTTATTTACGTTCGATTTTTTAAAAATTAATATAATTTATTTAATAAAAATTAACCATATAAATTAAGTAAAAAAATACTTTCGAAATAATTTTTTAAATAAAAAAAACGGTTTATTATAATAATATATAATTAATTTTAAATTATTATTAATCGATTTACCCGGAATTATAAACGTATAAAAACGTAAATAAAATTAACGGTTATTTTAAACATTTAATTTAAAAAAAAAATAAAATTATTATAATTAAAAAATTAATAAATATTTTTACGAAAAAGTAAAAAATTAAAATAATTATTAAATGAATTATTTCGTAAAAACTTTTTAACCGTAACGTAATCGTATATATAATTTTTTTTAAACTATATTTTATTCGAAATTAATTTTAAAATAATATAATAAAGTTTTAATTCGTAAATTACCCCGTTAAAATAATAATACTTATTATATAATATTACGATAAAAAAGGACGTATATAATTCGGATTATTTTATTTTTACCTCGTTTAATTCGTTAATATTAAAAAGAAAAATTTCGATAAATATTTTAAATATTTTTTTAAAAAATAATTAACTTATAAAATTTAAATAAAAAAAATATCATTTTATAATAAAATATTAATATAAAAAATAATAAAAATATTAATATATTATTAAATATAATATATTTTTAATTTAATTTAAAATATGAAAATAATATTTATTATTTTATAATATATTATTATTAAATATTTCCATAATAAATTTACTTATATTTATAAACTTTAATATAAATAGTTTATTTTTTCGATTTCGTTTTTCGTTTTCGGTTTATACGTTATAAGTTATAATATAATAAATATAATATAAAAAAAAATAATAAAATTTTTTATTAATAATTTATAAACTTATTAATAAATTTAAATATAAATAACTTAAATAATAAACGTTAATACGTTAAAATAAACTTTTAATTTTATCGTTTTATAAAAATAATTAAAATATAAAAAAATCGTAAACGTTTATTTTTTTTAATTTAATAACGATATTTTTTTAATAATTTAATAATGGTATTTTATAATAATATTATCGTAAAACTTAAAATTAAAAATAACTAAAATTATTTAAATATTTAAATAAATAAATAAATAACGAAAAATAAAAAATAATATTAAATTAAACCTAATAATTAATATTTATTAAATAAAATTTACGCCTTTACCGATAAATTATTATAAATAATATTATTCGTAACATAAATTATATTTCTTTTTTATATATTCATATTATAAAGCCTGTTACATGCATAAGTTAAAATGATTTGGCGGGATGGCGGATTTTCGAATTATCGACCTCCGTCGGTACCTACAGCGTAGGAAGTAGGCTCCTTCTCAATTCATCTGTTACATCACACCCAGCACCACCCCACGATTTATCAGCTAAAGTTCAGTCCACTTACAACATCACCATCCACCTATCCACCACCCACCCTGCCATCATAACTCAAACTATCCCAACTTTGCCCGGCAAGTCTCACAATAATCCCACTTGAGCAATACACTCCTCGGATTCAGATACCCTCCTTGGCATACATTGAGTGCCGTACCTACATACACATACACTTAGATCAGTAAGCAGTAAATCTACTATTCGCTTTCCCTTTCCCATTCCCTTCGCCTATCCTAAACAAACAAGAAAAAAAAGGAACACACCATCCCTCTCAACAACCTGCAGAGCCCGCATACCTGACCTAACCGCCCTACCTGACGTACCTAACGTACATTCATTGGTATCTTAATTTTTGCGCCCGCCTACAGAGCCCAATCACTCCCCGTTATTCCATTGTTCCCCTTTCTATTTATTCTACCCCCTTCCAAGGTTACTGTTTATAATTCCCATCATTGTCAATTCTAGTGGTGCTGGGCATTTCCTTTCCGTTTTGCTAAATTTCCCACTGCCAAATCCTTCGAATCCTAAGCTAAGGAGCTTCGCTCTCTATACATAACCGTACTGCGCGCATCCTAACAAACGACGAATCCAAGTCTAACCGTTCTAGTCTATTCTAGCGTCCCACCTATCACAAGACCTCCGACCAAACACTTCGTGTATGACGACAGCTCTGTGCTTGGTTGGGATTCTTATCTACCCAGTTGTTTACGCAGTTCTTTAACGGTACTCCGCGAGTTTCCGTGCAGTATTTGACCTGCCGCACACTCTGTCTTCCTACTACTAAAGCCTACGTGATCTGCGCTTTTCTCCGCACCATCCAACGACTTCGGCGCATACTTGCATATACCGTCGGTATTCTCCCTTCATCACCTGGACAACTTCAACTTTCGAAAACCTGGCAGGGAACAAGCGTCGCAGTCTCTCTTCCCAGGGAGGTCTGCTAAATAGAATGTTTGGTGGCGGATCTAGCTCTACTTCGGCGAAATGTGATCCCGCCGTCGCCGACTCTACCAAATCAGACAAGAAGCCTCCGTCGCCGGACCGAAAGCGCGACCCTACGTCGACTAGTACTCCCACGAAATCTCCTGATCAGGCTGCCAGCGGCGAGAAGCGCAGTGGCAATGGCAGCCCTCCTGGACGACAGAACCCCGATACTGGCAATTCTGAGAAAAAGCGTAGGAGCTCTGGTGTTGGAAGTAAAGCGAGTAGCCTTATAGCTAGTGCCAAGAACACCTTGAACTTCGGCCAGGTCGGAAGGACCAATAGCGATGTCAGTTCTCAAACTCCTTTACAGAAGTTAGGAAAGCAAGACCAGACACTTGCTGTGCCTCAAGGCCAGCACAACAATTCAGCTGGAGAATCTATCCCTGGACCACGATCGACCTTCCGCGTCGGTGTCTGGGAAGATAGAAACAAAAAATGCCGTCGAACCATGGAAGATACCCACGCGTTTCTCTACAATTTCTTACATACCCCGGCGCCTCAACTCATCCCGGATTCTGGAAACAAGAGTCAAAAGTCACAGAAATCTACATCGGAAGAAGGTGATCGTCCATCTGAATTGGGTTCCCAGGAGATGGTAGAAACTGACAACGGCTACTTCGCGATATTCGACGGACATGCCGGTACCTTTGCTGCAGACTGGTGTGGAAAGAAGCTACATCTTATCCTCGAAGAGACTATACGACGGAATCCCAACGTCCCTATCCCAGAACTATTAGACCAGACTTTTACCAATGTCGATGCACAACTGGAGAAGCTGCCACTTAAGAACAGCGGCTGCACCGCAGCTATTGCCGTTTTGCGTTGGGAGGATCGAGTTCCGAGCTCGAGCTCGGCAACCGGCTCCCAGGCCATTGCCCCTGCTGCCGCAGCAGCTTCGAAGGCAGCGGAAGTGTCCAAAGCAAAAGATAGCAAATCCGAAAGCGACGGCACTAACAACGTGATCCCCGAATCAGCCCATGCAAGGTTGAAAAACGCTGCAGTACGGCAACGAGTTCTTTACACGGCAAATGTGGGTGATGCTCGTATCATCTTATGCAGGGCTGGAAAGGCTTTGCGTCTTTCGTACGACCACAAGGGTAGTGATGAAAATGAAGGGAAACGTATTGCGAATGCTGGAGGGTTGATCCTTAACAATCGGGTGAATGGAGTATTGGCTGTTACTCGTGCCCTCGGCGATACTTATATGAAAGATCTCGTGACAGGACATCCGTACACTACTGAAACTGTCATTCAGCCCGAAGTCGATGAGTTTATCATCATTGCTTGCGATGGAGTAAGTTTTCCAGCTAATAGGACCTTTCACTAATCACGCCAATACTAAAAAATGCCTAGCTCTGGGATGTCTGTAACGATCAAGATGCAGTTGACCTCGTTCGCGATGAACAGAATCCTGTGACTGCTTCAAAGAAACTTGTCGACCATGCCCTGGCTCGATTTAGCACAGACAATCTGTCCTGTATGATTGTCCGATTTGACAAGGCCGCTCTGATAGAGCATCAGAACAATAGGGAAACACCTATTGGTGTAGAAGGAGATAACACTAGCGCAGGTGGTAATGTTAGCGAAGCTGACAGGATTGTGAACTCAACTAAACAAAAGATCGCCGAAGGTGATACTCCTGCCATTGGCATATCAGCTAGCAATAGCGGCCGAGGCCACGACCTCGTACCTATCGATGGCGGAGATAGCTTCAAGCCAACGATTATCGAAGGACCAGTCGAGGAAGAACCTCCCTCATTAGAGGATAGTGACGCCCCAGAAGTCACTGCAGACGCCATACCGAACCCTGGAAGTCTAGTTAGTCCAGAAGCGACGTCTCCGAATACTGGCCGTCCCCCATCGGCGTCTTAACCACGGCTTTCACAAGACGGAAAGTGGCATACAACTTCCATCCTCTTTCCGTCGTCGGCCATCAGGCTTTGCAGCTTATTACTGATAAGTTGTCACGGAAGTTTATCATAGGAAACTTATCTGCACTCTCGTTATTCAGATGCGGTGATATACCGCACGTCATTATTCTGGTACGAGGCATGATGTGCAGATTCAGGGGCAAAAATCCGGGCTACATGGTAGCGAAGCTTCTATAACCCACGAACTGCTGGTTATTTCGGCTGGTCATTTTAATTTTTGTTAGGGACAGGCATTTTAAGGAGTAGACGCAAGTCCAAACAAGTCGGGATATGAAGACCAAGGCGGCCGTAGAGCCATACTAGTGATGATTGGTGCCCTTTGTACGGACTTTTGACGGGGTGCGCGCTTTGAGGTTAGCAAGTACAGCACAGCAATGAATGGACTTCTTAGGGATGCAAAATCTGAACAACAAGGGTGAAAATATTGTGAGAGCAATAGCATTGTCTGAATATTCCTGTCTAGGCGTCATATTACTCGCTGTTGGTTATTCGCCTGGTGGCAATGAAGGGGATATCCTAGCACTTGACTTGCTCTTAACTTCGGAGTCTTGGATCACGAGAGTTTGCTATCTTGGGCGAATATGAAATTTCGTGCGACCTGGCTATGTCTCAAGTATATCGGACACTCCGAAAGTAATCCTTCGTATACGTTGCCACCTTCAAGGTTATAGGATAAGTGACCAAGCCTATGCAATACTGTAATATTGAGAGTCTTATGATGGAGCGAGACTATCTATATAATCTGCTTATAGGAGGCAGGGAGAGGCTTGTCATTGAGTAGGTAGGTAAAAGGTTGTCAATGGCCTGAGGGTTTCAAAACGCCACTACTGCGCAATGAGGTCTTCAAATTCTGATAAGACATACAACGTAAGATATAGGTAGTTGGTTACCTTACCTGAACCAAACATTTGGTATGTCATATTAGATATCTACCTAATGAGGCCGCTATAAGCAACTATTTCCTGGATGAACGGTGTACCTATCTAATTACCTGAGTAGTTGTTGATCATAGATTCTGGGTTGAACTTAAGCCCTGGATTTCTTTTTTTTCTTTTCTAACATATCTGGATACTGATTCGTAAGATGTCACACGCGAGTAAACCCCGCCGACGTAATTGAATCCATCTCGGGCTAACGCTTTGACATAAATGCAATCCGTACATAAGGCACAATTGAATCCTACACATATAAAGTAACTTGAGGAGCTGTGCGTTGACCTGCCTCTTCAGACCACGACTGACGATGTCGGCGAACGGTCAAAGCGTTGGAAACTTCGAGGTCATTGAGAAATGGTTTATAAGAGATCCCTGCCTTACGAGTTTTGAAGACTTTATGGTTCAGATAGTTATAGGGTATGACGTTGTAACTCCAAGGTAGACGTGTACTAATAGTAAAACAAACAGGTTTGTTTCCTTGCCTATTTTCGCCACAGTAAAAGGAACGATCACTTGGGATAAACATCTTCGGAGATTCTGCCCGCTGGAGTTCCTAAGCACATGGGAGGGTTGCAACCTATGTGCCGGGCTTGCATACAGCGGATGTAGGGGAAGGATTCGCTTAGCGATCATGCAATAAATTACGAACTAGGAACTGGGAGTTTAAGCTCTAAAACTCCGTGATATTCACCTGAACGGTAGATCTGGAAACCTGGACCTCTAGTCGCTCTAGATAGGAACTTGAGATGATATCTTGAGACTTACTTCAATCCTTTCAGAGTGGAGATGTTTGATCAACAAATACCTATCGATGACTTGCAGCCAAGACACAAGAAAGTTTTTCGGCAATTCATACCCACGATAAATATGCAAGACATCCATTCTTAAGGCTACATATTATGTATGTATGAATGCTTACGTGATTATACGGGTTGTTCCGAGTTGCCACGATGATACCTTGCGGTGCGTCAATAGATCTACTGGCAGTTAACAGCGAGTGCTTTGGCATGGTATTATGGCATTGAGAGATAGGTAGGTATCCAGATATCTGAGGCGAACTTTGGCATGTATATGATGTGATAAGTTTCTAGTTTGTTTTGAGATATAATAATCCATCTGGCGATCAAGATGCTTCTACCCCCTTTCTAGAAGAGCAACGAAGGGGTCAAAACTCTCCTACTCTTCTAAAGACACCAGGCGGAGAGAGAGCATGTCAAATAATAATAACAATAATAACATCAAATAATAGGGGAACTTCAAAGTCAAAACACAGCTCTCATATTATATGTTGCCCCTGAATAGAATAAGTATGTTCATTTAGACATCTCTCGAGCGGATTGGTTAGTTTTTTAGGTATTTGGGTCTTGAAGATTGCGTATGGCCTATGCACCGGCAGTGCGGGGCCTACATAATAGGTCGACTGGTGTATCCCCTGGTGTATGTACTTGCCAATGCCGCTAATGCAAGGTGGTGAAGATTAGCGGCTTTCCGTCGTTACAGACTTGCATATCGTGGATATCGTGGGTATCTTTGGCCGAAATCTTGAACCGTTAAATTCATACTATGTATACCTAGATACTTCCTTCCCAAGGATCGGACTCACAGGTTTGCCCATTAGCAAATCGAAGACAGTTTTAGCAAGGCAAGCACGTTCTAAGTTGACTCTAAATCCAATTCAGGAAATACCCCAAGACTATTTTGACCTTCGGTTGGAATGAACTGAGCACAGGATGGCGTAGTAGAAACTGTAAAACACAATACCTAGCTGGTACAAAGTACACCTATGTACCTTAATATGAAGTCTCTACCCGTGGACCGTAGAAGGCTCGATGTGGACAGGCTAATCTCCTGCTTGACATTTTTCATAAACTAGATACGTGGGTACATGGTAGGTACATACACATAATCCCGATATCCCCTTTTTCTCTCTCTCATGTCTCTCCGAACCGCCAACCCCCATTGGCTCATGTTTAAACTCACAGCCCTGAGCAATTCTTCACTAGGCCAAACCGGACGTATCCCATATTTCGTCTCTTTTCCTTCGAGTCAAATGTTCTTCTCATCAACCTCCTTCATATTAGTTTAGTGTACATACATACGAATTACCAAAAAAGTAAAATACCTGCCTTCTCTTGTTGTCATTCTTTTAATTTAATTACTCTTCTCGCCTCGTCTTCGTTACCTGGGTCGTATTTATGAAAGAGTTTTGATGAGTCCTTCTACTCCCTAGTTTTCTTGGCTCACTCTTTTCCAATAGGCCACTCCCTTTTTTTTCCCAATTCCGTTCTTATTCTTGTCTCTCGTTGTCGATAGAGAAGACCTCTTGAGTGTAAATACTCTACCTACTATTCTACTAGCGCTCGGACTTCTGCACATCTGCACCCGGGCACACCATCCCCTACCTAATCCCTGATCATTCTCTACTACTCCAGGGCTACTTGGTATGTGGTTAGGTTGGTTTACTTAGCTACGGTATTATTCCCTTCAAGAATCAACCCCCTAATCGAAATTTCCCGTCCCTGGTCGAACCCCATACTATTATCCCGCCTTTCCTCGTTTCGGCCGCCTCAATTCCTCTTCACCAGCGTCCAGAGATAGTTTCGTGCTATGCGCATCGTCCTGGATATTACATTCCGGTAATCTTCGTAATTTTTCTTCGAAATTGGTGGATGGTGTGGTCTCAATGTCGAGCCAGACTGCCAGGCCCTTGAATTGGCTTTCTGGTTCTAGCTCTGGTTCTGGACGACAACCATTTGGATCCTTCTTATATTCTAACTGCCAATAAGGGCGCTGTAAACTAGCAAAGCCTCTCGACGCCCACAAATACAATTTTGAAGCTTTTCCTTCGCGCTCTTGCGACCTTCCGGTTTCTGCTAGGCTAGCCGTCGCCGAGGACGACGTTTACTTAAAATAATGTCGTTAAATGGGTTGGAAGATGCGAAAGTCATAGAAGCTCATAGGGTGGCTGCAATCGAGGCTGGTGGATGGTAAGAATAATCCTTTTCATTTTCACTGATTTTTATTCAATTTCACTTCTCAATGGCTCTAGCTTTTGCGCCGTGTAATAATTCACCCCCAATTGCTGTAATCTCTACTCCTACTTCATCATGTTCGTTTGCCCGTGTTTGCGCCACTGACACAGATGGTCTTGAATAGGTTTCTTCTTAAGTACTCCAATCGCGATGAAGTGGAGCTTCTAAGTCGTGGGAATGGCGGTATCGTCGATATACGCGGCGCAATTGCGAAATACGAAGAGACGTCGCCACTCTTTGGCTTTTTGAGATATAGGCGGAGGAATGTTATATTGAAATACGAGCCTGATGATTGCTCGAGGCTTGTAAAAGGTAAGCGATTCCAATTTCTCACTTATCTGCTCGATGTTTCCCCTACCATCGACAAAGTGCGGTACGGAATAGCTAATCTGACATAAATCATGAATAGCTCGCGCTGCTGTACATTTCAATGCAGTTTGTGAACGATTTGCGCCATGCGATACCACTTTCGAGATTTCGACAGCCAAAGATCTGAAGGATAGCAAGCTCTCTGCAGCTTGTTCGTTACACGCTGCATCGGGATCAGCGTCATCATCTTCGAGTTCGTTGCGCCGGCGGAGATTGAATGAGATTGCTGAGGAGGAGGAAGAAGAGGAAAGAGAAAGAAAAAGACAATCTACTGTCAAAGAAGAAGATAGACGCGCATCGTCCATTTACTCGGCACACGCTCGCCCGACATCACCTGAAAGACCTGCAATACTTGACCGCAAACAAATTTCTGATCCTCAAGAGACGAATTTTGCCTCGACAACAAATGTCCCAGAATTTACGGGAGCCGATAGACCAACATCACCTACTAAATCCGAGACTGCTCCTCGTTTATCTTCGCAATCTACACGTCCCGATCCATACAGTTACTCAACACACGCGTATGGCAAGCCAAAAGTGAAACTTGGACCACGACCATCTTTAGATGTCAGTAACAGACCTTCAACAGCAGGAAATTTTCGGCCCATTGCAGCTCTCCCAGCAGGCTTCAAATTTTTCTCAAAGGGAGGCAAAAAAGGACATTCTCAAGATTCTGAACACGCCGACAAGGTTGAGGATATGGCACCAATCCCTCCTAAGCCATCTGTACCTATCCCCGAAGTGCCTCAGGACAATGACAACCAGCTTCCACAGCGGCCTGCGACGAGTTCGGGAGCTTCTATGAAGTCAACCAACCACTCGTTGGCTCCAACGAAAGAGGTGAAGATGACGCCCGAGAAGGCAAGGCTTATGAAGGCTATGAAATTAAGGGAGAAGAAAAAGATGATGAATTCCATGACAGCTGAACAGACCGAGGTCATGGATAAGAATGTAGATAAGGAAGAGGACGATACGGATGCCAAGGATTCCCTAAGAATTAAGGATGCTGGTCACCGCACAGTGTCCCATGCCGATTCTGGTATTGCCATCGACCCGCCCACTCCAATGACGATCAACACTGAAGACACGTCAGATTCCCACCCAAACTCACCGACAGCCGCAACATTATCAGAAATAGGGGCATCTACAAAAGCATCATCCTTGTCTGAATCAACCGACGAGACTGTACAAGTGACGAAAGACACTGGTGAAGACGTTGAATCAACGACGTTCCAAGAGGTTCATATAAACATTTCTGATTCGGGACATGCTACGGGGACTACGCAAGATAAAGAATCACGGGCTGTGACGCAGGAGACTGATGTCTCGGACATGGGAATTGTCGAGACTGAGGAATCTAGCCAAATTCCAGTATCCAACAATCCTTTACAAACGAGAGAACCAGCGATCCGAGAATCTATAGAGGTGGACGAGCCAATCAAAATTTCCTTGTCGACCCAAGGAAACGACACACGGCAATCTCCGAAGGAAGAAGACGCGCCTAAGTCGCCTTGGGGACTGCCCGTCTCGAAGTTCTCTTCCAACGAATCTCGAACTCCTACCTCGCCAACCACCAACAGCCTTAAGTCAAAGTTCTCTATACCGGAGATTTCTCTTCCAATTGATTGTGATTCTGTCCCCGATCTCCCAAACAGGTCTGAAGCTCGCTCGACGTCGACGAACTCCCGAGAACGAACCGGACTCGACTCGTCACCCAACACGAACGCAGAGGTCGACCTTCCTGTCGAGAAGAACGCGAGACGCAAGGCTTCTGTCGGACCAATTCGAACCGATCTGTCGAAGACCACACCGCGTTCTGAAGTATCCGATCCTCTTCTCGACGATGATCTAATGGACGAGCTTCAATCGGCAACGGTTCAAGAGGCCAAACCTATCTCCGTCTCGAAATCACCCATTACTCCCGTCTTCCCTAATAACAACCTGCTTGGCCAAGCTCCGAAGTTAGCTCGTACGGTCTCGAACCCGATGCGTGGGCCTCTTCTCGCGCCTAGCGATGTGTCACAAGTAAGCGCAAGAAGTGTCTCGGCCGGCGGTGCCGCTTTCCTACATTCAATTACCCGACAGGCTTCTAACGCTGGTTTACAATCAAAGAAGAACAATATTGGGTCAAGTATCTCGCAAAGAATCAAGGCTTTAGAGAAGCTCTCAAGTGGTGGCCCTGTAGAAGATGCCCGCCCCCGAACAGCAACGCCGTCCTCCCAATTCTTTCATGCCCGTAGACAGAGTATAAAAGAACCGGTGAGGTCCCAATCTGTGGCAGACCGTACGGATTCCTTAGCACGACATGCACCTACACCCGAGCGATCTCGAGAAGTGACCCCCGAGACCCCCGGCCAAGAGCGTCGCGAGAGATCTTTGTCAGTCGCTAGCAGACTTAGCGTGTTCGAACCGACAACCTCGCCCCGCGGACGCCCCGAATCCATACAGGTTACTGCAAGAATCATTCGTGATCCTAGCCAAAATCTACTGAAGAAGGCCGAAACGAATACGAGCCTCGGCGAGTACCCCCAACTTGACTTGAAGCAATCGCCCCTGGTCGTCGATCTGCAGCGAGCAGAATCACAACCCTTCCCTAGACCACAACCAACCCCGTTAGCGACACCACCCAAGGAGACAATTAAAGAGAGGCGGGATAAGAGTTCAGATGATGCCGAGAAGAAGAAACGACGACGTTCTTCCTTGAGTATAGTTAAGGAATTTATGAAGGATCGCCGGGCGTCTATTGTTAGCAAGTCAACTGATAATCTGTCAATACTATCACCGAATGACGCGAAGTCTCCAAACAGGCCTCCCTCGGCTCACCATAATTCCGGCGGTTTCGCACGACGCTTGTCGATTTCAAGCCGTCGTTCCTCAATCTCTCGTGAGCGAGACAATGCGGCATCTACACCTCTGGGATCCCCGGCTGTACTAAGCGACAGCGGCTCGGAGACTGAGAAGAGCGATAAGAAGAAGAACCGAGCGTCTCGATTTATGAGGCGCCTATCGAATTCGCTTAATGGTAGCCGCAAGAATACGAGTCCACACATATCTCCGACCGTCACTGAAGAAGATGCCGACCAGGTCGCCGCCGCCACTGCTACTACAACCGCTGCCGCCGCTGCTTCTACGACCGATGTATCTACGTCTTCTCAACCAGCCGTTGTGGCGTACATGGGAGATGTGAACGTGCAGTTCCCCGACAACCTCTTGTGGAAGCGCCGTAGTATGTGTCTAGATACTCAGGGTTTCCTTTTCCTAAGCGCGGTCCAAGGTGTTGCTACCGCTGGAAGGGACAAGGCCGGTCTGAAGCGTTATCATATGAGTGATTTCCGCGCGCCCTGCATTCCCGATGTCGAGATCCAGGAGTTGCCCAACAGCGTCGTCTTAGATCTTTTGGAGGGTTCTTGTCTTCAAATTGCCTGCGAAGACAGAGCTGGCCAGCTGAATGTATTACATGGTAAGAACTTACCTATTTATCATCCTATCATATAATCTGCTTACTAACACTGATTTCCAGCTCTGCAAGACGCACACCAAAGCCACAGCTCCTTCGGACAATAGGCTCGAAGTCGTTTTTATTACTGCGATCGACCCGCTTCCCATTCCCAAAATTTCCTTTGATTACGACAGATACCCCATCCTCTTTTCACCAACAGTGTCGATAAAAACGCATCATCTGCATTTCCTTTTGTGCCCCCGGGTTTTTACAGTCAGACGACGCCCCTTTCATTCCGGCAGCCATTGCCGTGACTATTTTCGCATTTCATGAAGTCCTATAACCTAGAAGGCGGCTGTTACACTTGTTTAGTAACGTCGCCTGGAATTTTGTACTCTGAAGATTTCTTTTCTGCTCGCCTCCGGGGTAAACGATACCAGCTTTTCGGACTGATATTCCAAGGAGGTATGCTGTATTTTCCTGCATCTCGCCAGAAGGGGTAGGGCGTTGATTGCTTGTTATTCTACAGTCGTAAGACTGGAGGGGAACTTCCGAGGGAAACGATGGGTAGGAGAATGTAAAACGAGTGGTACCTAGTGCTCTGTACATAGCAATAGCATCGGCATGCTCTCACAAAGCATGTTATGTGTGTGTCAAATCAAGTATGGAGACCATATGATTTACAAGTTTCCCGTCTATTCAGAAGATGTGATACGTAGCACATCGCCATTGGGGTTGTTTTTGAAAAGGGTAGGTTGTGTGACAATAGGTATGCCAAGTCATAGATTTCTTTGTTATATAACAGCTATGTAATTATGTAATGTATAATGTGGTTGACAAGTCATTGTTCGAGGGGTCAATGAAATGTCGCTGTCGACAAGGGAACAATGCAACAATAGATTGATTGTACGACAACCTAAATATTGTCGTTGTTTCGGTGCCCAATTAGATAAGTAGACGGCACCTAGAAGCCCAACTTCTGGCAAATGGAACGCTAAACTTTAACATCCTTCTCGAACATATTTTTATTTCTTCCAAGTCGGAAGTTTGACCTATTTTCGAATATCCGGATTTTTGAGATCATTATTTTTTTTAAAGATCGGTGTTTTCTGCACGTCGGCGCATACTTGTGTATACATACTAGGTACATATACCACTAGGTACGTTCACCACTCCCATCATGGCCGATCTCTCAGACCTCGTCGCCGACATGTCGGAGCTTGACTTACACGGCGCACAGGCCATCACGATGGACGGACTTAAAAGCATCTTGCGGAAACCGACAATGGACGAGAGTCACACGGAGACGGAGGCTGCGTCCCCCCGCAGAATCAGCGTTTCGTTTGGAGACGTGCTGGCGCGCGATGTTGAGGGCGGCGCGGTTGTGCCGTCGTCGACGAGATCGAGGGTCGAGTGGATGCAGGAGGTTAATGCGCGGCGCGGCGCGGATCTTATTGAGAAGTTTAGAGATGCGCAGGGCGCGAGGGCGTGTTGTGTTGGGGTCGGGGAGAGTGCTGGGAGGGAGGTGGTGCTTTATGCGCTTGCTGAGGGGGAGGGGGAGGATGATAGTGGGAGTGAGACGGAGGATGAGGATGAGGATGAGGATGAGGATGGAGATGAGGACGAGGTGATTGAGGTTGTTTTTGAGCGTGATAGTGATGATGATGGTGATGATGCCGATGACAACGATGATGATGACGATGACGATGACGACGACGATGAGAAGAGTGAGGATGAGGAGAAAAAAGACGAGACGAAAGGGGAGAAAGACAGTATGGAGTACGCCCGAACGTTCCTTCAGTCGGAAATCGGAAGGTGAGTAGAGTCCCCATGATAGCCCTCGGCTTGATTATCTTCTTGATTCTAGCTACAGCTATATGATTAATATCATTGTATATTAACATTTAGATCTTACAGTCGATGTCCGATGGTATACTAGCTCGGCGTCCCTCTTGAAACCATGTACGTTGCCTTTCCGTGTTTTTCGTCATCCTGATATTGGAGGTCTAATTGTTTGCAGCAATGAATCAAGACGCCAATGTGGTCAAGTGTACTTGTTTTTTTAGTGCAAGCGAATCGCCTTCTATCAACTCGAGGTAAGTTCCCCCCTATCACATCTAATACCTAGCTAATTAATTGAGAAGGTGATGCTGTCAGTTTTTGGATCAGATCGTCGATATTCCCATCTTGACGTATGGTCAATTCCTTACGAGCGCCGGTTATCGTACTTATTAACCCCATCCGCAATTCGGTACGATCGACGTTAAACGACGATGTGTTCCACCTATACCTCGACTCTGTGGGGATGAATCCGAACTCATCTCTATCTCTTTCTTCCAGTTCTATCATTATCCGCATACCGACCGAGACCGCACGATTCTCGAACCACGGCCCAGACAGTCGTTCGCAGAGCGCCAGTGCTTTCATCCTAGTCTCATAGTCGCGACATTTGCATACCAAGCAACGCAGAGTCGGGAGTAATTTATCCTCGAAAAGCGGCGGCAACGTCGTGCGCGAAGTTAGTTCATCTAAGATCGACTCTACGAGGGCAATGACTTCGCTGCACTCGTCTATCCGGAAATCCCAAAGGAGCTCCCGTTCCTCTGCGCTACGGGAATATCTTGTATAAATCGTAAACATCTTGGCCTCGACTAGCATCATCTTCCAAGTCCGGCGCCGAAGAGAGTCCGTTTCTTGGTCCAATTTCCTCGTTAGGAACTTACACCAGTCGTGGGCTTGGAGGTAGATGATGAGCTGCTCGTCTCGGTTCTTTTCATGGTCTATCGGACGGCTGAATACATGGGCCTGGCAAGATCGAAAACTCCATATCAAGGAAGAAGTCGTATAACGTTCGAAAGCGAGTTCGATTTGTCGCAAATCGTCCGACCAACTCGGTATTTTTGCCGCCAGCGACCAGTTCCTATGGGAGGCCGGACCTTTCAGCAGTGATGGATAAAATGGGCAGAGTAAGGAGCTATATCCGGAGAAGCGAGTGAGGAAGTAGTCCGCCTCCCGAACGCCTTCGTCATCCAGGGAGTTTGACCCCTGGTTTTCGGTACCCAGACCAGGCGTGCAATCTTCTAGCGCAAATATTGCGGCTTGCATGATCCGATCGACGGATTCGCTGTTCCCCTGAATTGCCTCGAACATGACAAAAAGAATGCTGAGGATGAGAATTGTCCGTGAAGGGGTGGAGGATCCTTCCTGCGACATTCTTGATCGAAACTTCGAGATTGACTTGGTGTAATATTTGATCGCATCTCTGTGATACCTCGTACTTAGGGAGGTAGTAGCAATCTTCGGGACAACCCAGAGTGCCTTCGACTTTGAGGAACTTGCATCTTTGGTGTCCTCCATCATAGCTCGGCGTAATGCACCAATTCCAAGCACGCAATCACGAACACATTCATCCCTGAATATTTCTCGAAGTATGGTTCGTGACCAAAAATTCGTGTATCCATTCAGGCAGAGGTTCTTCACGATGGCGCTTCGAAAGAGGTCGAAGTAAATGATATCAAGGTCTTGGAAGTCATCTCTTTGCACTCTTGGAAGTAGCCGTGAACCGGATTTTTCGCTGGTTTCGGCTTGAAACGAGACTACAGCCTGCTCATTGGCGTGGCTATGGTGCTCTCCTTGGTTCGTCTCGGGAGAATTATATTTACAAGGTAGCCAGCTTTTCTGACAACGACGGCATATAGGCCGTTCTTCACCACATTTGACTCTTCGGGTTTTACATGTGACGCACCCTTTATCTCGAGTTAACGAAAGCGATCCTAAGTAGAAATAGAACCAAAACGTACCAGAACGAACTTTAGGCTTATGAGCTCGTTTACGGGGTATCGAGGGGGCTGTCATATTGAAGGGCGTAGAATAATTGTTGTCCTAGCCTCGCTGGGCATTTCTAAACTACCTATGTAGCACCTATCTCATAAAGAATATTTCGATGCATATCATTTGGCAATAATGTCATCTTATAAAAGCAAGAATTTCTACCACAAGAAACGACCCGTGGTAAATTCAGCCCTATCTTGAACGTTGTTGGCGTGAGGTGAATCTTACCGCCTGATCCTTAAGAATGGAGTCCTTAATAAATACTACCTATAATTGCTCAACAGGTGCCTTACAGGGCCAATACCAATGGGTAATTGCCGTGTTACTAGGGTATTATAATGGGGGGCAAAGGCTCCAGGGCTATCCATTTGAGGGCTGAGCTTCTGCGCCGCAGCGTTTGTTCCTCGGCGCCGTCGGCGTAGCAGCGTAGGCAACGATTCTGAATCGCGTGACGCTGCGGGTGGGGAGAACTTGGAAGTGAATCCTTCGAGAAAGATTATGTAACATCGCGCACAATTTCCTGGAACTTGGAACCTTGGAATTAATGAGAACTGGGTACAGAGCACATACACATGACTCAGCTTTAATTGTCGGAAATCAGAGTGTCCAGTACAGTATTCTTGCGGACTTTAAACCCGGTAGTCCGGAGGGATGGTTACACGACATCTCGTCTTCGAACTTTAGTTAAAAAGGAAAAGCAATGGGCATTTTATAAAAAGGGGGCGGGGGACTTGCTATGAATCGGGCAGTCGGGTACGGATCTGAGAGATTATCTAATTCGTCCTTGTGCAACATTGAAGGTGGCCATTGAGTTTTATGTAACAAAAACACCTCTGAAGGAAGGATCGATGGCTGGAGTTTTCTCGTTATAGTTTACTTAATAATATTGATTTACTTGAGGAGTGTAAGATCTCTATAAATAAAGTCTCGACCCTTCCCCCTTTTTACTTATGATACCAATTAGCTGCGGCTCTTCACCATTCAATGTCCAGCCACCGAGATGCCTTATGACGGCATTACCCCGCTGCTTGTAAAAGAATGTCCGGGAACTCGCGGTGAAGGACCCATGAACAGTCCAGAATATTACGATATGTGGACTAATATCGATACCTCCCTCGATATGCCTAGATAGGCAGAGATCTGACTGCCTTTTTACTACGATGTTCGACGGGGCGACACGAGCTGACGATAGGATACCTCCAATGACAATTCAACAATGACCCGGGAATACTGCCCGGTCAGCATGTAATGCCATGTAAATGGCCGCATGTAATGCTACCATGATCAACCTTCCCTAGTTGGATATCGTTTGCGTTGCTTTTTGCCCTTTCCGGCCATTTGTTTTTGTGATTTAGTGGCATTCGGGCACGCAATGCTGATTCCAATGCTGGTGTGCTGGTGCTCTTCAGGGTCCATTGTCTACTATGTAGCTACTGCGTCAGCATCCGAAAATCCGGGTCCTCTCGTCGCTTCAAAATAGATAATTATTAGCCTTTAGCTCCTTGGCTCTTTGCTTCCAAAAATTGGCATTGGAATTGGCATTTGTCTATTCCACCCAAAGTTATGAAGCTGCGTTGGTTGTCAATCGGCCTTCTGGCCGCCCTATCTCGGGATGCCGATGCTATGCAGGTTGGAAGACGGGACACTCCTCGAGATCAGCTTCAATACGATGCTCACTATTTCACCCAAAAAGTCAACCACTTCCCAAATGATCCGCAGTTCACCAAGTCACCACTCAGCAATGGCACTTTCACGCAGCGATATTACTTCGACACTACCTACTATAAGCCCGGTGAGTTTACTAATAGTTATATTTTACATGCTTGAAGCACGACACTAATCTCCTTCTAGGTGGGCCAGTGTATCTTTACATTTCAGGAGAGACGAGCGGACCCAGCAGGTTTTCCAATTTGCAGACGGGCATTATCCAGATTTTGATGCAAGCTACAAATGGTCTAGGTATGACTCCTGATACAGAAGAGTGAATCCGATTGCACATATAAAATAAATAAAATGTTAATATAGTAACAAGAACTGATTATTTTAAAGGTGTTATCCTCGAGAATCGCTATTACGGAGAATCTTACCCCTTCAACACTAGCACCGTAGACGAATTGCTGTTTCTCACGACAAATCAAACTATAGCTGACAATGCTTACTTTGCTCAACACGCCGTATTCCCCGGAGTTGATGGTGACCTTACCGCTCCCGGAACTCCGTGGATCCTTTACGGAGGTAGCTTAGCAGGCGCTCAGACTGCTCTGTCGATCAAGGTGCATGGAGATGTTCTCTACGGCGGCATCGCTTCCTCAGCCCCTATCAAGGTATCTGTGGGCTATTCCGAATGGTATAATCCGATTCAGAAATATGCACCCCAGGATTGTGTAACGAGAATCAACAACATCGTCGACAAATTTGACTCACTTATCGCGAAGAATAATACTAAGGCGATCAATGAATTCAAGGCTCTGTTTGGGTTTGAGAGTCTGACCGACAATAGAGACTTTGCAACTGCCATCGCAGTAAGTCTTACTACAAGGCGATATGTTGAAGCCACAGCTCATTTGATGCATAGGACCCAATTGGAAATCCAGGATTCTATCTCTCAAGTACATGGCAAGAACTGAATTGGAATTCTACATATGGCTCAAGAGATTTCTTCTATTTCTGCGGAAATGTTTCTGACATTGATGCTCCTGAGGAAATTACCAAGGTGGACTACGCGATGGCGAATTATACTGACGGCGAACCTTGGATGTATGACTGCCCCTTGAGTCCTCTCCCGCACAGCCCTGATAAATCTCAAATCCAAATTCATTCCTCGATGGTGTTTAAGAACTTACCTACCCATGGATACAATATCACTCGTGTGTTTTGCACTTTAAAGTTGAACCGCTTGCTAACACCATTGTCTCTCATAGTGGCCTCGGTGGCTATGCCAATTATGTGAAGACCTACACACGCCCGTTGTGTGCCTCAGGGGACTATAACGCCAATGGATGTTGGGTAAGAGCCAATGAAATACCTGCGAATAGACGAACGCTATTAATAGGATTCGGCTGACTTGTTGCTATAGGGAACTCAAAACGCTTCGGCCTGGGCTGATATAGAGAACACTTCTACACGCTCATACCTGTACACAAGTTGTGTAGAACAGGTAAGATTTGAGTACTAAGGGCTAGCTATTTATGAACTCACGCTAACTTTTATAAGGGTGCGTATATCGATGCGCCAAAAGAAGGACCGGCCTTGTTGTCTCGTGTTGTTGATACAACTTACGAGCAGCAGTGGTGCACTTGGGCATTCCCCCCTGGGAAATATAACTCGATTCCTTCTACGCCAGATATAGATGCATACAACAACTTCGGCGCGTTCAACCTTACTGCCGATAGACTTGCATTCATCGATGGAGATCAAGTGAGTATCCCCTATTTATATAATATTCGGAGTAAATGCTGACGATCGCTTCAAGGATGTGTGGCTTGATCTATGTTACCACTCTAACTCCGCGCCTGCCCGAACGACATCTTCTGACCTACATCCCGAGCTTCTCATCACAGGCGCGGGACATCACTGGGACTCGGCCGGTATCTTGGATGTGGAGGCCGAACCTCAGTTTATCCGAGAAGCCCATCTATGGGAAATCAAGACGGTGAAGAAATGGCTTCAAAGCTTTGGTGAATGGAAGAAGTCAAAGTACTAAGCCATGTTGATGACCGAGTCCTGCAAGCTGGAGAGAGCAGATGTGTTACCTAATACATATTATTACTAATGAGTAGTGCTAGAGCAGTTAATGAAAGAGACTCGACTCGGTCCTCAACGTATCTGCGTATTGTCGATTGAAAATGTCCATGGATGTTGTTGACGTAAGCCAGAGTCTTTAAAAATCCTTAATTTCCAAGCAAATATATTGCGATCGATATTTCGTAACAGGGAAAAACGAAGTTAGTGGCGTTGTGATGTGCAGCTAAGTGGGTGTGATTGGGTGATTCATTCCTTGGGATTGCGGGGGTTATAATGTAAGATTTGGGGCTCCATTCCAACGGGTGCATGGCCTAATGGTAAGGCGTCAGATTTCGGTTTATCTGTAACCTGCTCTGAAGATTGCAGGTTCGATCCCTGCTGTGCTCGGATTAATTTTTTCGTGGTTCCTTCCAACCATCAACTTTTTTATTTCTGCCTACTAATATTTGCGAAACGCTACTATTTTTGCACAGTACTAAATACGATACATAATGTCATTTTGATTCAATCCGTGTCAATTTGTCAAATTAATATACATATTTCAACATCGCGAGGACTTTCCTTTTGTCGCACAATGCACAGGCAAATATGTCCCCGCTTTCTTATCTAACGACCGAGATCGGCCCACTAAAATTTCGGTTTTGTGATATGGAGTCATCATATCAACTTGGAACCATGTCCAGTCACAAAGAATCAGACCTAGACACTCACCGCTGAGCAACGGTTCACAACGGGGACGGGAAAGAAGACATCTGTATCCGCGTCTCTACAGTAAGCTCGACGGTGTGTTGCCTAGGTACTGCCAATATTCCCGCCAAGTAGTCCGTCGTACATTGGATAGGTTGGACTCTGTAGCACCCCGCCATCCACTCCTTTTGATTTTCCTAGTTTGCGGTTGGGGTTGGTGGTATAGCTGGCCGACAACTTCAACAGTAAATCGACTGCAAAGTCGTACTTTTCACTATGTCTGCCTCTCTACCAGGAAACCGGGAACCGCCCGAGTCACAATATGACTTAAGCACGTATTGGGGTCGCGTCAAGCAGACTGCCACTATTACAGATCCAAGGTATGAAAGGGTGGTTATGCTGATGATACCGGCTTGGTTTTAAGATACTTGGACAAGCTCTAATATGGAATTGTTAATACTAGAACACTCTTTGCTGGACAACATGGCCTCGATCATGCCAAAAAGCTACTGGTCGCATACAAACAAGGTGAAATCAGGGATATGACACCAGAGCTATGGAAGGCCAAGAAGATTGTCGACTCTACATTACATCCTGGTATGGTAGCATGAAGAGCTTAAACCAATCTATAGTATAACCTCGAGCTGTCAAGCTAATCGAATCTGTTAGATACTGGAGAGCCGGTTCTTCTGCCCTTCCGCATGTCATGTTTTTGCCTGTCCAACCTGGTCGTCACCGTTGGAATGCTCACACCGGGACTTCAGGTATATGACCCCTTTTTATATCATCGTACTCAATGACATTGTACGGGAGAGTAACTTACCATTGGCAATAACAGACCACCGGAACAGTCCTCTGGCAAATCACCAACCAATCCCTCAACGTCGCCATCAATTACGCGAACGCGAACAAGTCCACACCGCTATCGTACTCGAAGATCGCGCAATCCTACTTCTTAGCCGTTGGCGCATCGTGCTCGGTCGCGCTCGGCCTAAACGCTATAGTCCCGCGGCTCAAGCGCGTCTCGCCCGCCGCAAAGCTCGTGCTCGGCCGGCTCGTCCCGTTCGCAGCCGTCGCGTCCGCGGGCGTGCTAAACGTGTTCCTCATGCGCGGCGAAGAAATGCGCACGGGTATCGACGTCTTCCCCGTTCTCTCCGAGGCCGACAAGGCGCGTCTGGCGAAAGAGGGCAAGGCGGAGAGCGAGGTCCCTAGCTTGGGGAAGAGCAGGAAGGCGGCGACTCTTGCGGTTGGAGAGACGGCTCTAAGTCGTGTGTTTAACTGCACCCCTATTATGGTCGTCCCGCCCCTGCTGCTTGTGCGCCTCCAGCGCACGGAGTGGTTGAAGCGGAATCCTCGCTATACTATGCCGATTAACGTCGGCCTCATTCTGGGCATGAGCTACCTTGCGCTGCCGTTTGCGCTGGCGGCGTTCCCCCAGAGACAGAGGATTGGTGCGGATCGGCTGGAGGAGGAGTTTCATGGGCGTGGAGGGGAGGGCGGGTTGGTGGTTTTTAATCGTGGGATTTAGGGACGTGGTGGAATAGCGTTGAAAAAGACGGCAACTCATCATAGCTGCACGTTATGATGAACTAAGAGGCCATCTTTTCCTACGCTAATTCTCTGCGGGATGCATTATTGGCGGCGTTGGTGGATTAGAGTTTCCGTAGCTGGCAATGCTAAGGCGTTTTATTGAAGTGAAAATGAGGATAATCACAAGCTCGTTCTCACATGGTTTTCATGGTCCGAGTTCAGGGGACACGGTTCTTATAAGGAGTCAAACGAGTATTATGCTGTGACGGCCGAGGGAAGTTTTATCTAGCTATCTTCCGTTTCATCATCCGATCTCCTAGAGATAGAAGACGCTTCCGATTGAAATGAATATTAAAACTTAATTATACCTATATTTATAGTTGGTACTGGCGTCTTTGGAAGTTGTTTGGTCACTGTTTTATGAGATGTGATATGCTGCTTCACGGGCGTCTGGGGTACATGTCTGCCGCGGCGATCCGGCTTAGGGGCTGTAAGGGTTGGGTTCAGAAGGGGAAACGTGCCTAGCCGTCGTTCATCCAACCCCTGGGAAAATCATCGAGGAGGGGTTTAAGGACCTAAAGTCTGCACTCTGCAGTAGGACATATGTCGTAATATGCTGCCTAATGTCTCCATATGCCTATTCCCAAAAGCGCTCGCTACCTAGTACAGAACCATTGCACACCAAGTTCTTACAAATTCACGATCCTTTCTAGAATCTCGCATTCGGGTTTTCGATGGGTTGGGATTTGAGCGGGACATAATTATAGCTCCTCCCGATTTTCACGGATGTGGAAGATAGAGGACTGGAAACCTTGGGGGTAAGGATTTTGTTGGCTTTCCAGGTAATTAATAGGTATCTTACAGGGCTGTTGGAAATGTCAGATTTGTGTTCGAGAAGGAGATAAAAAGAACGCAGTCTTTGCTGGAGGTTCGTGAAGGATTGATCGACGCAGGCTGACAAGGAGGCGCTGCTACGGTGTAATTACCCAGCATATAAGTGCTTAGACACTTTAACCTTCAGGGCTTCCTGTGGGCTTTAGGATATGGAGGTCCTTATTATTTCCAATATGGCATCCTAATCTTTGGTGTATCTACTATCTAGCTTGCCCTACCGTTGTATTGTAGATGAGGTTACAAATCCACTTCACCCCAACAGGTAAAACTGGGGACATACAGTTAAACCGATTTATCCAGGCTGCCAGTGCCAGGGCGGAGTTGCTGAAAACATAGTTGACTCGGTGTGGGTTTTGTGGGAATATGTGCATACACATACAGCAGAGATATGTACATAAGACCCTCCTTACATGGCAGATACACGAATAGACTGGCAGGTTTTCGACAGAACCTGGGAAAAGAGCATAGATGGGAAAATGCGTAAGCCGAGGGGCTTTCTTATACTTCAGCGACCCGCAATCTATTTGAAGACGACGTAATTATGCTTCAGCCCAAAGTGCGACATTTCTGGCCTTGCGAGTCATGATACGATTTAGTCCTGACTTTTGCCACTTTTGGTGAACCCAAGCCCGAACCGTTTTCATCATCGTCCGGACTGTTGTTGAGATGTTTCAATAATCTGAAGATCAACAAGCAGACAAGTCACAAGAAACTAGCGAAAGTAAAGACTTGACCACTCTGCCACTTTACAGAGAAAAGAGGATAAGATTTTGTTGGTAGGGCTTAGTTATTATAGGAGGCACACGGATCATCATTGTATAATACAATACGGTTTAAGGTGCTTAACTAGCAGTTTCTTTTCTCCTTTTTTCCCTGTCAGCTGAAAGTTGGTCTTTGGTCCGTTATCCCGACTCTGGATTGCCTAATTGATCGGGAGAAGCAACCGATATGTATGAAGTTGGCAGGTTGGTTAGATATATGCATGCGGTGAGAATCGAGGATACCATAATTTGGGCGCGAATATGTGTTTTACATATTCCTTTACCAAAGACACAAAGCCAGCGATTGTGAACTTAAACTAGAATCTGAAAGCACATGCCTCAAGGCTATAAGCGAGTGGTTGCTAGTACGTATGGGGCTAAAGGGATTCGGATTGTTCGAACTACGAGCCGAAAATCTTCAAGGTCCCTGTGGGTTGATCCGAAGTTGCAATAGCCAGTTGTACGGTTGTCTTCGAAGATCATGAACTGCCACGCGGCACAAAACTGTGTCGCTTACTTATTACGATGAGGTCTCCTTTTCGACAGTGGACAGGCTGCTGGGTCAGTCAGCTGGAAAACCATAAAAAATATGGAAACCATGGAGTCCATGGAGTCCATGGTGACCATGGAACCCGTCCCATCTAAATCGACAAAGCTGCAAGTAAAACAAATGGAAAATTCGCAAATTCGTGATAACGGTGCAGCAATACCTAGCTACAGTACCTAGTACTAGGTGACCGTGTTGTACTGAAGATGAGGGGAAAGCTAGTGCTGCAAGAGATGCATAGGCGACACCAAGATACAGGGCAGACTTGGACCAGCCGAGCATCTAGTACCAATAGTAGCGTGGCGATATTTGCCGTCTGCGCCTCGGGATTCTGTCGACGACGGGGTTCCAAAAAGTACGTCGCTGGCAGGCTGGCAGAAGAGCTTTTAGGGGACCTTGACTGGATCTGATGGGAATTCTATGTAATGTAATGTAGTATTCCTAAAGGGTCTAGTGACCAACCAATCAACCATCCTAAGTAATATCCCTTACAACGTGAGAGGGGTCCCTTTTTAATGTAAGAGAAGAAATCGGAATTCTAGTTAAAGCGAAGATGCCCGACAGGAGAGTTGAGAGAATCTGTTTTCGATTTAAAAAATACTTGAACCTTATTGATCATGTCCTGAACATTCCTGTCATGGAGAAAAAAGAGTAGGTAGTATTTCCATCCGTAACATTGGATGCCTCCTTTAGGTAAATTGTTTATGTTGCTCTATCTCTATCTTGGTGTCGAAGAGAAAGTTCGATGTTGTGAATTTCAATGTTGAAAGTCAGAAATAAAAAGTACCGGAATACAACTTAGAAGTACCGGTTGCCGTATCGACAAGACAAGAACTAGCGATAAACTGATAAGTAGATGCGATCCTGGCTCCAAGTTGGTTTTAGTTCCTTCTTAGGTAAGTTCGAAATCGGAAGACGGAGCGATCCACAAAATGATGAAATGTATCAAGGTTTATCAATATACACTGTGCTGGGACGACTAAAACAGGCTAATCAACTCTCTTCCTCACATATTCCATACCGTGTGAGAAAGGTTATTAATCAAAGGATGCTATCACTTTTAATAATTTATTATTTTTGGTACGTTCGACGCTTGCGCAAAAAGGTAATTTCTGAGGCGAATTATCAGACGAATTGGCCCACCTATTACTTCATCCTCACCACACCAACCATACAGCCAAACAGCGTGGGCGAAGTCCGAAACAAGCGGTAGACCCGTGAATCCGTGATGTACTGTATGCTACTGTATGCCTGTTCACGCAGCTTGTCATCACACAGCCCAGTGCCTGGTGCGTTGTGAGAACCGACAAGTAAACCACCACCTCATCCTGCATTTGCGGCAACGTAAGAATTCATTCACGCTCGAGACTCTGGATTCCCTTCTCTTTGCTACTCTTCCTCTGCTTTGAATACCATCCGAGTGTCGAAATTGCATTGTTGTCTATTCCTTTCTTCTGCCGGAAGACGACAAAATACGCTACTATACAATTACTTTGCTACGTAGCCTATTATTCTAGCGTTGTTGATACGGAGACAATGCCCTATCTTTGCCCCATGTAGCCTGTGCTTTTGGTTACAGGGAGTAAAAACGAATCCGTCGACGACACTCGACCGACAAATATACAAAATTCTAATAGGTACATACAAGTTGCTTCTTTGCACGGATACTATTTTGTCGGCGGGAGACATTTCGACATTCCGATATCTCGATATTTCGACTTAAGCACTTTGCCTATCAGAAAAACTATTGCACATTACACACTACCTACACATTACACGGCAAAATAAATCCTACTTTGTGTACCTAGTACCTAGTAGCGATCTACCCTCTACTACAACCTACACCTATGCCACGAACGAAATAACGGAACCGAGGAGGAAATAAGAAATACAGGAAAACGAAACGGGTCAATTAATTATCGAATTGCAAACCTTCTACATTGGATTTCTTCGACTTTTTCTCTGGTTCAACACAACCTACCGGAATATTCGGTATACAACCCGCTTCCAGCCATCGACCTAGGTACCTATTGTACCTGCCACATACCAGTAGCTTGAGTCAGCCTAAACTTTCCAAGGTTACTGGTCATAGTGGCTGCTTAGGTGCTCTAGTACTACCAACAGCCATTGAAAGCCACCGACAGCCACCGACAGCGCTATATTTCTGTCGCTAGCAGTTTCCCAACTATTCCCGGACCAAGCCCTGGAGCATTTGCCCATTCTGCCCTTGTTACCTCAGGTACCTAAAACTTACGACGGTAGCGCCTTTGGTTTTCCAGCACAAAATCAATCTAAAGTTCCCTTCAGATTCCCTTACAATTGGCTAAAAACTTGCGACCGCAATAGGCGGGAAAAAGGACGCTAGGTACAAGCACAGGCTTCCTTAGGTACCTCGTTCCCCTAACTTAGTATATTTCTAGGTACTGTACCCTACTGTACCTACTGTACCTACTGTACACTGGGAAGGTGCACGAAATAATTCCCAGGTTTCCCAACCGCCATCCCAAGCCCCAGGCCCCAAACCCAAACTCCACGAACCCTTTCACCTCCTCTCCCTCTCCCTTCTACATTGACATTGTTGTAAGATGTCAACGCCGACAACCGCAACCGCAACACTTCCTCCTCATTATCGTCACCATCATCACCCCTCTCACCACTATCCGCCGTATCCAAATCTGTCCACGTCTGGCTCATCTTATCGTGCTGTTGCTATAACTGGTGTCGCTTCAAACCCTATCATCCCCACCTCAACTTCGACGGCCTCGACGGCAACAGTGTCCAATCATCACCAGGCACATTCCTCGTCTTCGTATACCACCAGCCAGATTTACTCCGCTTCCAGTCAAACGCTTCGCCCTTCTCCAAATGGAGTAGCTGCATCGATTGCCACTACGAGACCGACTCAAGATTCTACGAGAACCAATTCTACTCCCCATATAGACGCATACAAAGCCAGCATGCCTCCCTCAACCGCCTCAACTACGCAAACCTACAGCGACGGTCAGCCGAGAAAACGGCGAAGATCTAAGGAACCGGATTGGAAAACTTTCTACAAGAATGGATTGCCTAAGGAAATTATTGTCATCGACGACACGCCAGAACCAGACAAAGACTCAGCCGTAACTTCTACCCGAACACATGCAAATGACGAAACTACTCGTCACGGACCCAAGAGACGCAGGAAAGAAGATGTAGTTCGCAACGATGACGCATATAGTAGCAGAGTCAATGGTTCTTACCAGCAAACCTCCAATAGTAGTTCTACGTCGACCGATCGCACGACATCTGCCCACAACACGACAGCCGCTACCTCGCTAGGTTCTTTGTCTTCGAATGGCCAGTACGACTACGAGAGCCGTCAAGTTGGTCAGAAGAGGAAGAGAACCAGACAGCAAATTGCCCAAGAAGCAAAGAGGCGGGAAATCGAAGTCCTTGGTGATGCCTTCGTAACCTACCGTCCGCCTCAGAAGCCTGTCAAGAAAGCTGGTGATGTAACCGTTAGATCCGTTAACGATGTAAGTTGGCTTGCTCGGGTTATAATGGGTCGATTACTGACAATTGTATTCTAGCGTTCTGACCAGAGGCACCAAAGAGTTGACGATGATGATGGCCACTACATTGTCGTTCCCGATGCTGACCTAACACCCCAATGTACGTCCACTCAGCCTGCTTTCTACACATGGATATATATCTAACAATTAATCAGATCAAATGATTAAGCTACTTGGACAGGGCACATTTGGTAAAGTCGTCCAGGCTCGTGATCGAAAGCGGAATAAGTTGGTCGCAATCAAAATCATCCGAGCCGTTCAAAAATACCGAGACGCCTCACGAATCGAATTACGTGTTCTTCAGACCTTGAAGGCCAATGACGACGAGAACCGAAATAGATGTATACATCTCCGGGACTGCTTCGATTTCCGTGGTCATATCTGCATCGTCATGGACCTTCTTGGTTCCAGCGTTTTTGACTTTCTTAAAAGTAACAACTTCGTCCCTTTCCCGAACAGCCAGATCCAAAGCTTTGCTCGTCAACTATTCACGAGCGTGGCTTGTAAGTACTATTCTACATACTACTCCCATTTTGCTTATTGACTCTTTCCTAGTTCTGCATGATCTTAATCTCATCCATACCGATCTGAAGCCGGAGAATATTCTACTCTGCGACAGTGCATACCAAACATTTACCTACAATCGACGGATACCATCGTCCTCGGCTGGCGTAAATCGACAGGCTACACAACGCAAAGTTCTCTTAGATACCGAGATCCGACTTATTGATTTTGGATCTGCAACTTTCCAAGACGAATACCATTCGTCTGTCGTATCGACACGACATTACCGAGCCCCCGAGATCATCCTTGGTCTAGGCTGGTCCTTCCCCTGTGACATCTGGAGCATCGGCTGCATATTGGTCGAATTCTTTACCGGCGACGCCCTCTTTCAGACGCACGATAATCTCGAGCATCTCGCTATGATGGAGAATGTTTGCGACTGTCGTATAGACAACCATCTAGTCCAGACTGTAAATAAGATGGCTACACGAAGTACCGGAAATGCCGCATCTAAGTATGGCTCCCGCGCCCATCACGCGCACGCCTCCACTAACCCAACCCACAGATACTTCAAGCGATTAAAGTTAGACTATCCGACTGCGGAAACTACGCGAGCATCGAGACGGTTTGTTAAGAACATGAAACGTCTAAGTGTAAGTCGCGCTACCTTGCCTCTGATCTACATGAATTGTTAACACGGATATAGGACATCATACCGGCCTCGAGCCCTTTCCTTAGATCTTTCTTGGATCTCCTACAGAGGATTTTCGTTTACGATCCCGCAAAACGAATTACTGCTCGCCAAGCCCTAGAGCACGAGTGGTTCCGAGAGCCGGCCATTCCCGATGATGGAACTGAGGCTGCGAAGATCCGGTTGGAAAGAATGAGGGAGCATGAATTCCCCGCTACTCGGGGTGTGGCGGTGGCTTAATGGAATAACGATGGTGTAATTCACCAACTTAGTAATGACGCGGCATTGATACCAAAACGAACCTGTATATTTGGGATGGAATAAGACCTAGCATTCTCACGTTACAATTGTGGTTTGCAATACCATTGGGCTTAGGCAAAGGGTGAGGAGGTCGGGCGTTCAGGCCAGCATTTTTTGTGCGAGTAGTTATCATGGCATTGAGCATACGTTACGTAAAATGGTCTACAGCCTCCACGCCATGTAGACGGAACGACTCGCGACGTTTTCTCAATATAAAGCCCATTGCTATGGGTGGCAGTTCCCATTCTGGTGGAGATATGATATTCTCGTCTGGTCACCTAACGTGAGGCATTCGTTTAGGCATCTGGAAGAGCAAGAGGCCATTATGATCTATTTACATCTGGCAAACTAATATCCTCTTTTGTAAGTCTTCATACTTAAACTTTCTAGAATGCTACTGTTGACTCTAGAGACCAAGGGAAACGTCATATATTTCTTTCGGCATTGTGTGAGTGGAAGTCCAGCAGCGTGGAGAACAATCGCTTTGTGTTTGGAAAATACGCCTATCATCCATGACGAGACGACAAAATAAAGGGCTTCATTGTTCATCACTACCAACTTGTCTCGTACAAACTACTTGAGAGTTCGACTTTACATCCCTTGTTGCGATACTAGCGTGACGTCCGAGAACAATGACCAGAGACTCTTATGGCATACATAGCGCCGCCCGGCCATCAGACTGATCGATGTGAAATTTTAGCATATTGCCTATATTCGCCCATTGCTTGCAGCCAATTTTTTAACCTAAGAAAACGAAACAAGAATATTAGGAAAGAAAATTAGCAAAAATGAGTATCGATGTTCGAGACCTGTCCAGCGCCAACGTTACTCGTCTGACGAGGCTCCTTTCCCGGCGCCCGGAGTATGGCATCGCGATTCCATCGAGGAGATGGCTCTGTAGGCAAGAGGAAAAGCTCAAGTCTCTTCCGAGCGAGCTGCTTCGCACGTCGAATCCTTTAAAACGACTCGTTATAAAAATCGCCGACAGCATCGACCCGAACGTGATAGACCCGAGAGCTATCCTGTGTAAAACCCACACAACTCTAAATCCCTGGCTTATCCGCCGCTTGTTCCTAGCCGTCGCTTATGAGGTCACCGTCTACACTGACACGCTCCGCTCGTGGAAAGGTAGGAAGGACTTCCCGATTATATCCGCACTTGTTGGGCGCATAGACGCCATCGCTGCTCTTTGGACCGAACCAGATTTGTATCGCGAGTGTTACGGAACACCCCCTTTTGAGAATCATATGGTCTTCGTCAGATCTGGTTGTGAGGCGTGTATCCTAAGTGCCTTGGGTGCTAATGCTCGCGTACTGGCAGACCTGAGATCTATCCTTGTCGATCGAATCGAACGACGTTCGCCTCGTCCGGATAATCGCCCAGGTAGAGATCCTAGGCTCGCCCGTTTTGTTGATGAATGGATTGACCATCTAAAGGAAGAAAGAGCAGCAAAATGTAGGGCCATGAGCGATAATGTGTTGGCAGAGCTTAGGGCCACGCGATCTGAGGTTACAAAGTGGCGAAGTAAGCGGAAAAAAGAGTGTAAGAGATCTAAAGGCGGCAGAAGACCGATTTATACCGAACTCAAGATTACGGATTCGGGACATCAGTTGAGCAGTATTCCAGATACTTCGCGATACAGAAGGAGAACGAGGAATGGCATTCCGGTAGCCATGGTCGACCCAGAGGGCGCGGAAGAGCAAAGGAGGATGGCGATGTTTAGCATGACCCAAGAAGCAGAAGGGACTAAGAGCATCTTCAGGCCGGATAGCATGTGCGACTTTTCACAAGTTGGAGCACCGCGGATGGCCGCCTACGATCCGACAAACTCGATGAATGGAAGGCAACAAGACTCGCACTCTGTCAGTGGTAATGCCGACATATACGACGACTACGAAGAGATGGACGGCGAAGCAGACTTCGATCGGAATCTCGAGGAGGAAGAAAAGAGTCGTAGCAAAGTGACAGACTGGTACGCCACGCGACTAGCAGAGTCCCACGCGGATTTATCGGCAGACGACGCAAGATCAGTCTTGTCTGGAGTCCATCCAGCATTCCAGCCGCCAAAATCATATAGCCACCTTTCTGCCTCACCATTGCCGCTTAGGATCAATAAGGAACATCAACCCAGCGTAGAACATGCCGACAACCAAAGCGTCTGGACCGATGTTTCTGTACACACCTTGAACCCCAACGTCGCCGGCCCCGACCAAGACGCACCACCCGTCCCGCGAGTCTCCTCGATCTACAACGGCGAAAGCAGCAGACAAAACAACACCGACAGAGCCTCCAGAGCCTCCAGAATCCGCACGCCTAGGCCTAAATCCTGCAAGCCAGACCGTCCCGTAAGCCGAAACACCACCAGCTCCTCCGTGTACTCCGAACAGCCCCCACCTTCTTCCATCCCCCCAGTCGACAGCAGACACCGCACCTCGAAACGCACGTCATCATCGGCCCCCCCAAAACCGGCGCTCCGGAAATTCCTCTTCCCCGACGCCTCGGAGAGCGGGTCCCGCGCTTCCGCAACCCAGAGCCAGTACCTCCGCTCGCGCAAGGGCATCCGCGATTTCGCGCGCGGGGATAACCCGTTCACGCGGGAGCCCTCGACGCCGCGGCCTAGCGTTGATACTAGCACGGCGCCGTCGCTGTCGACTCCGACTTCGCGTGGCAACACGGTTGCGGATGACTTCGGGCCACCGACTCCGGGCCCGCTTGATGAGGCGTATCGCCAGGAGTGGGGGTTCCCCGAGGCTGGGTTTGCGGATGATGGGTCGATTGGCCCGGATGATTCGCTTACTGTGGTTGCGGAACGGCGGGCGAGGGAGGAGGCTGCTGCTGGTGGGGATGGGGTTGGGGATGTGGAGTTTTCGCCTTGGGGGTGGTTTGCGAGGAAGAGGTAGAACTGCTGCTGGGCTGAGGCTTAGTAGGGGTTTGAGGTGAGTTATTTCTTCTGTTTTTTTTTCCTGTTTTTGTTTAGCTATTTCTTAGTAATATACGTGTTTGTTCAGAGTTTTAAGGTCTGGTTTATGTGCTGATGTGATCTGTTGTGTTAGATGTGTATGTGTATATACTTGATACTGCGGAATTTGAGATCAGTTCGTCCTACACTTCAGGGTTACTTTTCCGAAAAGAAGTGGTACTGCTACTGTTAGTATATGGTGGCTTGGTCTATGGGATGTATCGTCGAGACTCGTCGTCCTGTAGCCGCCATGTCGACTCTTTTCCATATTGCAGCGGTCGAGTAGCCAAATCGAATCCATTTCCGTTTCGATATACTGTGATCCGCGAAGACTACCTCTCGGTTTCCTCAGCTACCAGTCGGTATGCTCACACCCCATCTCGCCCCCTAGTGCGCCCTATCGGAATCGCCGCATTGAAGTCGCCTCGTGGTATATTTATTTTCTTTCTCTGCGGGTCCCTCTTCCGCGGATCCCCCCGGATCTTGTTCCGGACAAAGAATGGGTTATATTCTAACAAATGCTTCGTCTTCCTTACTGAAACTTGGCACACAAAGCGATTGTCTAGTACAAACCTACGGGCAACTTCACGGAACCGAAATATAGTAATCCAGAGCGTTATTCAACATGACTACCTAAGCTTAGACATGTGTCTGAGCGTACATGTAGAGAACCATTGCTTTGATCTCGCAAAACATGCGATGGCGTTTGTCAAGCAAACAAACTTCCCTTTCCTAGCTCGGCTCGGCTCCAGACTACTATCCCTAAAGGTCACGCCGGACCAGACTGACAAAATCATCATTGGCATTATTAGCCATGAGCTACTAATCCTTAACATCAGTAGCCTTTAAAAACCCTCACACTGCGCATCCCACGGCACCTTCTGGTTCCCCGCCAAACACACATTCTCATTCGCAAACGCGCGCCAGCGATCCATCAGATCTGTCGAAGCGATACCGGCTTTCTGGGTGTAGAATGAGAGGTGTCCGACAACAGCGCGCGTGTCAATAACAAAAGGCCGACCAAGTCTTAGCGGAATCGAAACCGTCATCGCGGCCTCGTCGTCTCCTAGGATGGGTAATCCCAGCGCCACATCCCGTCCCCAGATCGCGACGAAGTTTAGGTTATACCGCTCGTACTGCGTATCGTAGAGCTGTTCGCCGCCGGGGCCCGTGTATTCGACCCCCCCATTCCCACTTCCTTCACCATTCTTCCCACCACCAAATTTACCACTACCACCACCACCGTTCCCAGAAGAGTCCAGCGCAGGAGCGTAGTAATAGTGTCGATGCCGGTGATAATGCCCATCAGACGAGTAATAACTATGCGCACCATCATCATTCTCGTCGCGCGGGGCATAGTTCAGCGCGCGTCCGAAGTGGTACACGTGCATTTGGTTTAACTCCAGATTATACAGCAGCGAGTACAGCTGCTGCGCGGCAGCGGCCCAGGAGCGCCAGCCGGGCCCGAAGGCGATGGGGTCGGGGCCGGGGTGCGCGCTCCATTGGCCGATGGGGGTTTGGGGTAGGGTCGTTGTGTTGTGCGTGTTGTTGGTGAGCAGCAGCCAGGGGTGGCCCCGGTACGGCGGTTGTATGTCCAGCGGTGCGACGGGGAGCGCGGCGGAGGCTGGGTAGAGCGGGAGTTTGGAGGGCTGCCAGGTTGTGCTTGCGTTGTGGGTTGGTTGCGGGGACGGGTCGGGGAGGAAGGGGTGGATTGCGCCGTAGTGGTATTGCTGGAGCCCGGTTACGGGGCTGTTCACTAGTTGCGCTGAGATGGCGTAGGGGTGTGGTTGGGCTAGACGCGTGTGTACGAGTTGGGGGATCGCGTCGTGGTGGATGTACAACTGGGGATTGGTTAGTTGGGTTCGGGTCTGTATAGCGAGGTCCGTGACGAAAACGAGGAAGAGGAAGAGGAATAGGTAAGGTGAAAAGGAAAGGGTAGAAGGGAATTGAACTCACGATGTCGTCGTCGATCTTGATGTACAAGGTATCACTCTCCACCATGTTCTCCCAGATACATCCATACGTCTCCTCCTCGCCACAAGATCCGAGGCTCTTGAACTTGTACAAAGGATCTTTCTTGACGAATTCGTTAAGCCAGGCGATGTCTTCCGCCTGTTGAGTGTGTACCATGAACCACACATCGTCGAGGTATCCGCCGTTAGAGACAAGGTTCTGCTGAAGGTAGCAGTCGAGGATATCGACGTTGCGTTTGCGACCATAGAACACGACTGCCACGACCTTCAGACCACGAGGCTTCTTCCAACCGTCAGCCGGCGCAAAGGTGTCGAGATACAGACTCTGATGTCGTCTCGACTTCAGCTTCGGCTGCGGGATATACTTGCCCTCGTGATCTACAGGCCACGTCGTGCAGTAAGTAGGATCGAGATGGTCTCCCATCCGCGGGTCTTGCGCGGCTGCGGTTGCGTTAATGGGTACGGCATAGTGGAACTCCAGAGACTGAGCCTGCGGCCGGGAGGCTTTGCCTGAATCGGACAGCAGAAAAGGCACAGGCACATCAGCAACATTGGCGTAATGGTTCAGAGTGAAGAAGCCCACGACGAGCAAAATCGCAAGAATGATGAACGAACGTTTACGAACGCGTCTACGGTTGGTGAAGGGTAGGGGAGGTAAACGAGGGGGTGCCCAGATGGGATCGGAAAAGGTTGAAAGTGCTTCGTAGTCTCCCATGATGGCGAGAGAAGAGCAGAATTTTGGGAGTGAGGAAAGGTGGGTTATATATTTTATTTCTTGTGGGATTCGAAAATCAGATCTATCTTACGGGATACCGTCTACATTTTAGAGTAGGGCCTGAAGTCGAGAAGCGCGGGCATGGTCGTCTCGTAGATTCAAGCGATGGGTTCGTGGGTATGCCGATGAATCAATGTCGCGAAAAGAACGGGACCGGCGGCATAGAGGTGTGAGAAACGATCACTTTTAGCTACAGTATTCTTATTGACGGACCCGGGTGAGTGAATATACGGATGGTCTTTTCAGGATCCTCCCTGAATACTGCCGCCTTTGTTAAAGAGTTGCGTTGGATATATCTAATGTGAATAGGGGGAAAGAGAAACAGTAATGTGTATTGTATAGCTATATTAGCCCCTATTTAGTCTCTCCGAGGTGTAGTGATCTCTCCTACTAATAAAATAGTACTTGGAAAATCACCCTTACAGACTGCTCTATCATCTTGAGTAATTTGCTATGCGGAGATAAATCACCAGTCTACTTGTTAAGCGGACATATGGGTGTCGTTTTACTTATTTCATCCAGCTTGTAAGAATAAGCTTTATAAAGACTTAATTTTTGTATCATCCTCATTTGCTGTCGGAGGAATGGGCATACTACTTACTAGTCGGGCTTCCTTGCGAAATAGATATAGAGGTCAAGCTTAAGTCATCGATATTAGAGTGGAAGACAATCCAGCGCCTTAACCAAGATCAAAGCAGTCCTCATAAATTTAAACAAGAAAGGCTGATGGTCCAATTGATATATAATACCAGAACGGCAATTCTATATTATATACATATACAACGCCGCATCAAGCATCATCAGTCTCCTTCGCATCCTCGAAGAGCTTCTGCAGGGTCGGCAGGAAAGCTTGGGCCTTCCGGAAATCCCCAAGCTTAACGCGCATGTAGTCGAACGCCACCAGTACCACCTCGTCCAGCTGCGCCTTTTCGTCATCCTTGGCGTCAGGCCGTATTTCGAAGCTGTCCTCCATTGTGGGCACTTTCTGGTATCTTTGAGAGAAATGCGTGAGCAGGATCCTCCGCGCGCCCATGCGCCGGCCGACATCGATGGCCTCCGACATGGTCGAGTGCTTCTTCGCGATGGCGTCGCCTATTAGCTCGTCTTCGAATGTGCTTTCGTGGATTAGCAGTGTGGCGCCCTTTCCGATCTGGACGAAGTCGTCACTCGGTCTGCAATCGCCGGAATACGCGATCTTGAGACCGGATGGGAAGGTGAAGACGGTTGCAAGTGCCCCGTAACAATGTCTTACGAAGCAGGAGTCGATCCGATCTAAGCCGAACATGGCCCTCTCTTCTTCCGTGAATATGCGAGGCGGGCAGGTTTGCCCTGTACTACCCTTTGCATACCGAGCTATGCTGGTCACAAGACGATCAAAGCCATAATTCTCGATGTCAGCATATTCCCGTAGCCAATCTATCATGTGTATGTGAGAAGCGATGAGGAGCTTAGCCGAGGGGTTAGATTTGCTCGTCTCCTCATGCCACTTTCGAATGATAGAAGCAGTACCTAGATGGTGATCCGCGTGTAGATGGCTAATCCATATGGCCTTAAGATCCCGCAATATTTCTGGCAGTTCGTCGCCAAACACTCGGCTCAGCTGACCAAGTGTATTCTCGCCGCAGTCGAATAGATAATTTCCGTATCCTGGAACGCGAACGAGCGTGGCTGAGACATTACGGTACTTGGAAGGTAAGGCAGAGCCAGTCCCCAGGGAGATTACCTCTGCATCTCGATTGGGAATGTCAGACTCTACTTTCTCGATTTTGGCAAGAAACTCGGGATCCGAAATCTTCGTTCTTGCTTCTACGGCCATTTTTAATACTTGTTTGCCTAGTCCTCGGCTGTGTCGAGCAAGTTTTTCGATGTCCGGGAAAGGAACGATCTTGTCGTCCTGATGTAAATATTGCGGCGAGAATTGAACCATTTTCCCAACCTGACCACCTTCGTAGATAGGGGGAACGTCTATTATCGGAGTGTCCGATATTGAACGTAGGTTGTTGTATATCGGCAGGGGGAACCGGTCAGGGTCAATACACCGCAGTTTGAAAGCTTGTGCTGCTACCGACTCTAAGGAGAGCCTATTCGGACAGCTGTCTGGCGAGGAGACAACATGTTTTAATTTCGACATCTTTTGCATAAACTCTTGTAATCGAACGTCGTCCCCAACTCCATGACCTAATATCCAAAAGATGACATTGACCTCATTCATTATCTTCTCGTCTAACCACTCGGTACGGTTTATAAGCGAATCGATATAAGAAGAATCTGGCAAATCAACGATGGCAAATCCATTACCGCGGACGGTCTCTCCTATAACCATCTCAGGGGTGACTATCATCCCGTCTTTTCCCACGGTGTTCTCTCCTCTCGTAAGAAGCTTGTAGTTAAACTTGGGTACACCATACTCTTCAGCTGCTTGGGGATTGAATTTCCCCCGTCGATCGTGGTTCTTGACTATATAGCACATAGACTGTTTTGAGGGTTCTGTTCGTGGCAGTGACTGAATCATAGCTCCGGGCCATGGTTCACGTACTAACACGGGTATATCTGGTACGTCTTTACCATCTCCCGGCATAGGACCTTTATACATCTGAATGTGGCCTTCTTTGTCTCTGACAAATATTTTTGCTGGTAGTTTTGCTTTATGTAAAGTTGTCTCAATCAGCGCGTCCATTTTCCAGTTGGAGTCAAACATCTGGTTGACTATGGTGTTTACCAACTTTACACCACCTTCCTTGTTCTCATCCGCCTCGGGATCTCCTATAAACTCTTCGAGAGATCTTTTCCTGGGGTTGGTCGGCGACCCACTTGTTGATTGGACAGGCATATACCATACATTGATGTTGACATCTTGCCAATCCGGGTCGGAGGAGTGTTGTTTCGCAGGACGAGGGTCGTCGCGAACCTCATTGGGGATCAAAGGAAGACCCTTGCGGAAAATGAATCGTCGAGCAGTAGCTAGCAGGTGTGCCATGTTCTTCCCACCATGGATTCTAAGGCTCGGTAAGGTATTGGGATTGAATCCAACATCGCTCTCGCGAACCTTCCCGCCTCTTTTCTTCCTCTTCTCCTCCTGATTCGCCCGTATGTTTTCTACCTTTCCAGCAAGAGTGTCGGCAAGAGTTAGAATGACGCCAAGGAGACCACCGGTAGTTTGCCAATTAACTACCCCGGTCAAAAAGACATCTTCGACTTTCTGTATGCCGATGTTTCGCTGAACGAATGCGCGCTGGGTGCCTTCGGCAATATTTCCGAAGACATATCGCTTGTTGTCGAAGTGAAGCAGCAAACAGGTACCATGGGTGTCGGCGGTGGGAGTCGTAATGATCTGGACCCAGTTCAACATCTTGAATCCAAATGCTTGAGCTGCAAGGTCGGCCGGCAGCGGACGCTCCTCCACTGGTACGTTAGGAGCTAGGAAGAATCGGATGCGACGTTGCTGATCCCCGGGAAATGCTCGTATTACGGATATATTCTTGTTGTTAAAAAGTTTAGTCGGGAGTGGCGCCTTTTTGAAGACTGCAAGTGGAATGTGAATATTAACTGGCCGAGCACTTCGTGATCGTACGGGAGTATGCGGTTTTACGCTCGCAGGATGTAGAGGAAGATGGCCCGGCGTTGTAACGATTGCATTGCGAAATCTCATGGATTTTTACATGGAATATTCAGAGAATTCCACCTAACTTCACTGTATAACTGTGACTCATGTAATGCGCAGGTCTACGCAGTTTAATCCAATATCGCAAACCGCGACCGTGTGTAACTCGAATTTATTTTTCTTATCTTATCTAGCCCCGCCAAATTCTTCACACCTGCCGGCACTTAGCATTGGCACTTGGCAGTAGCTTCTCATCGATTATTAAGTATCTATGTACCTAAATGCTCCAAATACAAATAAATATTCGCATGAGGAGAAATAACTTCTATTTCATTATTCCGCACATCACATCTTCCGCTTTACTCTATGGCAGCGCACTTGCTACCACGATACCAGATTTCGCTGTAACCTGAATATTAGAGCCTCCTTTACACCAGCACGACCCAGCTTTCTGTCCAACAACACCTTTCTCATTCCAGACCGAGCCGACGTCTCTACGCTTCTCCATCCAGTTTAGCGAATCGCATAACCTGACACACTCGTCGAGCGAGTTCGTAACCAACGCTGCTTGGTCCGTTCCCGTCAAGTCGCTATTGCAGTAAAACCTGTATATTATATTTATTCCGTTTGTCGACATCGACGTCGTCGTGCCATTTATATCGGGACACCCAGAATCTACCACCGATGTTATCGTTGATGACGCGATCGAGGTCGTCCCTGAGCTCCTAGTACTGCTGGTGGATGTGGATGTAGGTGTTGCGGTGGTAACCGAGTCGGCGGATTCGGCAGCTACGGAGTTGTGTGCGGACGTCGAGGTAGTAAGGGACGCTGATAGGGTATTCGCATTGCTTATGGATGCGCTGTCCGCGTCTTTTCCTAGGCGAAGCATTAGAGCCATGTTCTCTGGCGGGTACTAGGTAGGTTCTCTTCATCTAACCTGTGTTATTAACATTATTATTATTCCTCAAGCCCAGACCCAACCCCATTCCTAGACCGAGCGCCAACGAAACTACGGCACATAGTGTTACCAGCAACCAGAACGTTTCCCTCCTCAACCCAGATATCCTTTTTTCGGAGCCGTTGTCATTCTGCCATTGCGATATATCATATCCTTTATAGTGAGTATGCTGCGGGGGAACGACCTCGGGGATCGCATGATCTGGGGCAACCTCCATCCCGGATTCGAGTGCTACTTCTTTCGTCGAGTGCATCTGAGCGAAGTAACAAGCCTCGAAGGCGAAAAGGGGACGCCGCAACCAAGTATTTGTATTTGTGAGTGCTACCTACATAAATATCGGTTGGTGTACTATATATACGTGCCACCCCCTTGGTATATGGACTGTATCTTCGATGCTACTCTCACTGCATACAGCCCCCGCGTTTTCCAGGCGATACCTGATCTAGCCAATTAGATCTATTTAATTTGAACGTACAACCGTATTGATAGAATGCCTTAAATACCAGCAACACGCCAGGTCCTTCCCCATGATGGGCGTGTTAAAAGTCGACAAGGGCTCTCACACCACGCGATTATACCAATCCTGATAGTATGTAGCAGAGAAACTTAGCTTAGCGGCTGGTAATTTCGGGTGCCATTCGGCTCGTATCTCACATGGAGTTTCAACTAAGGCACTGATACCTTACATTGTCACTGATCCTGCCTCGCTTACTATGCGGTAGCATTGCTAAACTAGCACATATATTTCACGATATAAATAGAAGCCACAAATGTGACGACCGCTTCAGGTAATCGGAATTCATAATGAGTATCTACCCCTTGCTCACCTTGGAAGAGCTTTGCATTAGTGTCGTTCAAGACAACCTAGCCTTGTGGTCTATCATGTATCGGCGAACTATTCCCACCGTATTTAGCTTCATTCATCAAGACACGACAGAGAGAATTGTTGTCAGTGTATACTAAGTAGCAAGCCATTTGATTTGATAGTATCGATCACAATTCCATCTTACGCGCCATGAGCAAGTCTAACATACAAGGTATGGTTCCTAACGAGTGTGCCGTATGAAGCGACTGTTTTCTATACAATTGACAAGTTCTTCGAAGTTAATTACATCCTATTAAAACATCTATGTATTCCAGGAAACCGCCTAGTCCTTTCGCCTGGTCGCCTGATTGTTTTCGCAGAAAATCAAAGTGGTATCATAACTCAAATACCCGCCCCGTAACCAATGCAGAACCGCAGAGTATTCATTCGATATAATTCCAACGATGATCCAAGCTTGCACACGTGTGAACTTCCACTAAAAAAACAAAGTCAATCCGCCTTTCGAACGCCCGTTTGAATTGCAACGACTTGATCACCGGATAGTAGTTGGTGACATTCGTGGGTACGAATGCCGAAGGTCTCATCTGAAAGTGCCCCTTTCACTCAAATTATGAATTCGGCACAAGACCCGAAGACCGCGTCCATGTTGAGAAAGTTAGCCATAGATCCTTCTTAACCCCTTGACAAGCTTGGAAGAAACTCTCGATACCCGGAACCTGGTGAAGTTCGTCAAGCGTTCGAGGTAGCGTAGTGACAAGACATTGTAGGGTATGCTCAGAAACTATTGGCTGAGCCGGTTTCGGGTTCATCAACCAAACAACGCTCTTGACGTAGGCGTCCAATTTGTTTCTCAATATTCTGTGCTGGGGACCCAACGACTCAATATGTTCTGCTTTGTTCACCGGTGGAGGAACGGGAACCTCAGGTGGGTTTAAGCCTGATGTGGGGTTTAAAGAGAGATCCGCAGTATTTGCTTTCTTGGAAGGGGAGTTTGAGCATTCTATTCGTTTGCGTTTCAATTGTGGTGATATGGGCGGCATTATAGGTGGTTCCAATGTTGATTTCTCAGGGCCATCATAACAGACATCATCATCCCTTTCTACCGGTATTTTATCAACACTAAGATTAGTTTCGCTAAGCTTGAAGGACAATCCAGTGCTGCCCGTAGGCTGGGCCGGCAACAGTTCTATTGAGCGGCCTACATGTTTAATCCTATTATGTGTTGGCGGTCGGTGATCGAGCTGTGGATGTGGTTTTTGAAAAAAGTCCTTTGGATGCGACTCTGCAGGTGTTTCTGATATCGATGGTAGTAAAGGCCTTGGTTTAGGGTCAGCCTCAAAACCCGCAATAATTCTAAGCCAAGCAGGTCCGTATGTGGCTACTTGAGATTCTGTTATGTCATCAATGGCTAGAAGTTCCTTATAGGTCGTAGGGCGTTCTCGAGCGATAGCTTCCAAGACTAAATTGGTGGCTATAACGTAGGATAGACACCCTCGAATGGTAGCTAGGGATTTTCGATGCTCATAAAGCCGCTGGTATAATTCGTCTGGTGAATCGGATGGTGCGGAATCTAGAGGTTTTTGACGATCAGCTGTTTTGTTGGGAATGATCACATTCGGAGATTTCGACTGTAGCGGAATGGGAGCCTTCTCAGGGATTTCCCTGGGACACTCCTCATTGTATTGGGAAATAATCTGAAGCCATTCATCACCATATAACGAAGCCTTATTTTCACCCACTCCGTGTACCTTCAAAAGCTCTTTTTTGTTAGTTGGACGAGATTTAGAGAGCTGATCTAGGATCTTATTCGTGGCAATGATGAAAGCGGATATGCCTTTCGCTTTCGCAAGGATTCTCCTATGCAACACAAGTTTCTTGTAGATTTCGCGCGAGATTTCTAGATCTTTCGAAGCGTCGACTACGGTTTTCTTTTCATCCTTAGTATTCCCTTTCGGCTGTATATCTAGTGGTTTGGACGTTTCTGTTTTCTCAACACTCCTATCTGTCACTTCGTCACTCTCTGGTTGGAAGAAATCTCTAGCTGTGAATATAGCTGCTTCAGGTCGATCTGGAACTGGTTCCAGCTGGACAGGTATTACTTTCGAGAATGCAAAAGGTAAATATGACTCTCCTAACTTAGGCAAAGGCGGAATCGGTGTCATTTTGAGTCGTAGTGCGTTCATGCGATGAAATAACATATACCCAGCGTAGGCATCGTCGGCGGCATATGTCTTCTGTCTGTCGTCCAAGGGTAAACTCCAATCACTTTTCCGGACAGACCCTTTGAAAAGAGGTAGTCCGAGGTGGTCTTCAACAAGTTTACTCAACGCGCGCAGTCTTGTTGTAACTTTGTCGGGATTCTGTGATCCGAAGGTGACCAGATTGTTTAAGTGACTTAGCTCGACGGCGCCCCGAGGTGCCAACTGAAAAAAATTCTGAAGTCTGGAGAAATCGGCACTCAGTATTCCCACGCCTGTCTTGATAATATTCGCGGACTCGATGATACGGCGCAGAGCTGGCGCGATAAGTTCTTCAGTTGTGTTACCATCATGGCGTGCGATATGAAATAATCCGATTTTCCGTTCGCAGGCTATCTGGATCAATGCTACTTTGTCTCTGAGTCGCGGGCGCTTATCGGAGTCCCAGTACCATTCCATATCAAATCCTATCACAGGCTCATTGAGAAACTCCCGTGCGATAACCTCGGAATGGCTCCTATCGCTACAATATGATATTCGGACGGATTCGTTCTTGGGGCCGCGATAGTAGGTATGGTTCCAATATGTGCGCGGTGGCGCTCCCTCGGGGGAAGGTCTTAAATAATATGACTGAGGCCATTGGATTGCGTTTTTGTCGAAAGGAGAGGCCGGTCTCCATATACCATCATTATCTGTCGATGTCATAACTTAGATTGAAGCACAGCATTTCTAGTGGACAAATAGTTGGAGATGGTGGGTGACACTACGTAGGTACCTACGCTAGAGAACTCAAAAGAGGGCGTGGAAGTGGGGGGAGAGCGGGCGCTAGAGGACCCTAAAAATTAGAAGCCAACGCCCTGGGACGATCAATTCCTAATTGTGCTAGATCACGTGCGCTCCAGGCTACAGCGTAATGTTTCAGAACCCCACTCAGCCGGACGTCCCCAGGTCAGCTCAACTCACTATTCGCAAATTTGAATAGCTTTGCGTCTTAATCCATACTTATATGCATCAGTACATAATCAGATCCATAGATCTAAAAGAAGCATTCAGATTTCAGATTGCCAAGACATTCCGCATTCAAACTATTGCAGCTGGCCGATAAGTAACCTCTAGGTAGCGCGAGTCTGAGTCTTAACCCCATACATAAAGGCAAAGTCGTTCTCGGCTTCGTACTTCCACTATCAGCAAGCCACACTTCTCTGCAGCATCACTGATGGCATTTCCATAATTCCCGCCATTCCAATTATTCTGCACGACCTCCCGGTATCGGTGCGCCTACAAGCCACCTGGCGACACGTATGACGCATCTTATCACCAAACGAGCTGCTAGCCGTTCGTCTGGTGCACGCCCATCTGGTAGAACTCGTTGGTGTTTGGCCGCCCACTCAGCCCACATAGCGATGACGGAAACGTCGATCGCCTTCGCCGTTGCGTCTTAGCAACTCTGCTGCTTCGCATGAGCAGTGCATAGAAATATATCTGCATCGGCGCCCGCCTCGACCGAGAACTCGCTTTCGTTTTGGTCCATGTGCATACTCTGTACTGGCGAAGAAACTGCTCGTGTTGTGATTTCCTGGGACTCCTGGAAACCCCGCGACTGTGGCGTAAATCCCCCCGCTAACTAAGTCGCGAATTCGGTGGGAAGTCAAAGAGAAGATGGCGTTCAAAGTCCCTCTGCAGCTGGGTTGCTGATCTGATCGGCCGGAAGAAACACCTACACGGGAGGTGGACCACCCAAGATTGAGCTGTTGCCCTAATCTACAGACCAGCACAGATCTTGTTCCCATTATCGCTATTGCATATACTTAAGATAGCCCTGGGGCAGTTAACACTTGGCATCTTAGATCTGGGTCAATATTATTCATCCATCGGACAAGCGTCTCACATAAGTTCTCCCGCCTCTTCTTTATAGGGCTAGCATATATCGAGAAAAAAAAAAGCTTATATTTATGACTTACAGATGGGCTATCGTAAGGAAGAATCACGTTATTGTCACCATAATAATTCAATGCAGCTGTAAACGATTCGCTCTGGTTGAATTAATGGGGCTATCATCATTTCCTCTTTTCATTCATCGACACACTAGCACTTGAATCATCTGATCTAATAACTAGCACTCAATCATATGTACAAGAATGTAAGCTCAGCTCAAGATCATTTCGTAACGTAGTAACCGTCGTTTGGTAGGTGGAAACCTTCCGTCTTTGCACATTTCCTTGATGTCGAACTAGGGGTTGTAGCTTAGAACCTCCAGGTTCCGCACCTGGAACAGTGTGTCTAATTATCCGTTAGCTTGGAGTATTCTGGGTTTGATCCTTTTGCTTACCGGTGGTAGGACCTGGCGATCCGGACGAGCCCTCCATCTGTAAGTCGATAATTCTATACCGATACTGTCAGCAACGATACACGTCTCAAAACCAAGCAATTCTAGACTCACAGGTACATTGCCTTCCCGAAGAAACCACCTCCCACTTGTGTTGCAATGAGGGTACCGTCCATATAGAATTTCGCTGAGACGTCTTTTTGGTTGATATCGCGGACCTCACACTTGATGGTGTGGAACTGATCTGGGCTTGAATATGCCACATCCTTCCAAGAGAGAACCGACGAAGTGTTGAATGTGTTGAAGGAGATCTTGCCCGATCCCTTCCACTCAGCCATATCGATCTCTGGTGGCCAGCCCTGCACAGCGGTCAACCAGAAAGCCGGCCAGGTTCCTTTGGTTGTCGTTGCTTTGAATTCGCCAGTAAAGTCATATCCTCCACCCTTTGCGACGGTGAAATGCTCCTTGGCATAGATTGTGCCAGATAGGTAGTTGATTTTAATTGTCTTTCCACCTTGGGTAGTGTCTGGCTGGCCAGAGACTTTCTTGGCCGTCAAGGTCAACTGTCCGTTAGAAAACTTGACCTGGGCTTTGTCCATACGAGCGCCGCCATTGTGGTCAGTTCCCCATGGGTAGTTGTAGCCCCAGTCGGCGTCGAAGTCGGACTGAGAGTTGAAGCTCGTCTTGGGGATGATGGTCCGGACTGCCTCGGTGCAAGTCGCGACGGCAAACAGCAACGCACTCGCTTTGGTTAACTGCATAATGACGATGAACAATCTAAGATGTACTCAGGTCGAACGAGAAAATTCGTTGGCGTCAAAACCCCAGCGTTGATCATGGCGAACTAATAGATTAAATACACATTTGATCTCTGAAACGTACTCCATAATAAATTGGACGATTGTTAGTCGATACGAGGGCGAGTTGAAGAGAGCCAATCTAAGCTATCGAAGCTACAAGGTCCGCTCATACACCTACGGTACTATTCAAGCCGACGTTCTTATTTCGCCGGATAAATGCCCCATCGAACCCCCTGATGGATCATACTATGATGTGGGATTCTAGGAACCAAGGCGGGACTTGTGATCCCTGGAACCCCGCTAGTAGGGCTCCAAATGCATTGCTTATTTAAATCCAGTTGCCATATCAAGGGTTCTGATCGGCAGTGGTGTGTTGCCTCAAGCTAAGCATACAGGGTCGCATTGGTACGGCTAGGTTCACGTCCGGATACCCTCCAGGGCTCTTTAATACGAGACATTTAGTTAATAATTACACCAATTGGACAAAATTCCACTGCGTCATATCTGGAGTTGATATGTTTCGAAAAGTACGGTCAAGAGCCTTAATTAAACAGGAGTTGGCGGTCGTTATGTTGTGATTACACTTACGAATAACTGCACATATATACCTACATATGATAATTTTAATGATAACAGTAATGGATCTTAACCTTGAGAAGTATCTCTATCTTCATCAGACTCTGCAATGCAAGTAAGTTCTAGCAAGCTATTGTCCATATTTCTACATTCGTAAACAGGGGATTTCCCACTGGGGACTTCAACTGTGATATTCTCAACTCTAATGCCACTGCATCGCTATTTTTGAAATTAAGTTAACTTCATTCTTCCGAGAACTTTTTAATGGATGGAACCTACATCTGGGGCACTACACACAAGAGTACCAGCTTCAGGGTCCAACTTTGCGGAAGTTGTTCCATAGATGTTCTTCATGGTGACATCCTCGATAGTCAAATTTGCCTAGCAGTAGAGTGTCAATGTCAGGGTGAAAGTCCTTACGGTTCAGGTCTATTCATTTGAATTATTATACTTACCGGATATTCATTGCATAGAGTCTTGTTGCTTTGTCCGTAACATTGGGTGATGGTGATGGCTCTATCATTGTTGTTGCTGTAGAGAAGATCGTAGGTGACGTTTCGAACATAGCCGGTTCCTCCACCGCCAGCAAGGTGAGTTTGAAAGTTAGTCTGTATACCAGGCCACACTTTTATTCGCGCGAAATCACTAGCATTTGTCATGGATATATTATAGATGTAGAGGTTCTCGACGATATCCGTTTCGTTCGGGTATTGCCCGATAGAACCGATGCTGATGCCGTGCGAGCCAATACACTGTAGGTTTTGGATAACAACATTCGTGCTATTTGGCTTGAAAGAAACACAATCTTTTCCAATTAGTGAACAAGAAAAATGAGAAGAGACGGGGCCGATATACCATCAGAATTATCAATGAACGAGTCTTGAATCACTATTCGATCTGAGCGATATGTGTCCCAGCCGTCCGAGTTGGAAATCTTAGTCCCTTTAAATGACTATGACCGTCAATAATCGTATCACGTAGAAAGGAGAAATTTACACATACTTTTGCACGAAGGTCCATGTTGCTGATTATTACGTCAGAACTATTCGCAATGATATTAAACCACTAGACCCTCATGTCAATCAAGAATCCTCATCAGACCGTAAGAACCAAGGGCAAAACTAACATTTGGTGGGTTACGCATTCGTAAATTTGACATGGTAGCCCCTTTCACCCCATCGAGAGCGAAGAGCATTGGTCTGAATAACTATATTTCCCCTAATGTTAACCATCATCACTACAAGGTAAATCGTATGGGAAACTTCATCAATTTCGGTTAGCTCCACTTACAGCTGAATCATTCCGTACCGCTTCCCAATAAGCCTCGCCCTTACCGTTGATAACGCTCTTACCCTCCTCTAGAGTAAGATCGCCATATATATTCACATCTTCGCCACCGATTTTCCAAAACACACTTTGGTTTTGGAACGTATATTTGAAGCTGTTATTATGCCAATAGTACACATCTGAATCGTCGAAGGAGATATCGCCGGTGATTACAAGGTCGACATGCTTAAGAAAAGTGAGATCCAGAGGCGAACCGATTAGGTACGATTTGTCGAACACAATCGTACCGCCATCATTACACTCTTGCAGAGCTTGTAAGATTCTGGGTGCGTCGTCTCGATTCTCTTCGAGCCCCTGGTCTACGTGACAGTAGCGACCCTTGTCTCGCGGTGGTGAAAGGGGCATCGCACTGCCGGTGTCGTAAGGGCCAGGTATGACATCGGGACGGGACGGGATCCTACTATGCCCTCTGGCTATCGCCGATGAGGCAAGGCCAAGGGCTACCACAAGCGGCCCTATAGAGTTGAACCACATTCTAATGATGTTTTAGAACCAGTTATCCCCGGGCTATAGATCAGGCTATTGGGTTGACTCTAGGAGGAAAACCTGGGTCGAATGTGTCAGATTGGTAACGGACGACAATGGGTCAAAATTGATATTCACTTACATACTTCTAATAGGAAGGTAGCATAAACACAGAGATCTTATAGATGAGGTTAGAAGTAACTTGAAGTCGAAAACGTAACCCGAGATACCGGGAAGTTATGACAACCATGATAGGTGGATGATCTGTGGGGTTTTATTATGTAGTATGAGATTTTAGAGATCTCGGTTAGGTCGGTCAATTCCATGATGGTGTTGGTGGAATTATTATTACCCATCAGTCAAGTAAACCGAAGCTGAAGTCTTACATACATCTCAGTAGTGTGAACTTCCTGCGAGATCAACTTATACCTAGTTAATGTCTATCAGAACCTAGGTACCCATCCAGGTAGATGGATCGGGTTTCGCGAAGCAAGTTAACTTCCCCACGATTTAATATTGGAACCCTACCTAGGCAATCCCCGCATAATCCAAAGAGGATGAACCGGGGTTGCGGGAACTTGTGTCTACATCGTAAGCCCTCTAGATAGTCAGCTGTGTAATTGCGGTAAAATGGATACAGATTGTGACCGAAATATACCTACTCTAACATAATATAACCATTAGGTAGCGTTCTATACCCTAAAGCCGACTAAATACGCCATCAAACCCTATCCCCATGGCTATACCTCCCTACCAAAGAAAGCCTCAGCCATAAATCACTTAGACCCATCCCCATTTGCCTTCTTCAACTTCTCATACCCCTCCCTTCCACCAACATCCTTCTCAAAGCTCGGCCTCAAAATCTCCGCTACCTCCGTCACACGTCCGTACGTAATCCCACCCAACCGACTAATCGGCCTCAACACCTCGGGATCAATCAAATTACGCTCCTCATTAAGCGCATCCTCACGCACCCAGAACCGCGTGCCCTCAAGCACAACCAAGCACCCGCTCTTCTTCCCGGGAGTAGCCTTACTCTCGAACTCACGCACACTCTCCAGCTTACACTCCACACTAAAAACGGCCTCCTTAACCCTCGGAGCCTTCACATCCACCGTATCAAACGCGGGCGTCAGGCCACTAATATCCCACTCAGAGACATCATACGGGGAATCCACACTCGTCGCATTAGCCGCCTCGACGAAGTCCTCGCCGATGACATTAACCACGCACTCCTTGCTCTCGACCAGATTCCTCAACGTATCCTTCGGGTTATCGAGCCCGGAGGCAATCCCCACGACGAACAGCGGGGGGTCGTGGTTCACCATGTTGAAGTAACTGAACGGGGCTAGGTTCCGCGTTTTACCGTCGCTGGACTGCGAGGACACGAAGCCGATGGGCCGTGGAACGATGCCTGAGATCAGGAGCTTGTAGTTGAAGGGCGCGGGCCGCCCGGGCTCGTACGGGTCGATGCACACGTGTTTCTTGCCATCCGCGTCGGCTGCGCGGGTAGCATTGGCTCCGGACCCGAGCGTCCACGTAGGATCCGCGGCTTTCGTGTACCGCAAATGCGACGCCTTGTCCCAGTCCGGCCGCGAGGCTTGGACGCTGTTGAAATCCGAGTGCGGGTTCCGCTTGATCGCCGCCTCTTTCTCTGTCGAGACGGACATTTTGAAAGATCGTTGGTGGGTGAGAAATATATTAGTCTGAGTAGCAGCGAATACGGCGTGGGGTATTCTTCCCAATAGCGAACGAGGTGATGATATATTTAGAGCAGACCGAATAAGGGGCATAAAGGTCTTATGTATAAAGCCTTAAGACGGTTACACATGGGTGAAGTTTAAATTAGTATATTCCGTCCAGCTTGGGGAGAGAGCGGAGAGTGGAAATGCCGATTACGGTGCCGAATCAAGACACGGGACGGGAGGAACTCCTCTATTTTATGATTTGTTTAGGTACATGGCAGGTACTAACACTTACTAATGTCTCACGCCTGAAGCTACTGCGATAGGCAAGGGACCGGATACCCAATTTGTAATAATTAGCGTGCGCTGACGTCGTAGAATGCTTAGGTGTATTATTTATTATCTTCACAAGTTATGTAATTAGGTACTCACCTCCCCAAATAGTCGCCGTCTACAAAATGCATGATCTGTCTGGGTGGAATTTATCAGGCTTTGTCAGATCGAATGTAGGAATTAAAAATATTTCCAATTTCACAATTTCATGGAATGGGAAAGAAACCCCGAGCTGTGAATGATCTACTGAGCAGCGGGGGATTAATAGTCCGGTTTCAACTTTTCATATTGAATTATACCTCATCTCGAACCATGAAGCTCTGAGCTCCATTTGATAGGTATCTAGAAACTCCTAACGCCTACCGAAAACACATCGACCGTCCTATCTGTGTAGAGATAGCTGAATCTTCAACGCCGTTGACCGTGACGTTTAGCCAGACGAGAAGAAAGGGAAAGAAGCTCCTATTCTAGATAAGCAACGCGCAACTCCGACTGTCCGACAAATACCGCAAGCCACATCCCGTCGTGCTATATGTTAACACCCCCAGCCGTATATGCAATGGAAGAACTCAAAAAAGGAGACTCTGTCCCATTTTTGAAACGATAAACTCACAACCCAATTTGGCTTCCTTTTCATGGTTGAGTAACTCGCGCAATATTATGTTTCCTGGTTTTTCGCCACCAAGAAGTTTCTCTTTAACATGAATGATGACCACCTTCAGACCTTTGAGGCGGTTTGGTGTGTGGCGTCGAAGAGGAGGCGGGGTCATGTTAGCCTCGAATTCTTTCGAGCTCATCTCGGCCGTAGGGCTTAAGAGTTGTGGGGAATCAAAGCCACTTTCGCTTGGTGGTAATGACCCTGAACCTGATCGTCGCGGGCGAATTGATTTTGGCGACACGGGTCCGTCGTCTCTGCCAGGCTTGGCAATATTTCGGCTTGCTTTTCTACTCGCTTCCTCCAACTCCCTCTTGCGTTTCTTATTCGGCTCAAATTTGGCTGGGGTCTGGCGAATTGCCTCAACTTCTGTGGCGAGCACCTTCATCTCTTCAATGATGTAGCGGGGTGTTAGATGGCCGAATAGTAGGTCATCAGTCTGGCTATCATCGTAAGAACATTCGATGAAAATTGCTGCGAGGCTACCGTTTGCTATTCTCGGAGCCGCCTCTTGCCAGACTCCAAGGTTTCTTGGTGATAGGGAAATACTGTCGGGTTCCACATCACCAAACATTAGAACTTCTCGACCGCTGACTGAATCTCGAATGAAGTATGCGCTTGAGTCATAGACGCACACTGATTCTGATTCTTGTATTACCGATGAACGTCCAACACCAGATGATCTGAGAAGAGGAGACGGCCCCGAAGCAGCATTACTACCCTGGACTCCTCTTGGCGACGCCATTGATGAGATGTCTACACTACCGAAGCGAGAGGATGACGTAGAACCACGATGGGTGTGTCTCTCTATACAGTGTCCATGACTGATACTAAAGACTTTCACTGATAGATCATCACTGATTTCGAGGTACCCTTTACCTGCTCCTTCGCCAAGAGCTGGACTGCCTCCCTCGACGAGGCGCGTGTAGGTTACGAGACCAGCACCATTATTCTCATCAGATAGATTCGGCCAGATAACATTGTTAAATATATGTGTTTTAAACGCGGATATGGTGGAGGGTAGTCCGGCAATTCGTTTTGGCCTCGTCACTGGGAGGCCTGCGGTGTTTATTACGAAGCCGCAGATGTGGTCGAGGTGTGGGTGAGTGATTAGGTACGTGTCAATAAGATGTCTTGTTACGCAAGCGGCATTGGTAGCTGCACAGTCTGTTTGGATCTCCAAGCCGGCAAAGGGACCCGACTCTAATACATGAGGTAATGGGATTTGGGTTCCGAGTCCCTTAGGTTGCGTATCCTCGAGAATCCGAGTAATAGCGGAGAGGTGGACACCGGCATCGAGGGCAATTGTCGAGCCTCGATTCCAACCAGATCGAACCGATCTTATGAGAAGAGCGGTAACATTGTGTTCTTGTGGTCCACCACCCGAGCCCTAATATAAATTACTATTAGTATTTATTTCTCGACAAGGTCTTGAAACAGTTGGAGATCAATCTCTTGGTACAACGTCAAAATGATTAGAATAAGACAATATTAAGGCTGAAGTTGTAAAGACTAGACTATCAGGTAAGTTATATAGTCCTAACTCCTGAGTCCTATTCTAATTCCAAGGTCAACCTTGCTGCCTCGGAGGTGTGAATAAAGTGCTGTAGGGCGCAGGACGGATAAAGTCGGCTGTTGTGACGTCACTCCTAAGATTGCCTTAAAGAGGTTATCGACAAGCGACGCACGTGACAAATCTTTATGCTCCAAGGTTCCATCTAATATCGGGTCGGGTATCTACTCCATTTTTGGTGTACTTCTTTAACACTTGTTTCGGTCTGGCCATCGAATCGACCTCGAGTCTGATGAATTGGCAGCCTGCTTTGTCTTGCTCTAATCATCTCTGCAAATAAGATAATGGAGTAAATATGAGCTCGAATGTTCGATATGGCGAAAAAATTAAGAGATTTCCGCGGTTAATGAATGCGTCGCCTCGTTGCACAGGAAGCTCTCATTTACCCGATCAGTCGCACCGGATCGAGCCAATTATCTCGGTTATAGCGAATTTAGCATTATTCGCCCATCCCATTCGACATCGCAATCTCGAGCTTCAGATCGGATCTCACGTGCAGGCGTCCTAAACGGTCGAGGTAACGGCGCAAGCAGCGGAGCTGAATTAATTTGGAGGGCGAATCAAAAGTCGTCACCGACGCAGGTTGATGTATTGGATTGATTCCATGAAACGAAATATTGAAATGAAACAAGTTTTGCTCACCAGTACAATGACCTGCAAGGCAGGCTGACATGCATTCTTCGCGGCATCCTGTTTGGCCATCTTTTGCGACAGGTCGTAAATGCGACCGTTGCGCTTTCGTTTCATTCGGTGACGTACGGGATTGAAAAGCGTTGGTGTCTGGGTGAAAACGGATATTTCAACTATTCCTCACTCTCTTATGATGCGAGGTATACGAATGAGGATTTTTAGGGAGGTAAAGCTCTGGACGATGCGACAGTGCGACAATGTTGAGACCACTATATTTCCCGTCTTTTAAAGAAAGCGTGTTACAACATTGTTCTTCAGCAGCCAAGTTCCCAAAGGTTATCTCTCATACATAATCCTTCCGTATCGCACACGTGACGTCCCAGCTTCAGCAACGTCTGGCCCCTGGCGGAATTCCTTTCTTCGGTATTTTCCGAATTCTTCGTAATATTCTACTAATGAATGGCTGATGAGTAGGAACAAAGTTGAGGGGAGGGAGTCGACAATGGGTCTTTAAGCTGGTTTAAAAATCAAAGGAACTTCCGGCTTCTTTAAGGTTGATCGCAGACAACTAAAGGCACGGGATGTATGTGTGTAACGCAAACTCGACGGCGTCCTTGCCCCTGGGTCGCAGCTTTTCCGGGTTGGTTCTAGCGTCTAGTGAACATAACGGGGCGCAGCTAATCGGAGGCTCCACATCGAGGCATATCGAATTCTACTATAGGCAAGTTCAAATTCTTAGGACCATTCTTAACCTTCAGCTAAGGAATTTCAACTTTTTAGTTCTGATAGGGATGTGAACCGATGCCAACTTAACCAACCTGGCCAACTCGCTCCTCTCGGGAACGCCGACAGCCAGTATTAACAACAACTCACCCATTTCCATTTTCATATCGCCTTTTACCCACTTTACATGACATTTCCAAAACTTTGGACAAAGTTTGGCCTTCCTGCTACGATCCTACCCCATTCAAGCCGTTCTCGTGGTTCTTGTCCTGCATTCCTTTGTCTGATATTGATAACTATTTGAATTCCAATTGTCAATTCATCTTTGTCTCAGCTTAAGGCTGGTTGTATGGCAGCCAACACATGTATCTCTTAATCCCGAGACCTGTTACAACTATACCTACCTATTTCTATGATTTCTCTTTGTACAGTGCTCTATCCCTCCAATTCCTTACCATCTAGCACTATTAAAAATATTACCTACAAATTTACCATAATCAATTATTGTTAGGGGAATATATGACTTGTGTAGAGAAACAATAATTGCATTATGGATTAAACAATAGGTAGATACCTAGTAAACAGATTTGCCGTACTCCTTTGCTCTTAAACTTCGTTGGGTATATGGTATAACTCGCTTTCTCGTCACTCATAACTCACCTCTTAAGCCTTACCTCATTCAGCTGATGCCTAATAGTGAGAGTTCAGTCTCACGGGTGGTCCAAAACTTCATTGCCCTGGAGCTCCTCTCCGATGTTTGCCCCCGGGGCAACCAATCCCGGAGGTGCCTCGTCAAGGGGCGTGTTATTCGGCGTCCCCATTCTAAACATCAGCGTCATCAAGTTCACCGAAAAGGTCCTCGCCTTCCCCGAGCTCTAGGTCGAATGTACCGTCAATCCCGGTTTCTGCGACTTTGTCAATGTTGTCACCAGTAGGATACTTACCGCTGGGCATCTCGGCATCGATCAAGCTGAAAGCGGCGACGTCGTCTAAATCAACTTCGTCGTGAAAGTCCATGTTTGCACCTGGAGATGAAAAGAGACTTGGTAAGCCGTCGAATTCTTCCATTCCCGCTGGTGACCAATCAATATTGTCTGTCTGCGGCTGCTGGTTAGCGTCATGAGGCAGTGGCACTTGATCAGTTGGGGGACTTGGTTCTGGGCTTGCCGGGCGAGATAGTCTCCGCTTCTTGCTCGGGGGCTCTTGAGCCTGTTCTTTGTCGTTAGAATAACCACTTTGTTGGTCTTCAGACGCCACTACGTCCCTGCTCCGCTTTCGCGGTAGGTCTAGAGGGTCTGGACCTGGTTGGTACATCGAGGCTGCTACTATCGTCTGATTGACATTCGTCGCTGTCGTGGACATAACGTCGCGAGCGGCTGGGGACTCTTCAGGAGATTGAGGCATCGGGATGTAATCAGTTGTAGGGGTGAAGCCAGATGTATAAGGATCAGACTGTGCGCTTTGCGGGGTTTGGCTTGGGTCTTGGCCCCCCGGGGCAGAAACTTTTGAGTTCCCGGCTCTTTTGAATCCTCCTTTCTTCTTTCTCTTACCCTGTGCCCTTATCTGTTCCATCATTTCACGGGCGCCGGGAACCGCATCCCCGTTCTCATCGACTAAGCCCTCTAACATGCAATCCTTGAGAAAAAGCAGCTCGTTGAGATCTCCCTTATGCTTTGACATGTCAGCGCCGGCTCTGACTTCCCGCATCTTGACACGGCCATCGGTACTATGTCTTAGTGTATGGCAGACGAGACGGTAACTCAGGGATTGCTCATAAGAACGATCCCTATTTTTACCATGCTCTACAAATTTAGGGTGTTGCTCTCGCCACCAGATGTCGAGTTCATTGTGGATCTCGGGGAACTGTCGTGATAATTTCCCTAGATTATTCTCGCGCTTGAAGTCTCGATAGTCGGGACGGATGTCGAGATGATGGAAAGCCTGGATGAGATCGAAGTGCTTTTCGAAGCAAAACAAATGCGCGTATCCGGCATTGAAGAAAGGGTCGATAGCATCCCCATCCAAGTTCGTCCGCTCGTCAAAGATGACACGCGGAAATCCCGTCCTAATCGTTTGGTGAGGATCAGGGCAGTCCGCGAACCGACATCTCTGAGATTGGGACGGGTGAGGGTATCGATCGTTGGATTGCGGCGGTACCCAACCGATCCAGATCGTCAGGCCCTGGCGACTTTTGTTCTCAACCCTTGGTGTGTTCGGTAGAGGCTTAGGGAGCTTAAACTTTTCGTGGACTTTAGGACCGTAGAGATACCAGCGCATCTCCTTCTGAGTGTAAGTCCTACCCCGCTCGAGTTCACCATAGTCCGTGTACCTAAATAGAGGACGGCCGGTCTTGTCTTTCGGTCCCCAGCTTTCGGGTGGGGTTAGCGGAGGCCCATACCAGTCTCGGGGGTTGGGTCGCGGCTGATTCTTCCGGGTGACTCGGGGGATTCTGTCGTTCTTGAGAGCCTCCCCATTGGGTCCTTTAAGAGGTCGTTTCAGAGGCGGATCGCCGTAGACGATGATAGGAGAAGGAATTCTACTCCGCCGGCCTTTAACGAGTCTTAGATCCACAGAAGATGAGTCGAACGAGGGCGCTGGGGGCATGTCTTGATGTCGTGGATCATTCCCGGGTACAAATTGCATTATCGGCTGTGCATTCGGGGGTAGAGCCTCTGGTGCGGCTGCTGGGTACGTCGACGTAGGTGGTGGATATGGCATAACGTATACCGGGTACATATTAGCTGGGTATCCAGCTCCGTGGCCTAAGTATCCGGGGTTAGTTGGAGGCATAAACTGATACGGAAAAGCATTTTGTGGCAAATTCATTGGAGGAGCGGAGTTTGGCCCATAGGGGTAGGGGACAGGGTAGAAAACATTACCATTCGCAAAAGTAGGGTCGGCCATAGGGTTGACCACAGTGTTGACCACGGGGCTGGCCGTATAATCGGCCATAGGGTCGGCTAGAAGGTAATTCGTATCATGATTCGCTGGTGGTTGTTGCTGAGACGCAACATCTTCAGTAGCATCATAATCGTTACTCAGCATCTTCGGATCTATACACTTCGGGGAAGACTGGCGAGGCGCTTTCTGGATATCTTCCTGCTGTACAAGATCTGGGTTAGAACCTTGTGGTTCAGAGGCAAAGAAAGTAGAGAAGTATTCATCGTCGAATTCCGCTTCGTTGAAGTTGACATTCTCAAAGATATTCCCATCATCGGCAAAATTGTCTGTTGGCTCCAGGCCGGTGTACTCTGCCATCGTTGGCGATATACGGTCCGTCACTGAACAACGAAAGGTCTAGCGTTAAGACGACTCGGGGTGAGGTAACTAGCACTGCTATGCTACCGGACAAGTTGTTCAGGAGTAGCCAAACCGATGGGTCTCTTGGCGATGAATATTTGAGACACGAGGCGCCCAGGAAATCAGTACGATATATAAGATGCCGAAAACATTGTCCTTTTTTCGTGCACGACGATTGTTCATATACAGCCCACCTTTTGCCTTGTTGAGTTTAGTTGACGATAACAATGCCACAACAAGATCATAACAACACAATTGTTTTATCACAAAGATATCATAAAGCAAGAATAACAAAAGGGTCGTATATTATAAAGTAGCACCCGCTTGGTAACATTATCGTAAGTATCTCATAGTCAACATGTCCCTATTACATCGTTAGCACGAGTTGGTGCATAATGAAGCAGAAGAATTGTGAGGAAGGGTGTATAATCAGTAGAGCTCATGCATTTTCTCAACAAGAAGATTCAGAACAGGTCTGTGAATGCGTTGATTTCATCAGGTAGACGAGGGGTAGCTGATTGTATAGAAATAGGACTTACCGAACAGGACCGGCGTTGCCATATATTTATTCTCCATGACCACGACGATCAGGGGATGGGTGATTGTCAGGTAATCGAGTATAACAAAGCACTTAAAGGCATTGTCTACATCTTTCTGTATTTGGTGTTCCGCGACCATTATCCAAACTTACAAAATGTTCGCTGAGATTAGGTAGTAATATCGAACAACAATCTTGTTTATTCCCAGGTGTCCAATATCCTCAATCGACTCCTGGGAATTATTTTGAAAAATCCTGCTGTTGCAAGTTACCTGTTGTTTAGAGCGAAGTAGGTCTTCATTATCCGAGCAAAGGCTCGAAGCTCAATAAAGGCATTGAGTACTGTCCAAGCAATCCATGCTTTAATAGGCACTAAAACAATGTATGACGCAGGTGTATGAGAAGGCAATTAGGATTTCTGCAACCTAAATGCCTTTCGAGCATAAACTCTCGAGGTTGGACTTGCATTGTGACTTCTTGAGGTTGGGAGGAAGAAAAAAAGTGAAAGTGAAAGATAAAATTTCGGAAACTAGATTAGATTGATAGGCTTTTACTGTGCGTACAATCGCGGTTTAATAGGTTTCACCGTATTCCGTTCCGCTCTAGCAAGGCGGGTCTTCCTCGGTAATGTTCCTGCCAGTTGGCAGTTGTACCACACAGATGAAGTTGGGGGAAACTAGAAGGCTTGAGAGTCTCGTATTGCCGCCTCCGTGCCTTCTTTACACCTTAATAAATTGATAATAGCCAATCAACGAAGCTAAACGCGCGTAAGATAGCGCTGAGGAAGGTACCCAACAGCACCAGGTACTAGGTACCTATTCTTTGCACGCCCACCGACTTGTGTTAGCAATCATTTGGCAGGGTTCACATTGAAGATCTCAAGAATCGAAATATCCCACGCTCCCATTTAACCTTCTAATGAGTCTTTTTTATTCCCTCCTCAAAAATACATGTCTAACTCACATACAGTAATTACCGTGGCATTACTATGATACCCTTATTCTAATTATCTAACCGAGCTGTAATTGGTTGGTTTCTTTTGCCGTTGCGATAGGTGTAAATGGGCGACATCATCCCCTCCGAAACCATTTGACGTCACGGCCCTTGTCTAGTTTGTCTGGTTAGGTAGGGATTTCATTTTTGCTTTTGAATCGGGTGATCCGATAGAGAGTTCGATAATCAGTCTTGCGCGCCTCTTTTCTCTTCTGCGCCAGAGTCTACTAGAAGTCGACATGGCGCAATTGAGTGCGGATTTACAAGAAAAGCTGGACGAATTGGAAAGGGAGTTGGAGGTAAGCTGTTGTCATTTTGTTTTCTCTCCTCCCTTATTCGCCTTATTCGGCTGGCGATGCCTGTGATACCCGCCAGCACGCGGGGTACAAGACCCAACGCCTTAGCGAACCAGCTCATTAAATACGAACTAACAGTAATTCGTGATCTAGGAAGGTGATATTACAGAAAAGGGGTAAGTTTTTGCCTATTACTATAATTTATTACATTTATATCTACTCTTAGACACACCGTCGAACCTCGTTCCTATGCTCGGTTTTGTTAACGTATCCCTCTACCCACAGCTTCCAAAAACGACGGACCCAGCTACTTTCTCAATATATCAGTCCGAGTACTTTAACTAGAGCGACAGGGGGCTTACGAATACATTCGCCCGATGATGATGACGGTCCTACTTCAAGCGAGGGGCATCGCGACGCTGCATACGCCGCCCTAAACACCACCAACCTCGATCCTAACGAACCCTATTCCCCTTCGACCATTACATCTCCTGTCGATTGGCGACCCCAATCGTCCGGGCCACTTAGCACCGGTTCCTCCCATGGCACCGAACATCCGGCTGGGTTGCTAAGGCCAGGTGGCCCCATGGCTGAACAACGTCCGACTTTGACACAACGCGATTCTCTGTTCCTAGGTCCGACTGCTGGCTACGCGCAACCAATGGGCTCCGACCCTCCCACGCGCTCGGGAACGATGGTCTCAGGAGATTATGCCTTCAAGCCAGAGCACCAATCGGGATATGGACAACAGCCACCAAACGCGTACGGCAGTCGAACTGGAACCATGTTAGATTCCCAAGTATATTTTTCCGACTTTGCTGGTCAACAGTCTTATGATCAGGGTACCGGCGGCGAATACGGTGGGGGGGTTCACAGATACTCGTCTAGCGATGCCTTCTCACCCACTGCTGCGATGGCCCCGCCTATGCTCACCGCGAACGATTTGCCTCCACCCGAAGCGTTAGAGTACCAGATGCCCTTAGAACCGCGAGAAGTACCATTCGCCATCCACGATCCACATGATGAGAATACAGCCATGTCTGCATTTGACAACATCGCAGCTGTATTGAGACACAGGGGGCGCACTAATGGAAAACTTCCAGCCTACTGGGTTCTTGATAGTCGAGGAAAAGAGATAGCGTCTATCACTTGGGATAAGTTGGCATCTCGAGCGGAGAAAGTAGCCCAAGTCATTCGCGACAAGAGTTCTCTATATCGTGGCGATCGAGTCGCTCTTATTTATAGGGATTCGGAAATCATAGATTTCACTATAGCGCTTCTGGGTTGCTTTATCGCAGGTGTTGTGGCAGTCCCTATCAATGACTTGCAAGACTACCCAAAGCTCAACCTCATCCTTACTTCTACACAGGCTCATCTGGCTCTAACTACAGACAACAATTTGAAGTCCTTCCAGCGAGATATTACCATGCAGAAGCTTAATTGGCCTAAGGGAGTCGAGTGGTGGAAAACCAATGAATTCGGAAGTTACCATCCGAAGAAGAAGGACGATGTGCCCCCTTTGTCTGTACCTGATCTAGCATATATCGAGTTTTCTAGAGCACCCACAGGAGACGTTCGAGGTGTCGTGCTAAGCCATCGCACGATTATGCATCAGATGGCCTGTCTTAGTGCCATAGTTCAGGTCGTTCCTAGCGGACAAGGGGACACATTCAACCGCGCCCTTCGCGATAAAAATGGACGCCTAATAGGAGGGGGTGCCAGCAGCGAGATTCTTCTTTCATACCTTGATCCTCGCCAAGGTATCGGAATGATCTTGGGTGTGCTTCTCAATGTCTATAGTGGGCATACGACTGTGTGGGTAGAGAATAAGGCGGTAAATTCACCGGGTCTCTACGCTCATCTTATTACTAAATATAAGGCTACGCTTATGGTTGCCGATTACCCTGGCCTAAGAACTGCAGCCTTTAATTACCAACAAGATCCTATGACAACACGGAACTTCAAGAAGGGTACAGAACCAAATTTTCAGCATGTCAAGCTGTGCCTGATCGATACTTTGACTGTGGATAGCGAGTTTCATGAAGTGTTAGCCGATCGATGGCTTCGACCACTGCGAAATCCTAGAGCTAGAGAAGTTGTTGCACCGATGCTTTGCTTGCCCGAGCATGGCGGTATGGTAATAAGCATTCGGGATTGGTTAGGAGGAGAGGAACGCATGGGATGCCCGTTGAAATTGGATATCGATACCGACTCAGAATCAGAAACCGACAAGGACGAAGAAAAAGAGAAGGATAAAGAAAAGGAGAAAGAGAAACCATCCAATGGTTTTGGCAGTCTCCTTGGTGGTGGTACAACTACCTTGAAAGAACAAGACGCAAAGAAGGATCTTGGTGAGGTATTGTTAGACCGAGAGGCGCTGAAGACGAACGAGGTAGTCGTTTTGGCCATAGGCGATGAAGCGCGAAAGAAGGCGGTCACCGAACCAGGTACCGTTCGAGTTGGCGCATTTGGATATCCCATCCCCGATGCCACTCTTGCTGTTGTTGATCCCGAAACGGGGTTGCTTTCTTCGCCTCATTCCATAGGAGAAATATGGGTCGATTCCCCATCTTTATCCGGAGGTTTCTGGGCGTTACCTAAACATACAGAGCAGATTTTCCATGCCAGACCTTACAAATTTGAACCGGGAGACCCGACACCTACCCCTGTAGAGCCCGAGTTTCTTAGGACCGGTCTCCTTGGAACCGTGATCGAGGGCAAAATATTTGTCCTCGGACTGTACGAAGACCGGATCCGACAGAAAGTTGAATGGGTTGAGCATGGCCACGAGATCGCCGAACATCGATACTTCTTCGTGCAACATATCGTCGTCAGCATCCTCCGGAACCTGAACAAGCAGGTATTTGATTGTTCCGCGTTTGATGTATTCGTCAACGATGAGCATCTGCCGATAGTGGTACTGGAGTCATCGGCAGCCTCAACTGCTCCGGCAACATCAGGTGCTCCGCCTAGGCAGCTGGACACCGCGTTGTTGGACACACTCTCGGAAAGGTGTATGGACGTCCTAATGCAAGAGCATCATCTCAGGGTTTACTGTGTCATGATAACGGCACCAAACTCCCTACCCCGAGTAACAAAGAACGGCCGACGAGAAATAGGGAACATGTTGTGCCGTAGGGAGTTCGATCTTGGCAATCTTCCCTGTGTTCATGTCAAGTTTGGTGTCGAACATGCGGTGCTAAATCTGCCTATCGGCGTAGATCCTATGGGTGGTATATGGTCGAACGTAGCGTCGGGTTTTCGGGCTAACTTTCTTGGACCTGCCGACAAACAGTATTCTGGAATCGATAGGCGTGAGGTTGTCATTGACGATCGCACATCAACTCCGTTGAATAACTTCTCCAGCATCACAGACCTCATCCAATGGCGAGTAGCACGCCAACCAGAAGAGCTCTCTTACTGCACTATTGACGGTAGAGGTAAAGAAGGTAAAGGTATCACATGGAAGAAGTTCGACCTAAAAGTTGCTGCGGTAGCTCTGTATCTTCGTAACAAGGCTAAGATACGGGCACGCGACCACGTTATGCTGATGTATACGCATTCCGAAGACTATATCTTCGCCGTCCACGCCTGCATCAATCTTGGTGCCGTGATCATACCAACTGCGCCTATGGATGAGCGACGACTAAATGAGGATGTGCCAGCATTCCTCCATCTTATCAATGACTATGGTGTTAAGGCTGTCCTGGTCAACAGCGAAGTAGATCATCTACTCAAGTCGAAGGCTGTCTCCCAGCATGTCAAGCAATCCGCCCAGTTTCTCAAAATCAGTGTTCCCAGCGTATACAACACCTCAAAGCCACCAAAACAAAATAACGGACTTCGAGATCTCGGCGTCACTATAGATCCTGCCTGGATACAGTCGGGATATCCGGTTGTGATTTGGGCATACTGGACGCCAGACCAACGCAGAATTTCGGTACAACTCGGTCACGACACTATTCTAGGAATGTGCAAGGTTCAAAAGGAAACTTGCCAGATGACCAGCTCTAGACCTGTCCTTGGTTGCGTCAGGAGTACGACGGGTTTGGGCTTCATCCACTCGTGTCTAATGGGCATCTATATAGGCACACCTACTTACCTGCTCTCCCCGGTAGAATTTGCGCAGAACCCCATTTCGTTATTCTTAACGCTTAGTCGCTACAAGATCAAGGACACTTACGCAACACCCCAGATGCTGGACCACGCTATGAACACAATGCCCGGCAAAGGCTTCACGCTACACGAGTTGAAAAACATGATGATCTCAGCCGACGGCAGACCTCGTGTCGACGTATTCCAGAAAGTCAGACTTCACTTTGCATCTACTGGACTCGACAGGACAGCCATCAATACCGTATATTCACATGTATTAAATCCAATGGTCGCGTCGCGGTCATACATGTGTATTGAACCCATTGAGCTTTGGCTCGACCAACGAGCTCTCCGTAGAGGGCTGATTGTCGATGTGGGTCCTGACTCAGAGACGAAGGCTCTATTGGTTCAAGACTCCGGCATGGTACCAGTCTCCACTCAAATAGCCATTGTAAACCCTGAGAGCCGACTTCTTTGTACTGACGGAGAGTACGGCGAGATTTGGGTTGATTCGGAAGCATGCGTGAAGGCGTTCTATGGGTCCAGAGATCCCTTTGACGCCGAACGCTTTGACGGGCGTACTATCGACGGCGATCCCAACATTAGTTACGTCCGAACCGGTGACCTCGGCTTCCTGCATAACGTCAGTCGGCCTATTGGACCGAACGGGGCGCAAGTAGATATGCAGGTTCTCTTCGTACTAGGAAACATTGGCGAAACCTTCGAAATCAACGGGTTGAGCCATTTCCCGATGGATATCGAAGCCTCGGTCGAGAGATCTCATCGCAATATCGTACCCGGTGGCTGGTAAGTCCGAATCTGGTAAATCGATTGAATATGGCTAACATAAAGCGTAGCGCTGTTTTCCAAGCAGGTGGCCTTGTGGTCGTTCTAGTCGAGGTTTCGCGAAAAGCATATCTCGCATCCATTGTCCCAGTCATCGTAAATGCTATCTTAAACGAGCATCAAATAGTTGTCGACATAGTCGCATTCGTGAATAAGGGTGATTTCCCTCGCAGCCGTCTTAGTGAGAAGCAACGAGGCAAGATCTTGGCCAGCTGGGTCACTCGGAAGATGCGCACAGTTGCTCAGTTTGCGATCCGCGACCCGGATTCTGGTAGTGTAGAAGGCGGCGACGGCACGGTAGAGAATCACCGTGCTAGTGTGGGTAGCGTTCGGAGCAGCAATGCACCTGGGGCTAGTTCCCTAAGAAATATGGAGCATGCGCCACAAATACTGGAACAAGAAGAGCTAGACCATCAAATGAACAAAATGTCGGCTCTGCCTCAATTAGCCGAGCTCTCCGGTAGCAGTGGAGCGTCGACCATGGACATCCGGCCGACTACGAGCAGCAGTTTCAGATTACCAGAGGTCGGACAATACGGCGACGGGACGGGGCCACAAATACAACGACGGCCCCTGCCTCCACAGATTCGCCTACCGAGCATCGAAGGTCATGGGTCACAGGGCGAGAATATGTGGGATCCTGCACGGGTTCCAAGTCGAGGCCGAGAAGAGGATGAGTGGCAACGCGACGCTCTGATGCACATGAACTTGGCCAATCAGATGCCGCACGATGCTTATCCGAGGCAGGACTAGTGGTCTAAGGCTTCAGAGCGGAGGGCTTTCTATAGGGATTTCAAGGGAGTAAGGGATAAACCCTACTACTACCGCGTTTACCAACGACCACCCACCTGACACGATGGTCGCTTCTACTCGGTCTTTCGGAGTTTGTCTTTATATCATTAAAGTTGGGCTATTATCACTTGCTTCATCGCGGGGTTTGTTACATGAAGAGAGCCCGGGCGCGGCGGTTTTAGGATATTTTTTACGTCTTTCGAACAGCGGCATACATCGTGCCCACGCTGTTTTTTTATTATTCAATTGCATGCATGACCTGGGTTTTTTCTTCTTCTCTCTCTGTACTCCTATGCAAGATATCATAGAATAGAGAGCGCGGACAAATGTTTCGTTCTATGCGCTGCGTTACGTTGATATGAGTGACAAAGAGGATGGTAATGAAAATGCCCTGATTCTATCTAGGTAGTCGAAGGTAAAGCTAGGTTGGACAAAGAAAGACACGAAATCAGATGGATACGCTTTATGTATGGTATTATTTAATTCCTACACTATGTTGACTATCTAATTTGACAATTCGTAGAGCGGCAAGTTTTTTACTGTCTTGGTCTTGAGTCTTTTCATTCTTGATATATCGTGAAACTTTCCCGAAGTTTTCCCGCACTCATAGCTTGACATTCTTCTCGGTCGCGGCTTTAATGGCGGCGCCGAGCTCGGGGTTAACCTTACTGAACATGTCGTAAGTCCGGTTACGGGTGTCGACGTGGGCGTCAGCCAAGTGACCCGACACGTTGCCAATGAAGTTCTCTTGTTGGCCCGGAGTCCGGCCGAGGACATTCCACAGTCCGTTGGCTTGCTCATAGTCGTGAGGCTGGACCTGGTCGAAAAGGTCGCTCACGGCCGCGCCAGTCCATTGCTCATGGGGATTGACGGGCTTGCTAGTTGCGAACGTCAACGGCCGGTAGCTACTAGGGTAGTTAGGGTTCGCGCCATAGTTTCCATTTACGGACATGGCACCGTCACGCTGGAAGGGGTTGAAAGCGTGGAGAGGCGCGTTTACGGGGATTTGTTGGTAGTTGACACCTAGTCTGTGTCGGTGGGTATCGGGGTAGGAGAACAGACGAGACTGGAGTACAGGGTCTGCTGACGGCTCGACGCCAGGGACGAGATGCGACGGGGAGAAGGCGACTTGCTCAATCTCGGCAAAGTAGTTCTCCACATTCTTGTTAAGGGTCATCTTGCCAAATCGCCGCAGTGGCACCTCTGATTGCGGCCAGACCTTAGTCAAGTCGAAGATATTCCACTTGAATTTCTCAGCTTGCTCTGGTGTTAAGGTCTGTACATAGACTGTCCAGCTTGGGAATTCGCCCCTTTGGATAGCCTCGAACAGATCTTGAGTAGCATGGTCAGGGTTCTCAGAAGCTAGCTTGCCAGCCTCGGCATTGTTAAGAGTCTTGCTCCCTTGGTCAGTCTTCAGGTGAACCTGAACGTAGACGAAAGAACCGTCGGGCTTAATCCACTTGTGAGTGTGGCCAGAGTACCCGTTCATGTGACGGTAAGAGTATGGGGTTCCTCTGTCGGAGAAGAGGTGCATGACCTGGTGGATAGACTCTTGGTGAGTAGATAGGTAATCCCAGAACATGGTAGCATCCTTCAAGTTGGTTTGAGGGTTGCGCTTCTGAGTGTGAATGAACAATGGGAAGTTGGAGGGATCTCGGAGGAAGAAGATGGGGGTGTTATTGTAGACCCAATCCCAGTTACCCTGTTGTGTGTAGAACTTGATAGCGAATCCTATAACATTCAATTAATATTTATACATGGTTATTCCCAATGAGTATATTTCATACCTCGAGGATCTCTGGCGCTGTCGGCCGAACCCTTCTCGCCACCGACGGTGGAGAAGCGAATTACGAGAGGAGTCTTCTTTCCAACGCCATTCAACATATCAACAGTGGTAATGTCGCTGATATCGTCCGTGATTTCGAACTCGCCATAGGCTCCAGCTCCCTTAGCATGGACAACACGCTCGGGGATACGTTCGCGGTCAAAGTGAGCGAGGAGATCAATCAAGTGGAAGTCTTGAAGTAGTAAGGGGCCATGTGTGCCAACTCGCTGCCACATAGAAGGATGTTCAATGGGGTAGCCATTGGACGTAGTGTACACAGGCTTCTCATTGTACCTGAAGGTAGACGCGGGCTTCTCATTGGCGACCATGATTGCGACTTAGGGATATTGAGATTTTTGAGACAATTACTAATGAGGGGGGAAGGTGAGGGTATTTCAAAACGCAGGCTATCAAAGCAAGGCTGTCAAAGCTCAGGGGTTACCTATGTTATAGGCTTTGGGGTAAATTGGTGTATTACCCAGACACAAGCTTCGTAATAGATACGGAACAGATAGGCAGCTCAGAAAGTGCAACCGGAGGGGAAGGAAAGAATAGAATCGAGACGGAAAGGAGGAGGGCGAACAGATATATAAATACCTGAGCTACCCACTACCTAACTGACCTACCTGACCTGTCTGGACTACCTTGTCTAACCGGGGGCTTTGTTAATACAGAACAGACAAATTGGACCTACATGTCAATGTACAGTACATCGAGATGTACATGGACATGGATATCAAAAGGTTTCAACATCTGTTGAACCCCTCCTTCGCTGTTTGCACGACTCCAACTTCCTCTGACCAGTTACATACTGGCTGCACAGTCGTCGTGCTCAGTATGCGCCATAGCTGCATGGTTGCAAATGGGGGATTTATGACGAGCAGGGGTTGGTCAAGGTAGTCAAGGCAGTTACAGCAGTTAAAGTAGTCAAAGTAGTGAAAAGTAGAGTCAAGGAGAGGCAAGGTAGAGCATGGTTGAGTCAGGGGGGAGGGAAAGGCTAGGCCTGGCTGACCTGGGTGGAGGCGAGGAAGAAATAGGTAGAGAAGCAGAGAAGTAGAGAAGTAGAAGAACATTCAAGTGACGGAACTACGCGGGTCTTGGTGCAAGTCTGGTAAAGTTTGGTAAGACACTACGTAAGTGCAGGAAGTGGGGTAAGTATCTCAAATAGACTAACCAATCACGTAATTGCTAATTGTGAGCTTTCAACTGCCCCGCCATTTGCCGGCATCCCTCCGACGCTTTGTGAACCTCTTCCCGACTATCAATCCACTTTGTACCGCAGGAGCTACTCACTTCTCAATTGTATACTTCATCATGACCTGGGTAACTTGGAACTTTTCTATTTAAGTTATACCGCTTCATTCGAAAAAGGCGATCTAATAATTTAGCAATGGCATCTCGGGAGAAATTCGGACTCCTTCCGTATTTTCTTCTATTTTTTTTCTCCATATTCATCAATCCTACATACTTCTATTATACCAAAGACGACTTAGCCCGCTAGCCCTAGCATGCCGTGCACGAAATACGCGACGCGTTGTATGTAAAAAATCATTAGCAGTACCTAAAGTCCACATCCCAGCATGCGGAGAATCTCACAGCGCCACCACTAATTCAATGTGCACAAAGATTCTCCCCCTCACGCCTCATAGATAGGTATTTATCAGCAAGAGCCTCCTGACCATATATTGGGTCTAATTCTCACCGATCTCTTAGATCAAAGAAAATGACACCGGTGGCAAATCTTTAGCTCTTGAGACACTTGAGACATGCTCCATAGGTACTGTGCATGGATCCTATCAGCCTTGGGGTATTATCAATATCAGAACATTTACCGCTAAAATCCCCAACGATGTGCCATTCTAACCGCCCTCGGTCTTCAGTTACTTTAGTGTATTTTACCGGCAGATAATAGTGAGTTGTCAACCCGTCTTCTATCGAACCATTCTCACCCACCAACATCAATTGCGACCCCTCCATTACCTATGTAGTAGACAAGGCACAGACTAGCAGGCGTTACATGCTGTACATGGCAGTCTTCGGCAATCCGACCACCTCGGAGAACGACGAACTTCTTTGTATATCGCTTACTATAGCTCCCTCAATCCTTCCAGAAACGCGCACGGTTCCGGACGAGGGTTCGATAATGTGATACCTGAGTTCCATTTTCATACGGCTCGAGCCCGAAACGGTCCATGACATCATACAACATACTCCTTCGTCCATTGGCCCCCGCGCAATGCAATCCGCTACGTACGATACCTGTATACATACCTAGGTACAGTATGTGAAGTTTGTATTCCATAAACGGAGGGTAGTTCTCTTTACGGCTTTACTTATCCACCGACTCCCCTAAAAACGAATCGCTCCCTTCGTAACACCCGCTCCTCCCGGCTTAATAATACTTGTTACAGCCTGGACAGCTGATCTTTCGAAAAATTCCAAATTCCAGGCTCTAATTCCAACCCCAAGAAGATGCTATGCCTGAACTAGACGGACAAGATATACGAAGCCTGGAAGCCTGATCCTTGGCGAAATCGCGCGCGTCGCCCTTTTTGCCATTTCGCACTATTAATAAGGTGCATTTCGCCATTTCGCTCCTACCCCACAAGAACCGGGTTGACGCGGGGTCTCGTGGCAACGTGATCGGGCAATTACCTAAGTGGGGCCGAATCAATTACGGCGAGATAAACTCGGCCGATAATATCAATCGCGGCTAGCTATTCGGGGTAGCAACTACCTTCTTTGGGTCGTCCACCCCCTTTTCATCGACGTACCTATGCATGCAAACGTCTCTCTACCCGATGTACCATAAATATACTTGGCTCCACACCGGCTCCTGTCCCGAGCCAGCTACGCGTCGCCAAAATATAGATCCGACGTTCGCCTTAGCTTCGTAGCGCCCACGTGAATATTGAGGATCTCCCTCCCGCTACTTTAAACGGCCTAGGTGACCAGAGAAACCATAGCTTCTAGAGCTCCTATATCGGCATTTTCTGCTTCTTCCCCAGACTTTGACGATGGGATCTAATGCAATCGAGGTAGCTCTCGAGGTCCGACGGGCTCCGCGGCTTGTAAAATATAGTACGTCATTTCCCAAGGGAGCCTAGATATAATATCAGGAAGTCCAATGTTGTGACTCAATTCCCAGTTTTCTGATCCACATATGCAGGTTTTCAGTAGCAAGGACTAAAAATAGTCAATGTTATCTTATTGTCTGATTCTTAACTCCTAGCTCGATGCCAACGAAATTTATTCGCTCGTCTGTCAATTAGCTCAAGGAACTTCGTGATCCCGATCAGTCGATGACTCGTACATGACCTCACCGGCGACTCACCGGCGAGGCAAGAATTTGCGAGTGGATTCTTTAGTTGCGAATTGAAATCACGACTACCGCTATTCGAGAAACTACGACCCAAACTTCGATCGGCGAGAATTTGCAGACGTTGGATATGAGCATGAGCAACGCGTATCTATGACAACTAAAACATATCTAACGTAACGACTGTATAGGGGCCGACCCCTAACCCGATATTATTCGACCCGGGCTGCCGGGACCGGAATACCCGCCCGGCCTTCTATCTTTCGTAGGAGTAATTAAAGAGCCTATGGGGTTTATTGTTGCTGTATATATAAAAAAAGGCCCGATATGCCAGGCCATGTCGCGAGCCCACATCATTAATAGACGCCTGAATTGATGCACACGTGTCTTGATATTCTTCATCGATCTTCATATTCATCCTTCTTCCCTGCTCCACCATCATGAGGCTCCGATCGAAAAGTCCCGTAGAACGCCTTATTGCCCCCAATCAACAGAAGTACGGATGTCATAGCACCTAACGGTCGTATCGACCTGTTTGCCGGAACCGTCTACCCAAAACTGTACGGATGCGATACCAATGAGAAATAGTTGAGATGCCAAGAAGAATCTTGGTTGTGACGTTCATGTTTATGCTGTCGATGAATGTTGTACAGAAGGCGTTGTACGAGGTCCGGCCGTTTAGTCCTGCGACACGGTTTGCTATGTGACACGTTAGCTATATATTACTTTTACCCCTGAGATTCAGGACAAGAAACAGATTGGTGGAACGTGATGCGCCGTTATTTATGAAGACCGAGACGCTGGTACAGGCTCGAATATGACTTACCACCAACCAATCCATGCCTTCGTTGACACCACTTCCGTCAACGGCTGAGCATGCGACAATGCTCCAGTTGCGATCCCTCAATTCGCCTAATCGCAATGCCTCGGATATTTCTCCCGCACCCTTAGCACCGGGCTGATCTTGCTTGTTGGCAAAAACCAGAAGCGCAGCATCCCTCAATTCGTCCTCGTTCAGCATGGCAGCTAATTCCTCGGCTGCGGTCTGAAGACGCTCGATGTCCGTGCTATCGACAACGAAGATGACAGCGGCCGTGTTCGCGTAGTAACACCGCCAATAGGGCCGGATCGAGGTCTGTCCACCGAGGTCCCACACGTTGAAATTTAGGTTCTTGTAGGTTACCGACTCGACGTTAAACCCGATCGTGGGGATTGTCGTTACTACTTCGCCTATCTGTATACAGCCTTAGCCGTTAGTTATTGAACCCCTTAGTCTAAGTCCAAGCGCGTGGGCCTGTCTAGGGGAAAAGAGGAAAGGCATGATTGCGTGATGTTCGCGATATGGATGGTTTAGTTCGTAAGTAGATGGATACGTGAAATAAATGGCTGACCTTCAATCTATATAATAATGTCGTCTTTCCCGCGTTATCCTGCGCAAGATCATGAATCAGCTCATACTGCTTCGCCACCAAAGGAGCTCGAACAGGGGGTAACAGTAAGCTCGTACAAGACCTAGGATTAAGATTCTTATCTCCTTCTTCGCCCACAGTAGGCCGGATAACCACGATACACTTTGACCCATCTTGCGTATGTATGGTTCGTCCACGCAGGAGCTCGGCGCTCTTTCAGGGGAAGAGGATAGGGGAAAAGAGAAAAGGAGAACGAAGTGGCCACGCGATCGTATACTACTTGCTGCTCTACAGCTGCCTGAAACCGAAACGGAAACTTATGGGGATTAAATGAAATAGAATTTCTAAATCTTCTTTAGTCGTCAAAGGAAAAAGAAATTATTATCTCGTAAAACGCGTAGAAAAAGATGGGTTAACTATTTGTTAATAGGAGCTTGTGTTTTTTTTGTTTGTACAATTATTGGTCACGTCAAGCTTTCAGATTCGCTTTGAAATCTTGCGCAGAGGCTAACACCTGGTAGAGCACAAGGGTTCACCCAAGATTGGCTTTCTAATAAGCAAGGGTCCCATTTTCCAAGGTTTAGGGAGGCCGCCACAAGCATTGCACCAATCCTTGGCATCGGTTTCTAATGGCAGGTGCCAGCCCAACCGGCAGATCTGCCACCCACAACCAATTGCCCAGCAGGTGCAGACTTGGCCTTAACTTATCTCTTATCGGAGTCGCAATTTGATGGAATCCGACCTTACCAATTTCGGGGTTATATGGCCTGTGCTTCTCTCATGCGTCACGTGAAGAAATACATAGATACAAACTACTACCGCACGCACAAATTCGTATTGGGGTTGGAAAACCCTCGCGTCAACCCAAAATTTCAAGTCCGCATATTGATTTGATCTTCTACTCCACCCTCCTTCAACTCTCATCATCACGAACAACCTCGACATTCTGATCAGCACAAGCAGTCAAAATGCCGGTATGTATTATTTGTTTTCTTAATTGATTGACTGAATCATTTAATTTGTCCTATCAATCAATTCACATAATATTCTTTTCTGCGCATAAGCACGATTACTTTCATGTCTAGATCGCATCCAACTAACGAATTTAATCACAGAGCCACAAGTCCTTCCGAACGAAGCAGAAGCTCGCCAAGGCGCAGAAGCAGAACCGACCCATTCCTCAATGGATCCGACTACGTACTGGTAACAGCATCAGGTACGAATAAACCCAGCCGAATCCTACCATTCCAACGTCGAAGTAAATGATAAATGGCGACGACTTTTGGAGAAATGATAGACAGAGACAGAAATAAGCAGGAGGCTAACGAGAGCTACAGATACAACGCCAAGCGGAGGCATTGGCGCAAGACCCGTCTCGGCATCTAGATGCCTCTCCACGATCCCATCTACATCGGTTACATCTGTTCTTGGGCGCTCTACCGATCTCGACATGTCACCATCACAATACTTGGCGACTAGGCAATATTTAGGGGACGGAACCGGCAGTGGATGATCAAAAAACATCGGTTGGCATTGTTTCGGTGGACTTTCGAGGCAGACAATGGTGACCCTTGATGTCGGAGGGGAAAGCATGGTGCTGCGGGCGAATCGGTTTTCTTCAGGGCTCATCAGTTCAGATTTGCATGGTACCGGTCAATAGGGAATGAACAACACGTTTATGAAAAGAACGTGACTACGAAAACACTGCTTCTACGAGTTGAACTTGTCTCCGTATGCGTGATTAGCGCACCAAGGCTTCAGTAATCCATTTCGCATAATTGAATCAGGTAAGGAGGAGTTAATTCTGTGTCGTGTCTACACTACCTCCACACCCAAACCCTCAGATTCCCAACCTTTATGTCCCATCTTCGAAAGCTGAATTAGCGAAAGAACATTGAAATCCTCGTGGCCTAGGGTCGTTAGCATAAAATAAATCCTCAAGTACAAGGTAAGAATGGACGTACCTAAGATATCCAGAGCGAGGACTACAGAATAGCTTTGAGTGTCTTGGAGATAGGAATCCAATCGGCAGCATTCCTTCTCCATATATACAGACTGATCACTCAAACCGCCCTCGAGGGCCGAATCCCAGCCCTTAATCCCAGCCTTTCCCTCTTTCGCGAAGAAGACACTTCACGTAACTAGCCCCTAAGCCCAGTGGGAGAAGATATAGTTGGAGATGAAGTTAAACACCACAGTAAGGACGATATTCAGAAAGGTCGCGTTGGCGTACCACTGTGCTTCGAACCGAAGCACCCCCAAGTTGATCCTCACGACGCCCCGGTGGTCGTTCTCAATGAGGTCGATGAAGAGTAGGACGAGGAGGACGTGGGTGAGTAGCGCCCAGGGATCGATGTCAGAGAGGCCTGGCATGGTTGATGGTTGCGGTTACAGAGAAAATGAGGGTTTTCTAGTTGATACTATGAGTAGGTGGTGAGCCTGAGAGTTTTGATTTTTTTAAGGATACCTAGGGTAAACATTGCTTCAATGAACATGAGATTTTCAGATGGGATACTAGTCTTCTCAACAGCATCGTTATGGTCGTCGAGGAAAGGGAGTTCATCTGACGATGGTTACGAGCCGACATTCTATGCAAGGATAGACGGGCCTCCTCTGCAAATACACTAATAGCTAAGAGTATCGTTTACTTTTTGGGACACTCAAGATAGTACAAGTATGAGACGTAGATCACGGATAATACCGCAGTGGCAACCTTGGATATTTAAGTTCTGTGTTAACCAGAACTTAGTTGAGCTATATGTTACCCCTAGACCAAGACGGTAGCAAGTCAATCTTATAACAATAAATATAGTGATATAGGAATAGCTTAAGTGAGTTTGGCCTACAACTAACCTCGGGAATATTTGTTGACATTGAAAGAGATCCTCTTCATCGTACCTAAGATCCAGTTTGAACGATTCTCCAACTCTTAACCAATTCACAATGGGATATCATCATATCACAAGACGGTGTAATTCATAATGTAGGAACCAAGTTAAATAGCCTATTAGCGTGCTAATCTAGAACACCAAAAGACAAACCCGCATGTCTCTACGTTGCTCGAACGCAATGTCCTCTGTGCAAAGCGAATCCTATCGTTCGGTGTCTAGTACCGGTGTATGTATGTTGGGGTTAATAGAGCAACATGACGTTTATGGTCAGCTCGAGAGGAAAGTTCCTCGAATCCGCCATAAACCAGCAAATGACGACTCCATCCATACCGCATGATGTATTACGGTCAGGTAAGTCGTGTTCATGAACGCCGTCAATGAAACAGAATTGATAATTACGGCAGTATGGTAGGGAATTTATCGGTCCTCGGCCCACTCGTTCTCCCGGCGAATCTGCTCCTCCTCGTCATGGGTGAAGTCGTTCGTGATGTTGAAGGTCTTACGAATCTCCTCGGGAGACTTTCCCTTGATCATGTTGGCAACGGTCTTGCAGCCAACGTCTAAAAGAGCCTTGATGTCGAGATAGTTGGATGCCTTTAAAAGAAGCTTAGTTAGCAATCATGTGATAGAGAGACAAGTAGGACGTGTATCTGCTAGACATACAAGAATAATCTCAAACAGCATCTCTTGGTCGACCTGCATGAATTTCTGATCCCATTCATCGATGTCCGTCGTCTTCTTGCGATTGTCCGACTCGTCCTCGTTGCTAGCCGGAGGGTCGTTACGGTGGTGTTCACACCATTCGATGACCTTGCGCAAGACAGGCTCGGTTACCTAAAAATATTAAATCAGCATCGTGCTCTTTCGCTGCCAAGGTTACTCGGAAACCTAGGGTGGTAGCAACATACATTAGGGATGGGAATAGTCTGTCCGTCGGCGTTAGGACCAAGATCCTCGAGCATGTTCTTGATGAGCAGTGATCGTTCTGCGACCGCCTTCTCTGTAGTGAGTGTAAGCAGCGTTTCAATTGCAAGGATATGAGCGTGTTACTTACCGACATCAATCTTAATGTTGTCGTTTGACTGAAGGCGGATGTAATCCGCAGCGGGGGGTGCTTCGGTCTCAACCATCGTGAATGAATAATCGAGATCAACTAATCGTCTGTAATAAGGATGAGTGTACGGTCGCAAAATGTGTAGCTGCGAAATCTATTCTAGTCGCAAAGTGTATGTGACCAGAATATGCAAATATGTCGTGTGGTAATGTGTAATATTTTATTTTATGGTGGATGAAGGAAGGGAAATGTAAGAGGTAGAAGCAGAAGTTTGCCGTTTGAGTAGTATTGAGCTATGGCGGAAGGCGGGAAGGCGGGAAGGCGGTGGTGGATTAGAGGGGCACTGGGCTGCTGGGTCATGTCCAAATTCTTAAATAGGCTTAGGTAATACAGTAGGAGCGGGCACGTCACGATGGAGTTACTACCTCCAAGGTATTTACATAGGAATGGGAATGACTTACTTAATAGTTGAGATATCGCAATTATCCGTGAGGAAGAATATGAAGAAGGTAGAGTTGAAAAAGGTGGAAGAGTCGGTTCAGTTTTAAATTATGTGAGATAAAAGAATTATCTAGGGAAAATTCGGTGCAGCTTCCTTTTCTTTTTAATACCAAGAGGTTAGAGAAGGTTCCATGAACGCGGTGTGAGCTGTGGCATAAAGAGTGCAGATAGAACGCCTGAAAGTTTAAATCTTTCCTAGGTAGGTTACCACCAAGTACAGGTGGCAACTTACCGCAACAGCTGGTGGGCCTCTAGGCAACATTCAATATTTACGCCGAATACCAGGCACACTGTAAGTAATACTATTAGGTCCCAATTAAGGTTTTTCATTCATGGTTTAAAGTAGTCATTAAAACGCCTCTTAAGTGATAGTATTGTGGTGCTCTCCACCCGGTGAATCACTCCCCGAGTAAACTAAAAAGGAGATATAAGATGATCTAAATGCATATAAATTCAAATTCATAAACAAACTTAGGTAATTATCAAATAATTGCAATTATTGGATAATCCTAAAAAGAAATAAATTCTACGTCAAAGGTAAAATACTTGTATACAATAATGGCCGTGCCTCAAGGCTACGCCGGATTAGATGCCAAACTGCTAAGACGCCACGCATCTCTGTACCCTTCCAAACATCTACATATACGGTGATTTAGGCAGACAATGTTCTTTCAAGGGTGTTCAATATGTTCGTTTGATCTTGATTAAGCTCTGACAACTCTCAAGTGCTTGTATAGACTATTCTGTATGCATACCAAGTTACACAACGTCCCTCTATGTCTCAATTATCCACCTCTTTACCAACAACACGGCTCATATGAATCTGCATCTATTTTTGTGTTTCCTCATATGCACGTTCCCTAATTGCTTAACTCCGTTTGCCAGCACCAACTTTGATTCCAGCAATTACATATTAGAAAATAAGTGGAAGGATAGGTACCCTATCTAGGTACTAGGTAGGTAGGTAGATATGTAATCAAAGGATCGAGGGATGTGCCATAATGTACATGATATACTTGGGTAGTTCGTATGTAATAGCAATAGGTAATAAATGTCGATGATCGCTAGATGAAATTATAAGAAAGGTGTGGAAACGAGGGAAAGAAAGGGTATCAAGTTCCACCACCGCCAACCCAGCCCGATATGAAAATAAACCCATATGCCCGCTACCGTATTTTTGTTTATACACGTATACTCGTCGCTCTTGAAACGTGTTCCCATTATTGGCCCTTGACATTACTCTGCATCCTCCTTAAAGCCTCGCGATGGGCGTCCATGAGATCCCCGCGTCGCATCAATTCCTCAAACGTGCGTTCGTTGCGTTCTTTCTCCTGGCGTTCAAACTCTCTTCTCTGTGTTTCCTGTTCCCTCTGGGATAGAAGAACGTTCCGCTGCTGGTCGATATTATATTGCATTTCGTAGCTTCCATTTCGCTGCGTGGTTGCTCCTAGTAAGGGGGTCGAAGTAGAGAAAAGGGGTGTTTCCCGGCCAGTGTTACCTGCGGGCGAGACTTGCGTTCCTGCCCGCAACTCTGCGGCGACAGACTGCCGGAAGTTCGCGAGCTGGGCATCGCGATGGGCTGGGGACGGCGCTGTAGATCGTCGTTGAGGTTGATGAGAATTAAATTGTGAACTTTCTGCTGCTATTGGCGAGACTGTTGGTGGATTTGATCCAGACATATGTGATATTCTCATAGTGCTATTTTGTCGCGGGTTGGTGGTAGCGGAATGTGCAGAAAGCATGCTGTTTTGGCGAATGAGTTCTTTTCGTTGGCTAAGTGGAAGATCATCTGGATCTTGGGTAGCAAAAGGTGAAGGTGTTGGATGGTTGTACTGGAGCTCCATTTGGCTGACTGATCTGAGGGGGTATTGTGCACTCTCAGGAATCTGTTGCGATAGTAATAATGTTGACTGAGATTTGCTACGCAAGAACATATCTCGCTTTCCAATCAACGTTTGAGGGCTGGAGTATGAGACAACACCTGGGACGGGAGAGTGGCTTATACGCTGTGATTCAGGCTCGATGGGGGAAGGTGGGATTAGTCCCGAAGCAGGTGCATCGTCCCTCTCTTGAGGCGTATTAACTTGAGTATTGAGATTCTCGTCGGTGTTTTCTTCCAAGATTGGCTGGATGACATCACCAGACTGACGGCGACTCTTTACTCGCACATTATGCAGGGTATAGGGCTGGGCACCCATTATGTGACTCGGAATGTCGCTGGCCTCTTGAGATTGGAATGTAGCTTGTGTAGGGTCTACTATCCCCACCACAGATGCCCTTGATGCAGAACGATAAACGCGCAAATTTGACGGAGTATTCGAGACGGAGGATTGAGTTCTCACGAGAGGGGCCGCCAAAATGCCACTCTCGGCTGTTTGCTGGAGTTCTTCGACCATAACTGGAGCAGGAACTTCTTCTTGCTGCTTCAAGACTTCTTCCGGTTCAGGGTATTCATTTACCTGCAGCGTTTCGAGTTCGGGCTTCTCTGCATGGCTCAAGTGTTTTGCCCACTCATTTGTGCGGTATGAAAGTGCAACACGGGACAAGCTAGAGGGAAGACGTTCCTTCGTAAGGCTTGCTGAAGATGTAGCTGATGGTGACGCAGATTTAGCAACCTTTGACGTGTCGGAAGGAACCTTCGTCTCCGGAATATTTGTAAGCTTGCTGATCTCATTGGCCCCTGCTGTCTTTCCGGTATCATTTGTTATGCTACTCCTTTTTGAGTTGTCCCCGGTATGCTCTCCTAAGAAAGGGTCTAGAATATCCGTCGCAACGGTTTCTACCGTCGAGTAAGGTCGAGCACCAGGGTGTACCCCGGAAGAATCTCTTGGTTTTGATTCAGGCTTCTTGTCTTCGAGACTCATTTCATTTTCTGGTAACCTATCCGCCAATTCTGGTTTGATTTCCATCGTCAATCTCGGTTCTCGCTCTTCAGTCCATTCTAATTTCTCATCACCATCATCACTCATGCCGTCAATGGTAGCAGCAATAGAACCGGTGTCTTCGGGAGGCATTCGGCTTTCTGTCACAAGATCCTGGCGACTCTCGCTCCATTTGGGGGACGGCTGTGGAGCATCGAATTCTCCAGTTTGGCGCTTGGATTTTTGTGATTTTTGGGAACGCTGAGATAGACTTCGCAATAAATTCCCCGAGCCCACTGATAACCTATGAGATAAAGATGCCCTCGAGGCTCTTTTGCTTAACGTGATAGACCGTCTATCCTCATCGGCAAATGTTGCAAACGATGAGCGATCACCATCATTATCCTCATCGTCTCCGTGCGGTTCCGGGATTCTAAATGGCAATGGTATGATGTCGGGTCCAGTCATATTCGAGACTCTTTTTGTACTGTGGGGCGATACTGTAGTCGCATGCTGATTCTCCTCATCAACCCCAGCCATCCATGCCTTTTCATCAGGTGTCGGCAATGAAACAGCGTCTCGATCAAGAAGGTCATCCCGTGAAACTCGAATAGTTACTCGGTTCTCTTCGTGTTGATTTGGAATTACAAGTCCGTTTTCCACCCTTTTCACGTCCTCGGAAGATGCTGCGTCGTCGGAAGTGGTAAGGTTCGCCATTTCGATCGCGTTTTCGGTTTCGGTATCCGTCGGCGAGACTGGTTGAACTGTTGCCTGGCTAAGACGGCCCTTCTTCTCACTTTCCATCTCCCCAACACCCGAATCACGAGAAGCAGTAGGACTCATTGGTGGAGGCATATCTCCGTAGGTTGTTTCCCATTGCCTCCTTTCGCGCTCATTATCTTCTTCAACTCGTCTCCCAACAACTGCCTCCTCTTCATCGCGCATTCTTTGGAAATCAGCTCGTTCTTCGGCTCGTTTTTCTCGATGATGCTGAATCACACGCCATAGTTTGAACTGAGATATCAATCCCAAAATGGTTAGCACGACGATTAATGCGATCTCCACTTTTATTCCCTTGGTTAAGGGATAAGTGTTGGCCTCCAGAGGAAAAAGTTTGTCGTTGAGGTTCCAAATATAAACCCAGAATTCCTTCAAACCAGCTCTGCTGAAACAGTCAATACCTAAAACTGTAACAGTCGCACCGGCGAAAGACATTAACCCGATCAAAGCGTATGGTCTGGTATAATGACTGAAGTAAGATGCGAAGCCTACGAGTGTGAAGACGGTGATAAATATGACTTTGCCGGTAGTTGAAGGTAACAACCCGCCATCGTGCAAGGTTAGCAGCCACATAGCAAAACAAAAGCCACCCAGCAAACATCCAAGACCTTCGGTAAGTTCCCTGAAAGCTGTCGCAGCTCCACCTAGAATAAGACCAGTACAAACAGCTGCCACAACATATGCCCCTTGGATCGCATCTGATATAGGCGGGTTCATAACGTAAATGATCAAGACCGTTACACAGAGACTGGCAAGATATGCCGAAGAGAAGCATGTATGCAGCCATGCGTTTTTGATGCCGACTAAGGTGTATACGATGCCAGTTAAGAGTAAAATCGCGCCGGAAACACCCCAACCGGGTGTAAGTCGAGGTGGCAAAGGCAATTCGCCCTGTACAACAGTTTCTGTAGACAAAAGGTTAGAGCTAACGTCAAAAGAATTAGAAATTAACAATATTGAGCTACTCACGGTTTCCAGTATAACTATCATTGGTCGGGTTATTCCCATTGATAGCCGAGGGGATCGCAGTTTCTGATGGATCGCTAGTTGTGGTTGCCGAAACTTGAACAGAATTAGTCACCTCTAATGAACTAGAGGAAGACCCTGAGGCGTTTGGTGTGGCTGTCGTTTTATCGTCTCCATTTTGTGTCGTGGTCGGACCCTCTGTAGTTACTGAAGAGGCATCTTGTCTTGGATATGGTCTCAGTCGACCCGCAGAGACCAAGTTCAAGCATATTAATAGATAGAGCACAGCGCAAACGCTGGACCACCTTGGAAGCATCATGGATACTTGATAGGATGCTTAGACGTCGAAACTATATATCGATCATGTAGCACTCTGAGAAGTGCTTGTCCTGTTGAGCTTTGCTATCTGTCAAGAAACATAGCTAGGAATCGACGACAGCTGAGACAATAGCCTTGAAGAGCGAGTGTCTTTGTCTAAGCGTCGACGTCGGGGTCGAGGAACTCGAATAGTAGAACAACAGGGACGGTAATCGGTAAAGGGGTGTTGATGCTCTCGAGTTTCGAGACTCTCAGTATCTTAAGAAACGAGGGTATGAAGCCGCGAACGACGTTGGCCCACTAATGGACTGAGTTCTGGAATGAGGTTGAAGCCCAGAGGCGAAGTGAGAAAGCCAGGGTAAAGCCGCATGCGTCCCGATCGAGGGGCATGTACCAGTAGATCAAACTTATCAAGGAGCCGCGATCAGACCAGATTCGTCAATAGTAGCCTCTGAGCCTCTTCCTCGTTCATGCAAAAAAGTGAGCGGCATGAATACCGAGAGAAGAAACCTAACTATTGGAGTCTAACGACCCAGTGGTAAGGAACAAGAAGAAAAACCTGAGAAGTTTTTTTGATCAAATTTACCCATTACTTTGAGATCTGCCCACCGTCCACGTACTAGGCTATCGTACCGTACCTGGTCGCATCTCAACCAGCCAGCCGAGCTGAGGGCATGTCTCTAAAATTGCTTTTCGCGCCCAGTAGGCCGCCGCTTGGCAGCACCAGCAGCAGCACCGTTTCTCGGAAGTACCATGTTCAAAGACTAAAGTACTGGGGCGCATGCTGTGTGATTGATGCAAGTATGACGATTACATGGCCATCCAATGGTCTTCTATAGGCTCCAATGGTGCGCTATGGAACTGACCGCGGGAGATTAGCAGCGAGGATGAGTGGACATGAAGAATAGACAGTTGAAGCAGCTCTAGCCTCTTGGTCGGATTCCGGAAGAAAATGAATTGCAAGCCTCTGTTGTCTGTAACTTCCTTACTTCTAGTTAGTAGTACATGTAGTTACCAGTTAGGAAGCTACTAAGTAGCAACTACCTAGTACGCTACACTGCCAGACAAGGCAAGCCCAGTCGACTAGGAACGAACGGGAGCTTATTCCAAACGAGGTAATTATCGGTCAGGGCAGATCACCAATTGGCCAATGCGATTTGTGATTGGTAACCCGGTTCTTTTTACCCCTGACTACCGGTAAACCTTACTGCATTTCGACCCTCCTTTTCCTCAAATGCTATCCACAGGAACCCACCGTTTAGCATCTTTATTAGAGCCCTACGAACCTTGAATCCTTCGAATCGTCGATTCAAAAAATAAGGCTCAACTTTTAGCATGAGGCTAAATTGTAGCTAAACTTCACGATGTATGAATTGCGTAGGACACTAGTATATCAATATCTCGTCCACTCCTCACAATTCTTGATGGTAGCACACATGTGATAGACCAAGCAGGAAACCAGGAAATCAGAAAATATCACTCATCCCCGGACGCCACATGTATGAAAATCTCGGCGAAGAGGCACAACACGTGCAGTCAAATCAATAGTTTGGTTCAGATTTGTCAAATCCCAAGCCATTTTCACAATCCGAGCAAGGTATCAGATCGGTTTCCCTTAGGCGGATGCACCGGTGAAAAGCAATTTACTTCCTAGAGTTCCAAAGTCCTAGCCTCGAAAAAATCTTAGCGGTCCACCCTGTCGTTCTGGTCGTCTCGTTCACGATCGCTCATCTAGCATTGGCTGTTGATCCCGCATCCAGCCAAAACTGCGTACGACGCTGCAGCAAGGGTACGTACAGTACACCGGATTCTCAACAGGAACCAGCACAGCAGCAAAAAGCAGGACAAGTCACACATTTGATGACTACACGCGTGTTTCGGGCTCTGTCGGATGGTAGCCCAATTGATGATCGCCAGCTCACCGACTTAAAACATCTCGATTGACCAAACCGAGGAGTTAGCGGTCTGGTATAATATGTCTATCTTTCAACTTTCAATCATGAGAAAAAAAGTTAATGGTTGGGAATCATCCTCAGTTGAGACGACAAGTAACGCGCTAAGAACGAACGAAATATCGAAATGACGCGTATTCAGGAACCGAAAGGAGTTAAATTACACTCAAGGGTCCCCCCACCACCACAATCGCCGCCATTAATCGCAAGTTTCTAATAGAAAGACGAACCTTGCAGTAGCGAGACGCCTCGTCTGCGCTTGGCGATTCGTCCCGCGTCGTAAAGGAGGGTAGCAGCGGCGGGATCTTGCTCATCTCGTCGACATCTGATGGAACGTTTATTCACCCCCATCACGAGATTAATGACTTGCCTTTCTCGCCCTCTTCGCCTTACGAAGTTTGCTCTCGACGGTGATACGGCGTAGTGCGACGCCGGAAAGGCACATCGATGAAAAAATCCAAACGTCCGGTAGTGTAATTGGAAATAAAACCTTCCACGCAGGTCGCACGTGCGAGAATAGGACGATAATACATCCGTATTCATACTAATCAAACTATCCTTGTAATGGTGGAAGTTGGACAAGATCTAGATTGCACGATTTTTGCCAACTTACATATCTGGATGTTGTCTCAACAATCGTACCCCTGTGTATGATCAAGGTGGTTGATTATTGATGTATGTCAGATTTCCAATATTTATCATATCCCGCACTCGCAGGTATACCTACCTAGTAATACCTAGACTGCTAGAGCAGTGGACAGCAAAGCAAAAGAGTACGAAATTCGATAAAATCCGACATTTTACAAGGTTGTTTCCGGTTTGCCGAAGCCGAAGCCATGGGTTCGTCCCTCTAGTTTGCTAGCTTTAGCGTATGTAGTACCCGGATTCAGGAACCGGTGGACCCAACCCCCAACTACCGCATGCGTGCCTGGCAGCCTGGAACTACCTACAGCAGCCTTAAAGTTGATATTTTGTATCCATCTATGGATTGGCGAAAGTTCGAAATCTTGGCAACTTGGTTATATCCACCGTCATCGAAGATGGGAAGAAAATTGTGATGCGCAGACCCATTCCAGCCCTTCTCGTCACAAGAGCTACCTTCCCCGCATCATGACGTTCGTTGGAGCAGGCGTAGGTATTGTGGCAGGTATCTGACGTGTTCTTCAATATTTTATGTATCGAGTTGTGCAGGGCTGCAGGGGGGTATTCTGTAATTCGGTGGCTATCCCCATATCCTCAAGCCATCCTTGACCGGTCCGCCGGTCTATGCACTGTGATCAATATTTCACAATTTCAAAAGAGGAAAATTCGTAATTGCTGAAAACATGCTTTTGAGAAGTGGCTCTGTAAGAACAACGTGTGTGAGTCCAAACTTTTGCCATTCCTATAATAATGGCCTCAGGATATCAAGTAGTTCTGAATTAGAGTACAAATATGTTAATCATGGTCCATAATTGCCTTTCCAAAGAAAGAAAAAAAAAGTTTCCTAAGTGAGTTGTGAGCTAAACAAACTCATGCTGTTGAAGTATGTTGAGCGGTGACCGAAACTCCCATCTCGATAACTTGCCTCCTGTAATCGCCGCGTGCCGTACCTCCCATGATTCCCTTCAAACCAACAAGTATCGAAAAGCCGACCAGCCCGTCATCACCAAAATACCTACCTAAACTCCTCATCTTATATCCATAATCTCATACAGACACGCGCGCGCGTATACACATCACATAGACATACACCCTTATCTCCTAGACATGCGCGTAGGAACACGATCAGGGCCGTTTTTGCCCTGAGCAAATGTCTTTCCAGATCGGGTAGATCTGTGTGTCCTCTCAGGCGTAGACCTACTCTTACGGCTAAGTAAAGCCATGGCCGTCCGGAAAGGAAAAATAAACACAGCCACGAGCGCCTGAATCGGGAACATGACTACTGCGATTATTTTCTCAATAAGCCAAGACCAAACCCCCCATTGAGCATTGCTATTCTTAGCTGCAACAGCAGCAAGTGTAAGGGCATCGTTAAGCCTTTGATCCACATATTCGATTCGGTTGTCGGTTTGGCACGCAAGTAGAGTGAGTTTCTTCTCATACCGTCGCATGGCCCGAGATAAGGCATCAAGCTCTGGCTGTACGCTATTGCGGAATTCCTGCGATACGGTCGTCTCGACCAATTTTTGTTGTGGCGGCCCAGGTTGCAAGTCGACGTTTGAGGTCGTCTCGCCAGTAACTCCACGTGTTTCTAACTCATCCAATCTTGCTGAAATTTCTTGGAACTGTTCCATCGTGACGGTCTGCTTTTCGTAGGGGTTCCTTGCTACGATTTGTTGAACCCGCAAGGTCCGGTTTTGAAGCATTCTGATCAAATGCGAGACTGGGCGAACCTCGGCAGCACAAAGAAAAATGGTGAGGTTATAATCAGATACCAGTCCTTCGGAAGGTCTTGACAACTGTCCACGAATGGTGTGAAGAAGGTAAGCTCCTAGCATAGGAAAAGTAAAACACCACGCCAAAGCGGCTATTTCGTGTAAATACAATTCGCTTAGGGCCGCCGCTTGTTTCTCTTTCCATTGTTGGGCTCGTCGGTCAAAGGGCTTATGAGCCGCTACCTCGGGCTCACTCTGTTTCTCTACTTCCTCAGGGACATTTTCCAGCGTTGTTTTCTCGGTGGTTGGTGACAACAGTTCACCATCACTGTCAGACTCAAACACCGACTCTGTCATAATCTCATCTTTTATGATACGCACTTCTTGCGCGGACTGGTACCAGTCCCATGGTTGCGTGACAGACCAGTGGAGAAAGACGGCAGCTAAGCTGAGCAGTATTAAGTCGGTGAAGAAAGCGCTTCCATTCTCAAAAAAGATGCCGGCCAAGGCAGGCAGCAGGGCTAGCGTGAGTGGGACATAGACGAAAGGTGATTTATCCGCTTTCGAAGACTTGCTCGGGTTAAGAAGTTCATCTGCACTCGTCTCGAGATCCCTCCTCGCATCACTCAGACTATAGTCTGAGTATGTAGAACTCCGCCTTCGAATATCGGGAAATTCGTCCTCGCCGGATGGTACACCGAGATTTAGGGTGGAGCGACGGCGCAAAGTGGATGGTTGACCGGCGGTTGCAGCTCGACGTAGACCATATCCCGGCGGCGCATTGCCGTTATTAGAGGATGACCGACCGGGGATATTCGTTGCTGACGTTGAGGTCGATACGAAGCTTTCGTCAGCCATGACGGGAATTTAATGAGTTCCGTCCTACATGGGGTCACGGACCATAACCCCAGCAGACATGGATGTTTCTTACAAAGTTATTCTAGATGAATAAATGATCACCGAAGCCCATAGGGCTATGCGATAATCAGTGCGATGATGGAAGAAGCTGCGATGTAGATGGAAAGTAGCATGGCTTACCGTAAAGCATGCGACGGACAGGGATAATCAGATCGGAAATGCTCAGGTTCAGGTGGCCGGATGAGGTCATTGTCTCGTGCTTTTTAAAGCAACATAGCAGTAAGGAAGCCCGAGCTTTCCCAACTCCAGCTATTCAGCTCTCCACACCTGCCTGCATTATGCTTATTACGTCACCAATCATATCAATCGGTGTCAGGTGTATACGAGTATCTTTATTTCTTCATTGGCTTCTTCATCTTCGAAGGTATCAACGTAACACCTCTGCATTGAAGACACATAAGATGCATCTTACATACAGTATTATACTTCAACCCCTTTCAATCCCAATAAGGGAAACGATGCAGTATAATCTCAGACGGAAGAGGAAGCTTTGGTATGCAGGTTAGATATCTTGGTATGTAAGATCTATGCTTCTGACCTAAATAAGTTATGTGCACGGATCTGTCATCATAGTAAATTTATGCGATGGCGCCGTGAAGCTCCGACACCGACATTTTTACTCTAAAAAGACGGGCGGGAGTAAATTCACGCTGAAGCCGAATTTACCGAGAACCATCCCTTCCTAGACCTAGAATTCTAGATTTCACGATGTGTATATTTCAGACAAGCGTCGTTTCTAGTTCTACTTCTTAAGTCGGCCATTCGCCTCTCGACTTCGTTCCCGATCTAGATGGGCACGGACTAGGACCGAGATTCCGAGGAGAAAAGCAAGATCTCGTTCCAAATAATCGTGTTTCGCCCGTTCCTCGGCCGTGGATATTCTACGCTCGAACCATAACGTCAAAGCGCCCCAGGCAAAACCCACCTGATTCCAGCAGCGTAGGAAATATCTAGCGAGGGCTGATGACGGCTGATTTCTAAAGCTGTCCGAATGCAAAAATGCGTTAAAAGACGGGCCAGGCCGAGTTCGTCAAGGGTTGGACGGCGATTGACTTTTCTAGAAAACCATCCCCGGATATCACGAACATTAATAATACCGAGCCGCTTATCAGAAAGCTCATTAATGTCCTCGTGTTAATGCTATTTCGAGGTAGTAGCCAAGGGTGCGGCCAAAATCTCCACCATGTCAAATGGTATCTTGCCGGGGGCTGTGGAGATTGAGCATTATGCCCTTGATATGTTTCCGCTGTTTTCAGAGGCTCGAGCTATGACCATCACATCTACCCAACACAATAGATGTAACGACAGTGCGGCAATCCCGACGTATCAGGCAACAGAGGGACAGAAATTCAAAATTATTGAACAATAAGGCGAATTCTCGTTGATTTTGTTGTCACGTCATGATATGTTGGTAGGCTTCGTTGCTACGCTCCTATCGCTTAAAATCCAGTCTCTATGCAGCAATGTGGCTGTAAGTCATCACTCAGAGCTGGAATGGAATACCCATCTTTTTAAAAGACAAGGCTGGGCAGAAGCTTTTGATCCATACACTCGGGTTCTACTATGTAAAGGCGGTCTTGAAAAAAAGCCCCCAACTAGACCAAGTAGACCAGGTTCAGCCCAATAGACTCACTGTGTGACACCGCCAGAGCCCGTGAGTGGGACGATAGGTGACGAGGATGCCCCTGAATAACTTCCAACCGTGGCACTCAAAGCTGAGCTGGGCTTTGATAGGCAATGGCAGGTTTAAGAAGAAAAAAATGATCCGCAAAATAAAGCAATTTAAAGCCTTGTTCTTTTCTTAGTAGCTGACTCGTCAATAATTTGGGGCTACAATCCAGGTACGCAAGGACACCATATGACGAAAAAGAAGTACCATTTCTGTCGCATATATGTCTTCTGAAGTTTGCCTGGGCTTTTCTCCGTCGTACTAATCTACCTGATTTGTGTTCTCGGTCTTTTCTTTCTCTCTTTCTCAGTTAAACTCAAGGCTGATTTTTCTACCAAAATCCTTCCTTAAGGCAAAACGACGAGTGCGGCGTTTGCGGCGAATCAGTGTTTCGACAACCAAAATTAACAGCAATCAGAAGAATGATGACACCCTTTCGAAGATATTAAAAGAAAAGACCACGCAAGCAAGCTGGCAGCCCCCAAGGAAAAAATCATCAGTCAACGGTATATAATACCTGAAGACATCTCGTCGGATTTCAGAGAAGACGGATGATGAAATCTGTTGTTGACATTTTCAAATCTCAACAATTACTAATGTTTGCAGGTTGCTAGAGAGAACTTCAAGGTTGCAACCTTGAACTTGGAAAGCTTGGACTTCAAGTGCCTTGGAAGAGTGAGTGAAGTACGTACTACCTAGCAGCCTAGTACACTATTGGCACCCATGCAATTACTTGCGATAATACGACATTCCTATATCTTATGACAACTGCCAAGAACCGTCGAAAAACCGTCACCCAGCTGGTGGCTCTTTCCCTTTCAGGCCTGGGCTAGGCCAGCATGATTAGAACCAAAACCCCCCTGTGGTTGCCCCCATTAGTACTGGAAGCCCCGAATTATTACCAGTATCAGCACCAGCCACTTACAAGGCCCGTGTCCCGGCCCCCATCCCCATCAGAATCCTCAATCGTTCCAATTCCTTTTTTTCGCGTCAGTCTTTGTCATACACGATTACGGCCACGACCACGACCGCATCGACCGTATCGTCCGTATAGTCAGCCTCCATCGCGATATCCGCCATCTGAGGTTCCATACAATAAAGTTAGAGTTAAAGTTATCGAGGAGGGAAAAGGGGAGGAAACTTCATTTACTTGGCCGTTCTTGTCGTTATTGTTATTATTAAGATTTGACTTTGAAAGATCTGGAGTTTCTCCAATTGTCAATCCGGCCGCTAAATCGGCCATTTTACTTCACTTTTATTTCAAACGGCTTCTCACGCCGAAAGTCGTCCTACGAACTTGTCACCAGCCGCCCTAGATGCACCGCAAGCGAATGACAGCGTTAATTCTCCTTCCCAGCAGCCTGAGTATCCTACTGTCTTAGTTCCAAGACCTGTCGCTGCAACTGGAGTCACAGGTCACCAGCGACAAAAATCTGGCAATCGAAGAAATTTGGTACCCCCTGGACCCTACGATTATATTCCTCAGTCCCCCTTTCGCAATCGTGCTGCCGCCACAAATACCAATACAAACAACAACCTCAACTCTCTTTATCGTATAAACCGACGATTCGGCCCTGGCCGTCTCTGGAATCCGACTAATTCGACCCCAAGAATCTTAACCTCCCGACCACAACGAACATCGCGGCAATTTCAGCCATCCCGCAAACGTCGTCCATCCACGCCCCCACCCCCTTCTGTACCTGTCAACAACCCCACCATACAAGTCTCGTCGGATGCGAATGAGACTATAGGTTTTGGAGCAGGCGATTATCCACTTCTCTCACTACCCGAGCAATCGAAGCGAGCTAGTCTATCCATTGAGGGCAGGACAAGTGGAGATAAGAGAATAAGCCTCCCTGCGTCGGTTCGGCACTCCTACGACGGGAAGCGCATCTCTAATCCCCTATTTCTGCAAGAAACCGAAGCTGGTCCATCGGAACCTAAGGCCGAAAAGTCCATAACTACCGGACTGAGGAAGCGCGGCCAAAGCGTCACCAAACGGGCGCGAGCGATAAGCTTCGGGCTTGTCCGGGCCGAAACTTCTGAAACTTCACCCAAGAAGATTGACAAGGGAAAGGGAAAGGCCGTCATGCCGCAGGTGGAGAATGACGATCCTGCGAGATCATTTTCTAAAGATCTCGAGAGAGGACCCTCAGTTCTAAGTCGCCGGCATAATGGATCAAATTTGTCACTACCCGGTGGCATTGGGTCAGCCACGACCTCAAGTAATTCCTCTATTATGGGCGATCCTGACCAACCAGACCTGGGCGAGGAATGGGGTCCCCAACACCCGTGCTATCCACATCTAAATCCGCACGTACCCATAAATTCACCAGAATATGCAAACACACGAATTATACGGATTCGAAGAGATTGGCTACTGGAAGGAGATTTAGCCCCTGCATTTTCCAACCTCTATCCCGAGATACTGGATCCTGCAGGCGTGTCAGAACTGGAGTTCCGCCGAATCATAGAAAAGTTCAACCGAGAGCTAATACCCATATATAACCCCTATAACTGGAGAAACATTCTAGATGGCATATTGGGTCTGCTTACTGGGTGGATCTGGGATGACCTTGGCTTCACATATGCCAAGACAAGGCTGCGTCACTTGGATGCGTGGGTCGATAAATGGAATATAGAGATGGAGAAGTCAGTAGGCTCAGACGAGAATACTATTCCTCCTAGAATCATCTCATTGAGGCGTACGGGTTATATGAACGTAAGTGGTACTCTCTTGGTGGGCCGTAAGAGTTGAAGAGATCCTAACCTTCCCTTTAGCTCGACTTTCAAATCTCAGATCCCGAGATCGCGCCTGCGTCAACGGAACCGTCGGGCTCAAGGTCAGGTCCAAATATGGCCGACTTCAAACCAGCAATGTTGCCAGACTCTCCCATCGAAGCATAACGACCACCGTTCTCATATTTCTGTTCATCTTTTGTACAAATTTAACACCTTATTCACTTCATAACCCAATTTAATCGCACTCGACTGTCGTCCCGGGCTGTACGAATTACGAAGATACCCAAGCATTACCATACATACACACCACTACTTTTTTTCATAATTTTGTATCTACTCATCAGAGCTGTGTCTCTGTCTGTTACGGCCATTAGCGCTTATCGAAGTCGCTAGCTTAATAATATGGCAACGGCGTGGCGTTTCAGGTGTATCAACGTGGTTGATTTCCCCTATTCCCAATTGGCTCGAAAATTTTGGTAAACAGGACATCACCGTCCTTGAAGGACTCGAGATTGACAGGCCTGTCACTACTTGTATGTTATCGCTCGCGAGGATTAAGCATCGAGACATGTCGCCCGCAAGGGCACTATTAAGAACGACGTAGGTATTAAGATAAAACCATTGTCGACTGTTGATAATAATGTAAACAGTATAATTACATCACACTTGTATAAGATCGGGGCTTGTGTCATGTTTCATCAGTGTCAATTAAGAAAAATGTTGTTCAGTCAAGCCAGTAGGTACAGTCATTCCACCTCGACAGTTCGAGGCATAGCAAACAAATATTCCAGACGCAACCAACGCCCCGGGTGTACATATTAATTCGAACCAGCCATTCCATCCAACTCCGCAACGCCACTTTCTTCCAATATCGGATCACAGAACTTTTCAACACAGTGGAATACACAACTCTTCCACCATAACTCTTCGTTTCTCAATGTCCTCCCTCACTACTCACCACCTCCTAGTCCCCTAAGCATCCGAATAATCCGAATCGTAATACTCCGCGCAGCGAACACCCTCCGACTTCACCTCATCGACCGTTCTCGACGTGTTTATCCCTCGCCCGCGCAGAGCGCCCATGTTGTACAGGCGTCGCGGACTTCGACTGCCCTGGCCCCCTTGACTTACGTAGCCTCGACTCAAACTCAGACTCTGCCCCTGGCTCTGGTTCTGGCTTTGGCTTTGGACAAGCGGATTGTTCCCAATAACAACACGCACATACCCCTCCTCCGACGATCGCGCCACGCTCGTCGCCCCGCTCGCATTCGCCACGTCTCGCGCGCGGATCGCTGACGCCGTCGACGATGTTAGAGCCCCGCCGGACCCGTATAGTGGCCCGGATATCGACCCTGTTGATGTGGGGCGGTGGAAGGATTCGGCTTCGAGCACGGAGCTGAGCTGCACTGCGTCGCGCGAGCGCGCGTGGTGAAGGTTGTGGGCGGAGGTTTGAGAGTGCAGGGTTGTGGGCGAGGAGGTGTTGGTGTGGATTGGGCTGAAGGAGGGCTTGTGCAGGATGGGGATCTGGTCGGAGTGTGTTGAGCTCGAGCGCTGATGCGTGTGGGGGCGGGTTGCGGAGGGGCTGGGGAGGGCCGCGGGGGGAGGTGTGGGATGGCGTTTGGTGGTGTTGCGGTGGGAGGCGTTGTGGCGTAGTTTCACGCGCGGTGGTGCGGGTAGGTGCTGCTGCTGGTTTGCGAGAGAGGAGGTGCGCGGTGGGATCATTGACTCGATTACTTTGCTGTCCAGGGGGCTGGGCTTCGCGTTCTGCAGGAACGGGAAGCGGACGTCTGCGAATGTGGGTGGGAGCGGCTCGCGGTTGTTTTTACCTGTTGGTGGCACCGTTGTAGCTCCCGTGTCTTGGGGGGTGTAGAATGCCTCGATGTTACGGGTTCTGCGGATTGGTGGTTAGTTGGCAATTCGAACCGATGGGATGGGATGGTGGGATACTTACCGATCAGTGTTAATGGGCTTGGGCCTATTTCTTCTACTCTCCCTTCTTCGGTTCGGCTGGTTGATTAATTCGATCCAGCTACCTCTCGCATACTCGGGATGGTTATCGCCTTGAACATAGATGTTAGGATTGTTGTGCGGCTTTTTGGGTCTTGAGAAAAGTCGACTCAAATTTAGCGCCTTCGCATAGCGACGATACATGCCGAGACCATCTTTGGTGGTACCGAAGAAACCTACGATGACGATTGTCGTTGAGATTGCGATCCACGGCTGGTTCATCTCGACTGTTGAGATCGACCACGATGGTATGAACAGGATCGCGTCCCAAGGGTACGGATTGTCCCCCCAGTGGATTCGCATGTAGTTGTACGGCGTGAGGTCGCCCATCTCCAGGAAGTTTTCTATTGTCAGGTAGAGGGACACGGGCAGATAAACGACCAGGATAGCTAACGACATGCCGTACAATCGATTACGTATCCATGTCGCGCGCGCGACGGCGGCTTCGTTAGACTTGAGCCCATGTAGCGTGCTCTTCGAGATGGTACGGAAACGCTTCCATGTGAGAACTTCGAGGGCTGTTAGTCCATATACCTATGCAAATGTTCAAATTTGGAATCGCAGACTTACCGGCATAGGGAACAGACGCCAATACGAAGACCGTGGGAGGACCATCGTACACAATCAATCGCGGCCAGCTGTTATCGAACGAGACCATACAGCCGATGAGCGTGCCGATGTTGTAGCGTTGAACGATATCAAACCAAGTGAATAACAGTTGGATGAGCGCGGGGGGGAAGATGATGGTAGCCTGAATAAAAGCTCTCATCCTGCGCTTGTTGCGCGAGAGCTGCGATGGTCGCGTTAGCTTGACCTGCTGGGCCAACTGGCGAATGATGGCGAGGATGGCACCGGCGTATATGGTCTGCAGAGGCATCCACGTGTATACCTCGACATCACAGAGACCGGTACCGATCCACCAGTTATCCCAGTTATCGCTGTTCCAGATCAGCGAATTGAGAACCGTGACCAGATTCATGAGGGCTACGTCGATGATCAGCACGACGGCCGCGAAGTCGCCATTGCGCCAGAGAAGGCGAAAAGGTACCCAGCAGAGCACAGTGCCGACGATGGCGAGGATCACGCGGAAGGAGAGGTTGGCTGTTAAGCCTGGGTTAGGCGCGAAACGGACATCGTTGGACGACGCGTCCGCTTGGACTGGAGCTGCTATCACCGCTGTCGCGAGGAGAGCGAAGATGATAGCAACTACCTTAGTGATAGTGAGAGACATCGCGCCGCTGGGTTAGCATGCCGCCCGCTGCTGCGCAAATGTCGGGGTGATGCTGGGGGAATTCGGGACGGGGAAAATCGAATTTACTATACCAAGCTTATGAGTTACCTTGGGCTCTAGTATCTTCGTTGGGGTCGTGATGGATTGGGGTAGAGGAAATGCTATATCTACGGGCTAAATGGATGTGGGAGACAGATTCTGGTGTTGATCTAGAATAAAATTCGAATAATTTGGGGATAGGTTCCGAAGAGACACGTACAGGTAAACATTCACATTTGGCCCGGATGGTCAAAGGGCTTTACAGATGCCATAGGCTTGCCTGCTCTAAGATAATCTTAGAGAAAGACGTACTTACATCGTCTTTAGAAGGTCGCCCGACTGCTAAGCATAGCGGAGACTCGACCGGAGAGGATTTCAGGCGTCTTAAACAGTTCCTCCGAGATGAAGTGTCGACGTAGTTGGCGAACTCTCGGCGTAACAGGTATATGAGGTATGTTCACAATTATTGCGGGTTGACTGTTTACAAGGGATATCTATATACTTCCTCTGTGTCTTCGAAAGTTGAGATAAATAGCAGAAATGCTTAGAAGAGATTATTCCAAGAAGCATTTATCAATTACTACTAGTAACCCGTTTTGTGAACTTAGGAACTTAACCCATGATTATATCGATCAGAGTTATGGTGTCTTAGTTGAAAGAACTTATGTGACGGGGTTCCTTATACTCTTTTCCTTTCTCCTGCTAATACTAGATAACAGTGTAGTTACTGGCAAATATATATCACAGATTGACGAGGCTCTCATAACTGCTTTGATAGATTTAACACTCTATAACTTGTTAACAATTGATAGGTTTGTCGTAAATCTAAGGAATATGTTACTTGTATGATATCTCCATTTTACTTACCCCTTTTCTGAAGGATAATCGAATCCATTGGGCTTCAAATTCAGCCTTAGATTGTTTTCTCTGATATATCACAAATAAAATAATACCTAGGCAAGGCTTAAGAGTCCAAAGCCAATGTAATGGTACCTAAAGCAAGCCCTATGGATACGCCTGAAAAAGGTGGCATATATCTAAGAAATAAGAAATCTGTTTTCTACCTTGTCTGGATTACAGGAACCCCATATAAGTAGTACATACCTTGGTATGTATACAACGTGGTTGAAGTTTAAGGAAAAGAGTGTAGACGGACGGTAGTCTCAATATGCAATATATCTACATAGTACTTCATTATACCATCGTATCAGATATATTTGGTAATCGATTACCCTAGGCGATCCATCCCCCCACGCTACACAACCAATCAGGGTGGGTGAAAAAGTTATGTAATTTCCTGTCGCGTTGAATAAACTTGCAATCGCGAACCACATTAAGATAAATTGACTGCAAACGCACAAATTTCCCCATTAAATCGACAATAATCCATTCCAACCGATTGCGCAAGCTCCGACAATACCGCAAAGATGTCATTCCTCGCCCGCCGCTTCACTGCCGCTGCCCCGAGCCTAGCCCGCTCCTTCAGCGCCTCCGCTCGCCGGGATGTCGCCAAGATCACACTGGTCGGCAACCTTGCTGCCACCCCAGAGGTGAAGGCCACCAGCACGGGCCATGATGTTATCGAATACGCCGTCGCCAGCAACAGTGGATCTCGAGATAACCGTCAGACAAGTTGGTTCAGAGTCGCTGCTTTCATCGAAGAAGGTCCCCGCCGAGACTTCTTGACTAGCCTCCCGAAAGGGTACGTTCGATTTGCTTTTTTTAAAAAATTATTTTTATAGAAATCGCTTGTTACGGCCTAGCCTTCTGTTTCTGTTGGTTCGATTTCAGCTACAAACAGGCGCAGAATTTTACAATCAGTGAAACCCGAGAGAAAAGGTTACGAGAGCTAACGGTATTCGATAGAGCTACCGTCTACGTCGAAGGTGATGCTATCATGAACACATATAACGACGCCGAGGGCAAGGCTCGTTCTTCGCTCAGCATCTACCAAAGTAGGTTCAGATAACTACCGCACTGCCCGATTATTACACTAACATATTCGAATTAGGAAACCTCGAGGTCCTCCGCCGACCAGCACCTGCAACCGAGTAAACGGGTAGAAATGATGTGCGCGGAAGTTAGAGCAGCTATATCTGTGTCGACCTGACCAATACCCACGTACTGTTGGCTCAGAATTCTCCACTACTACGACTTTCTTATGTCTGAGAATGGGACGGCTTGGGGATGCTAGTGTACTATAATGCTGTGTTATGACTCGATACCAAACGTGCTGATGCCAACCCCTTCACCACCTATTTTTGAAATCGCGCGACGTGCTTCTAATTACCCAATGATCGGGAACGATTCCAATAACCAACCGGATTGAGAATACTGTCCGGGTGATATTTTGCCTCCTACCATTTGGCATTTGCGATTCAAACATCATAATGCTGGACATCTTACTGAATGCGAATATACTAAGACGAGAAACACCGATATTCTTCCAATATATGAGGATGTCAGATATGGTAGGTGGTTGCGCAGGTAGTTCCCTCGTATTTTGTTTATTGGATGAAGCATTTCTTAGGCTTAGTCTAAGTCTTACTTGGGTAAATTCGTGTACGATAATTGTCTCTCATTGGCCGAGAAGACGTATTGGTTGATCACATCTAGTCTAAAAAGGCGACATGTCTAGAATTGCAATTCTAAGAGTTTCCGGTCATCCTCTCCAAGTTATACCTTTATCAAACCAAGGTGCAACTATCCATACATCCAAACCCGGCGGCCACGCCACCCTCCTCACTTTGATCCCCCTTTGTGCGCAGAAGATAGCCTGCTTGCTCGTTATGTAGTATTGCTCGAGACTGTTGATCCCATACGCATGTCCCATATATGCCGAGCTCACAAATAACGCCGCCGTGTTCCAACTTGCCATTTCGAAGAATCGTGTTCTTGACAGGCGGCGGGGTAATCAGTTCCATGAGGATGTATGATGGCCAGTGCGATTCGGGAATGGACTTTAGAAACGGTGGGATTGATGAACGATAGATATTATTGCCACCGCCTTCTCTCTGTGGTTTTAAGACGTAGCCCTTGCAAAGCTCAGGGTCACTAGCTATCTTTCGAGCCCTCAGCCCAGCTTCCGTTTCATCCAGGGGGTAAATGTTGGTAAAGGTTTTCATCAGATCAAATATAGATGTGGAGTCCCTAGATAAGTAACGGGGCAATACAGAAGGATTTGAAGGTGTCTCGGGTGTCGCGAGAACCTGTTGGACTTTCTTCGTGCCGGCAACCTGGGTAAGCACTGTCGGACATTTAATAGCTGCTGACCTTTCTAGATGATAGCGAGCTTCCCAGGCGGACTGGTCGGGATAGTCTGAGGGTCCATAACCGCACCGCATATACACAACAGCAACTTCAAACGTATGGGAAGGTGACTGAGGTGGCCGATACAATAGTTGGCGTCCTGGATTTTCGGCTAGTGCTGTATGCTGTAGAGTTTCAGAAAATGGCAGTCTGAACACGGGTATTTGTGGCTCTTGCAAAGCTTGGAGCTCATATTCTAAATGACGCTGATCGAATATGTTCCTCTCGCCTCCTTGCACGAGGAATATGACACATTTTTGGTAGGGAGTAGATGGGAGGCCGTATTCAATAAAAGCATGTCGTATACCTGCCGCTAACCCCGCAGCACTCTCGTTCCTAGGAAGTTGCAAACTTCCGCTTTGTGTTCGATTCTCAAGTAATAGATACTCTGTTAAAGATAGATATCTAAACGATTATTAGATTTGTGATACCTTAGTAAAGGACGGGAACTGACTTGTGTAGCAGAGAGGTTTGGGACGAGAGTCCTCCAAATGAGGCCGCGATTGTATTAAACTCAACCTGTTTGATTTGTGGTGGAGATCCGGTGATGTCTTGGTGAACCATATAATCCGACCTAAAGAGGCCAAGACTTTTGTGCTGAGAGAATGATGAGTTACGTTGGCAAGACGAGGGAGACGATAATCTACTTACCTGAACATAGCCCTCCTCCTTAACTCTTAAGTGAACTTTCCATAATTCTGTTATGAAGTCATCGCTATCCCCAATTCTATATTTTGTTAATCCATGATTCAACAACCGAGACTAGACTGTGAATTCAATGGACTAACTCTTTCACAATGTGAGCAAGGAAGGTATCATCTTGACTTATAGAAGCATACAGCTCATTGTAAGCCCCCTGAACCGCAATTGCTTGGTCAAAGCATATGCGAGGAAAGGGACTCGGGAATAAGGTAACCGGGACAGCAGTTGCAAGAATTCCTGCAGGATCGGCCTCTGCAGGGACAATAGCAGGAGGTGGTCGGACAGTTAAGCCATGGGCCAGTGACCAATCCTTGATGACTTCAGTCAACCTTTCGCCTTCGGTGGGCGTAATCTCATATGGATAGTCAGACATGCCTACTAGGTAGGCAAAGTTGCTGATTAGGACCCAGCTGAGGCTTGAAGAGTAATATGATGGCTTCTCTCCGCAGAAATGTAGCACTTTGATCTCGTCCGTCAATATAACTAAGGGAATATATAACTAAATTCAAACTAAGAAAAGCAACAAAATTATCACGGCTTATAAATCTTTAGAAATAAGGCTGCTTTTTACGGTGCCTCTTCTGAATTTAAATAGGTATTAGCGCATTTATCAAGCTTTAGGTGAGTTCTATTCTAAGCTCCAGCCGATCTTCGCCGATATGTACCCCACCAAAGTACCTAGTACATAAGTGACGTGATCACCAACATCTTGAAAGCCCTGCAATGGCTAAACTTCGGCTACTTCGGAGGCTTGGTTTTTTTGAAGGTCACGTGTTACTTCTTGGAAGGTCCGTGCTCTCGATCCAAACGGATGTTGGGACATTGATTGGGACCTTCCACCTGCAGTGGCACTCCACATCGTCGTGCAACCAGGAATTTGAAATGCGGGACCTGCTCAGTGGTCAAATCTACATTGACCTACCTTATGTACCTATATACCTAGTAATTAACGATCTTGATCCGAATCCTTTCATCTCTTACCAGCATTGATACATATTTGCGCATATCTAGGTACTTATCATAGATGATGGGATCTAGACATTTATGTCCATAAATTGTTTACTACTTACTACTTACCTGGGTATTGTGTGTTGTTGGTCATTGATAATATGATGAACGGAAACGCCTGACTAGGCCAACCAGGCCTGTAAATTCAGCCTTCCTAGCTGTGCGTAGCCGCCGCTCCTCCCTGTTACCTCCTAGATATTTACGAAAAAAGAAAGTACCATCGCATAAAGTTCTTCCCAACTACTGCCTTTTGCCGCCGTTGTCTCTTTCCTCGGTACTATCAACATGAAGTTCACATGGACGTGCTTTCCAAAATCGATTAAGAGAAGCTAGATGGCTTCCTTAATAAATACTTAAGGTTGTCAAACATTATCCATTTAATTCCGTGCACTTCGACGGTTAACTGGACCATAACTTTCTCTCCATCTCAAGACCTACCCACCTATGCCTCGAAATCTACCCTGGGACGATATCAATAACCATTCTTACCTGGGCAACTTTCTTTCCAATTCTTGAAACCCCATGCTTAACATTCACCCGTCACTCGAATCGCGTCAAGCGTCAAATTCCGATACGAGTGATTCTATTTTATTCACTTGAATCTTCATTTTCACCGTCAAAACTACTCTTCCCTACAACATCTGCGACGTCAGCCTCTAGGTACGTTAATTGCTATTATTCCTTTACACTACTTCAATTTTCTACACATCTTCCTTTCACCACCAAAGTTTAAAGACCTATCTTATCTTGGCAAATTCATGATATCTACCTAGTAGGTACTAGGTAGGGATCACCAGAGAATACCTAAAATCTATCTAGTGTTAGAACATTGGTATACACTTGTAAGACTCCTAGGCACGATGCTGGACACGATAGGTACTGGGAGCGATATCTGCAGCCACTTCCTACTAGGTGATTTGTACTGCATACCCTTCACCTACGCGTCGTAGCTTCCATTTGACGCGATTTCCTATTTTTTTTTCTCTATTGCGATTTTATCGCCCTTTCCTGTCTTCTTCCAAGTCTCGTTCATTTTCCTACTTGTGTGTCTTATAATTCACTTCTAACCAAGATCTCTAGTCCATCGTATTTTAATCACGGGATTCCACAAGCTTCGAATCGTTCAATTCAAATTTAATATCTATGCACGATTGCATGATCGCCTGGTAAGTGTTATCTGCTCAAGGTCCAGGATTACCTATTACCATAGATGGCTATCTAAATTTAACGACGAGAATGCAATAGCTACCTAAGTAGATGTCTACTTGGGCAGCTATTCCTCGACGTACTTCATACTGTATCCCAGTGGTCAAAGTCGCCGACTTTGCCTTCTTCACCTCAGAACCGTCCTGTCCTAAAATTGCACGATATATTATTTAAGCAGAGTTCACCTACTGACTCTCAATAGGAACCTGGTATGATTGTTACTTTCTAATGGCTAGAAACTCAATCGCCGTAACCCACTCTATCGCCGATGATTCTCTGGTCGATAACATAGTCTAATTTATCATGGATGACCCATGGTTCTGGACCGTAGAGAGGGTTGTTGCCGAGCTCTGCTCAGACAATCGATCCTGGGAAGTACACTATGGCCCCTTAAAGTTTCCCCCACTTGATGAACTTGAAGCTCGGCTCAGACGAGAGGAGGTTGATGGGTTTACGCTCCTCACCCTCGACCAGTCCGAACTTTGTCAGGAGCTCAACTTCACGACATTGAAACAAAAGGCAACTCTCAAGTATGCTATTAGCATTTTTCGCAGCCGAAGTCATGGATTTCGTAATCATATGAAACGCTTTAACGCCGGTTATGAGAGCGACAACAGTAAACAAGGAGAACTAGCACCATCAAAATCCGATGAAGATGCCAACCTTCTCGCGAACCAGCCACAACTCATACCCACATCCTCTTCGTTGCGTCAGATCCCCAATAGCCCGCAACCCTTAGTCAACGATGACTCCGTCTTGGGAGGACATGTTAGCAAGAGACGGCGGGTCGTCCCCATGCTCGTTTCAGGCGACATCGATGGTACTTTATCCCGTAACATCCCAACCGAAGCAGATGTGATCTCGACAACCAGAGCGGGAAAGATAAGCACCAATGGTAGTCAATCGAATGATGATGTAATAGCTTCTCCCTGGGCTTACCTTGGTCAAGATGCTCTTACGAGAATTGATGTCCTGGGTAATTATCCCTCCCTGGAGAGGGACAGCGAACAAATGGAAGACCAAGTCGAATTCTCCTACCGCAGGGAAATACCCCATGGACGACGAATACAAGTCCACCAACTTATGAAACATCATACTCTCCGGATACAGAAGTCTTCAGAGTTCCGTGGGATGAGGGCAGATTTAGTACCCGGTGCCAATAATCCAGACCACGATGATCTTCTGCCCTTATATGGTGATTCAGACGAGGAGTATGATTCAGAAACATGGGAAGAAATAGAAGCTGAAAAAGCTGAGCAAGCGGAAATCGACAATCAACCTGGGCTCAATTGCGACGAGGTTAAGGCAATTCTCGATGAATCTATCGGAAAATATGTATCCGACTGGAAGGAACGTAAGCTCCTCAAACTGCAGCGCAAAGCCAACAAAATCTGGCTAGATGCTAGAAGATCGGGTTTAAGGAGATCAATAGTCAATGTCCGCAATGGGCATGATTCATGTGAAGCTCGTATTGCGAGGCTTTGCAAAGAGATTCTCGAACAGAAATACCGTGACGTGGCCGAGGTGAAGGAACAGGCCTTGATCCTACAACAAAGCGTTGAAGATAGGGAACACCACTCATGGGTTCTCGGCGCCATCAATGCATCAGTTGAACCTGTGAAGTTTCGACCTCTACCTAGAAATTCTAATAGGAAGAGTCGTGCACTAAAGCCGACCGCGCTTGACGAGGAGATATTAACAAGCGAGTCTGAAGAAGATATTGGTGATTTTATCGTTGACGATGAGCCTACATACCCTGACGAATTTTCTGGTTCCTCACCGATGGATATCGATAATGATGATGTTTCTCATGGACAACAAGATATCGATGATGATGATCAGAATGCGGAGTCTATCAAACCTGACCAAAGAGACACGATTGATCTCACTCAGCTAGATGAAGACGTCAGCATGGCTGGACCAAGTACGCCTGCGAAAGCTCGAGAACATCACGTTGTAGATCTGACTACACCTCAAAGGCTGCGAATCAAAATGCGCAGCAATTCGTCCACGGCCAACGGGAAGCCGAATACGCAAGAGGCGCAACCATCGACACTATTCATGCAGATAGATGACTTGGAGCCAGCAGAACAAATAGTGGCTAAAGAGCTGACGAAATTGGACCAAAGTTATCTGAACGAAGTATTTACGTTGGTCATGGACACACGATCAGAGAGCGATTGGCTTTATGTCATGAATGTTACACTAGATCATCAAGACTTTCCGAAGCCTCCGCATGATGCTCAGAAGAGAAAGACCCTTGCCGTCTACACGCTACTCCGCTTGTTTGAAATCTACAGAGACGGCGTCCTATTATCCGTGGGTCGTTATAAGAAACTAACTTACGATGACATTTTGGAGAAGATGCAAACGTGGACGAATGGAGGAAGCATCCCTGACAAAGTCAACAGCTATGTTGACTTCCTCTACCGCTTATCCGATCGTTTTGAGTGGAAGAGATGTTCACCGCAAGCTGAGGGTGAAACATCTGCCCCGGCAAAGCGTAGACGACATAAGAAAATGACTCGCAATGCGGACGCAGAAAATCTCAGAGAGGCAGACAGAGAAAGAACTGCAGAACAATTCTATCGACGACAGATGTTACGCGACAAACTCAAGTTAGGCGAATATTCTGGCATGAGAAACCTTGATACTCAGAAAATAATAATTAATGAGAGTAAGGGTGATCATGAAGGATTCATTTATGTCCACCCTGAGATTGCGCAACGCATAAAAGATCACCAGATATCAGGTGTTAGATTCATGTGGAACCAGATCGTGGACTCAGCAACGAAGCAAGGTTGTCTCCTAGCCCATACGATGGGTCTTGGAAAGACCATGCAAATTATCACGCTCTTGGTGGCTATCGCCGAGGCGTCGGAATCTAACGACCCTACCATCTCCTCTCAGATACCCGAGGGCTTAAGGAAATCCAGGACCCTTGTTATTTGCCCTCCATCGCTCATAAACAACTGGATGGACGAATTCCTTTTTTGGGCGCCTGAAGGCCATAAGCTGGGAGAATTCTTCAAGGTTGACCAGTCAAATACAGAGAGGCAGCGTTTAGCAAACATCGCAGCCTGGGAAAACCGAGGCGGTATACTTATTATCGGCTACCAACTATTCAAGAACATTATTAATGATAATGAAGATGTCTTGGAGGTTTTGTGTGAAAGTCCGAATCTTGTAGTGGCTGACGAAGCCCATGAGATGAAGAACACAAAGTCAAAAACACACATGTCCACTAGGAACTTCCGGACCCACAGTCGCATCGCATTAACAGGTTCACCTTTAGCCAACAAGGTCGAAGAATACCATTCCATGATTAACTGGGTAGCACCAAACTACCTGTCTGATATCCGTGAATTTAGATCAGAGTACGCCAATCCGATCGGGCGGGGCCTTAGTCTTGATGCTACCGCATATGAACGTCGTCATGCCGTTAAGATGCTGAATGCTCTCAGGCAAGAAGTTGGACCAAAAGTACAGCGTGTAACAACCTCGGTGCTAAAGCACGACATACCCACAAAGCAAGAATTTGTCCTAATAGTTCCACTAACAACTTTACAACGAGAGGCATACGAATCCTATGTCCGTTTCCACCAGGGATACCAGCATACCGATTACAAATTCGCTGTGCTTGCTTCAGGAGGGACTCTAGGTGTCCTCTGTGCCCATCCCCTTATTCTGCTTAAGAAGTTACAGAAGGTGAAGGCTGACTCCGAGAGGGACGCTGATACAAAGAACACACTTCCAGATGAGCTCCTGAGTATGGAAATCGCACTAATAAATAAGGTGCCTGACGTCAATGACTATTCCTTGTCTTGGAAGATTCCGATACTTCTCTCGATCCTCGAAGAATGCAAGCGCGTAGGTGACGCGGTTCTTATCTTCAGCCAGTCAATCCTCACGCTTAATTATCTGGAGCATATTATCCGAACCAGGAAATTTTCTTCAGTTAGGTTAGATGGGTCGGTACCAACGAACACGAGACAGAACACAGTCAAAGACTTCAACAAGGGTAAAATAGATATATTCCTTATATCTACTAGAGCTGGTGGTGTCGGGCTTAATATGACGACTGCAAATCGCATAATTCTTTTCGACACTAGGTTTAACCCTCAAAATGAGTTGCAGGCAGTTGGACGCGCGTATCGCATTGGCCAGAAAAAACAAGTCTATGTTTACCGCTTGGTCTGTGGCGGTACGCTTGAAGAAAGCTCGTTTAATTTGGGGATTAAAAAGTTGCAGTTAACTTCTCGGGTCGTTGATGAGAAGAAACCGATTCCTAAGGCCGGGGCATCCAATAGCACACTCCAGATGCCCAAAGAACCGGTTCAATATGATATCAGCGGATTTATCGGCAAAGATGTCGTACTCGATAAGGTCATTGAACAACATAAATCGGGTATTAGGAACATTATACCGATGGATACCTTCGAAGAGGAAGAGCATGAAGAGGCTGCATTAACAGCCCAGGAGTGTGAAGAGGTTACCCAGATGATCGAACGAAATGAGCGTCGCAGGTTGGGACAAAAACAAACTACCCAAGCTAATGACGTTGCCCCTACCCACCATACAGATCCTCCAAGCTCTTCTCATAATGCAGGTTCATCGCTGCCTATTTCCAGACTGGCCGAGTACCCGTCTGGTATAAACAACCCTCATTATTTCATGGAGTGTATAGCACCGCACATAATGCCTCCGAACTTCACTGAAGTGGATCGAAGAGAATGCGAACAGATTGCGCGGTCTATTACTCTAACAATTGTGTCCCGGAAACTACCGGTTGCAGAACAAGAACAGTTATTTGACCAAATTCAAAAGGCGGTAATCGATTTCCAGTTCAAGTTCGCTCTCCGTTCACGTTGTATTTCTCCAGAAAAGCTTGGCGATATGAATGTAGATGAAATTCGTAATCTTCATCAAGCATGGAAGATTCTGAAATGGCATGATTGCATGGATTTGGCCAAACGACTCAAAGGGGACGATGAGAGACTCGCTCCAGGCCACCAGTCTAGGACAGACCCTGAAGTAGGAAGTCCTCGCCAATATTAACACAAATACAAGAATGACTCGGCTAACTTTCATCTCCTGAGATTAGCACCTCCAATACGCAATCCAGAAATTGCTAACTCCCCCGGCGCAAAATTCCGAATTAGCACCACAGAAACCGCAGAGACTCGACGATCAAAAGGCATTGGAAGCTGTCATTGAACGTAGGAAGGCCAAGAAGCCCTCCAAAGGCAAAGATCCTCGTCTACCAAATTGGGCTATCAATGCGGTCACTAAACAACAACGCGCAGGACCGTCGCCGGCTCCATCTTCTACCGTCCCCCGTACCTCCACCTCCGCCTCTTCCCATCTACCGTCGAAATCCCCTTTCAAATGATCCTTGTCATCAAAGGCATTTTGACATACTTCAACTTCAAATCTAGCATTTAACCTTTGAAGGCAATATTCCCAAGAGCAACGGCGTTCATGAGCAAGTTTCTCCTTTGTCATACTCCAAATGAGATACCCCAAAAATGCTAATACGATGATGATTTTTGCAATGCTTTGGGAGGAAATCAGACCTCCTAAAATTTAGGATGGTGGGCTGAATGGGAGATTTGGAAACGATGGGCATGGTTTATCTGCTCTTAGCAAGACCATCGTGCTTGACCATGTACCTATGCAGCAAACATTGAATTGCTAATGGAACCAACGCTGAGTTTTACCACCAATCGATCCAAAATTGCTATTATAAGTGATATGCTTCTACATAATATGATCATCGATGCTAAATATGTTTGTATGGGATTCGGTTACGATCTAACTTCATCTTTTCCGAGAGAGGTTCTAGGAAACTATGCTAACTAAGCCTTTATTTTACTATTCCGGACTCTAGAGCTTACTTCTGCACACTTCGCCATCTAGAAAAGCCGGGACGGTCATTGCAAGAATTCATTTGTATTTCGCTTTTCGTTTCTTCCTATCTGTGACGAGAAAAACAAGAACTTCACCACCAACGCCATACAAGCCCAGCCGTCCCTCGGGAGTATCGCGACGACGACGATACTCCGGTAATAAACACACCACGCACTTACTTACTTCCTCGGTCCAGTCCCGACGAAGAGTCATTAGATAAGTAGATACCTAGGCAAGTAAGCCACGAACCTTTTCCTCCCGCGATATTTAGGAATGCGTAGCACGTAGAACGCGTGAAAAAAAAGAATTCGGAAGAAAAAACCTTTCTCTATTCCTAAAGCACGCACGCACTCTTGCGACCTTTATTTCAAATCATGGTAATTAGGTAGGTACGTATCTAGTAGGGACTTAGAAGAGTAGATTACCAAGCCCAAAGCACCTTATGATGCAAGACCCTAGCGCCCAGCCTCTCGAACTCGAAGGAGGTGATCCAGGAGTCGTTGGCGGGGAGCTTGGCGAAGACGCTGGCGCCCTTCCAGACGACGACTTGCTCGTCCATGTCGCGGGCGGAGCGGGTGATGAGGATGCGCTCGGAGAGCTCGGGGCGGCGCGCCTTCAGCTTCTCCTCGAGGGTACCGGCGAAGCCTGCGGTCTTAGATCCGCCGCCAACGACCATGATGCTGCCTAGGTAATCGCGCAGCTTCTTATCGTCGCCCTTGGCCGCGTTCTGGATGCTCGTCAGGATCGCGATGTCCAGAGGCACCACGGGTAAGACGGCGTCACGCTCTGCGGCCAACGCCTTTGCCGTGCGTGCCGCTGAGTCGACGAACATGCCTGGCGGAGGCGCCGGGGAAAGCCCGTTGCGAGCGGTAGCTGTGCCGTTGGGGGCCGGGCTACCGGTTCCTGTCACTGTGCCGTTGGCGCCGAAGAGGAATGTTGGGGGGACGGGAGTCGCAGCTCCTTCGGGGGCCGGCGAGGCCGCGGCTGAGCCGCCGGGTGTGCCGTTGTTGAGGTCGCCTCTTAGGAAGCTGGAGAAGGGCTGAGACTTCTCCTTCATGGGGGTGGCTACGTTGGGGTCGGTAGGCAAGGTTGGGAAACCGTTAGCATTGGAGACCACGGAAGGCTTAATGAGAGCCAAGATCGCTGTCTGCGCCGCAGATACTGGATCATCAGGTACTTCGACATCGTAAGCGTTGTAGGAACGATCGACAAGCTTCCGTCGGCTGCGTATTTTTGCCGAGTTGTCGAAGATGGAGGGTTCGTAGAAGCCCATTGGGGCGAGAATGACTTCATCGTACGTCTTAAATAGATACTTGCGCGTCGATTGGTTCGGTGCGCGAAGGTGGAAATCGCAAGGCTGTACCGATATGTCCTTCTGGATCATTGTGCAGAATTTGATCTTCAGCTCTTCTGCTAGAAGGAAATCGTATCGTCTTCGAAGGTTGATGTCTTGGTAGGGGAAATTGTCGTATAGCATCATCTTGATAAAGGTCTCCGTAACATCATAACCACCATATTTCAGGTTGACTCGCGAGTCTTCGACACAGAGTCCATCCTCAACACAGGCGATCGATGTGTTTTGGGCTCCGACGTCCACTACGCAAGCTTGTGTGTAACCAGCACCGAATGTCGCGGCCATACTCTCTTGTATAAAGCATATCTTGTTGAACTCGAACCAAGTCATGCACGACTTGAGAATCTGTTCCACATACTTCTTGTCATATAGATCAGGGATGACGAAAACGCAGCTATAATTCTTCCATGCGCTATTCCGGGTTAAACCAAGCTCTTGCCTGATGGCTTTGTCCAAGAGGGTCTCGAAATCGTCATATAGGTGTTCAGCGGTTGTGTAATCATCTTCATTCAACCAGCCGTTTTGTATAGGCCACCATAGCTTGAATTTGGGATTTGAATCGTCAGGTATACGCTGGGCAGCTTGGCCAATGAAGCATGATGCTACGGAGTCGGGGTCCTCCAAACTCTTAACGTCGGTCCATTCGATTTGTAGAGGGTCGTTGTGTAATGCTATCTCTTCCGATTCCGTTCGTCTGTTGTAGTTTACCACCAGCTCTTTAGAGTTGGGTAATACTTTTAGTTTCCTCGCTCGCATATCCACCTTTAATTCGTTGCACTGCTTCTGATACTTCTTAGACCACTCCTCACCGTATTGTTGGTCTATAGTCTTGGCCTCAAATTGACGCCGTGGAAGGGCCTCGTACATCTCGGACTCTGTCTGGGGAAATTTGGTTGCGATGGCCATGGGGATAGTTTTGGGCAAGGCATCGCTGGCAAAACCTATTCTGAGATTCTGGCTTCCGGGATGTATTACGATAACTTTGGACGGTTCCAAACCCTCGGTGGCAACCGGAGCGACATCGTCTTGTGGAATATCGGCAACAGGAAGGGGAACCTCAGCTTGTCCGTTACGCGCGAGGGCTCGATCACGGTCTTTAGCACTCTGAACAAGTCGATCTCTATTCGCTTCTGCTTGTAGTCGAAGGGCAAGTACTTGGTCATCGCGTTTCATGTAATCACTATAAAGTAGAAAGTATTAGTTGGCCGTCTGATTCTACCTTATGTTATATACCTAGTGGTATCGATATATCAAGGGATCGCGTACGTATAGTAGTTCTTCTGATTGATTGGAGTGACATCGGGCCAGCTAGTCTGCTTCATGCTATTATCGGTTCGTTCGAGTCCTTTCGTGAAGAATACATGTTAGTTGAGCCTTCATGGGGAGACATGGAAGAATTGAACCAACCTTCCCGAAGGAGGACCTTCTCGCTGACTTTGCCAACCATGATTGCAGCTTAGGATAAGTAGCGACACTGTTGGCGATGGTAATGGTGATGATAATGACGATAGAAGATGTTATGATAGCTGCATTTAGATGGATTCCTATGCAAACATTTGTGGTTGAGCGGTTGAGAGGTTGAGACTGGTTGGGAGTAGTAAAGATTACGGATTCATTTTAGAAATTGTTATCGAGTTTGTGAGATTTTAATTTTTTTTTGTCTACAGTGAATTTTATCTTCAAGCTTTCGTCCTTCTTTCCCTGCGGGCCATATCAAATCAATCAGTCGCGGCTGCGCCAGAATAATTCAACTAGCTACCTGAGTACCTCCATGCTTACCTTCGTTCTGGAACCCGCTAAGCCCTATTTGGATTAGTATGGCGGAACTCGGTAGCTTGATAATCCTATCTTACCTTAGGCAGCTTAGGCCAGGACCATACCCGCCATCTGATAAATACCTATAATACGAAGTAGTATCAAGAACAACATCAATCTGGATGTGAGATATAATATCTTCCAACCTACCTAGGTATATACATGGTGATGTGAATCATGTTTTTACCTTGTCAAGCTTTTTACAATTGTAAATTGAAGGTGGGAGATGTTATAGTAATAGTTAATGTGGATCTTTTCGATAATTGTAAGTCTCCCTCTATCTTTGTTTAAAACTTGTTCATAGGACATCAGAAAAAGACAAAACACAAAGAGATCTGTATCTGTATAACAAACCCTACAAACTCCACCTTGCATACTAGGTACTGGATATCAGACCAAACACAATATACATACATTCCTGCGTATGTAACCAGGAACAAAATCTAGTAGCTTCATTTTTGTCAGTTACAAAAAGCCTAAAGTTTTAGCGGAGTCACCTGACAACTCGACGCCTATGACGTCGCTTTTCAATTTACCTTTTCCTTCCCGCATTGGGTGGTTGAGTTGTACGAGCTCGTCCAACTTCCAAGACTATTAACATAGATGCCTAGCAGAGACGACACGTTATAAGAATTTCTGAGTCATTCCTTTTTCTTGCATTCTGCTATTGAGACTTAATTTAAAACATAATTCTCAATTGTCTTTGTCTCACTCTATCTCTTCTATAGTATCAAGTCTAGTTGTGTAGGTCAAGAGGGTATTCATAATGGCGCCTATTCCCGTCTATACCGACAGTCCTATTGCTGCTTCGAAACCATCCGGAGTAACTCCCCAGACTGCAGGTGGTCAAGCATCATCTGCTTCAAATCCAGCGACAACCAGTACATCACCTACTCCAACTAGGAAGACGTCGTATCCATCCGCACAACCCGGTGCCACACCTTCACTTCCAGCTCCGACGGGGGCCATATCTCAAGCATATCTTCCTCAGAATAGTCCTCCAGCACCACAGCCTGGTGCTTTCCCCACCCCTCCGGGAACTACTGGAACAAATATTCCACCACCACCGAAGGCGGGTGAGAGGTATCAACCACCCCAGCAGACGTCGGCAACTCAGCCTATGAGCATACCGTATCCTCCGCAGATGTCCATGTCACCTCCTAGCGCACCGTACGCGGCTCAGCAGCGTGGTACATCTACGGCCTCCGTACCTACTTCGGTATATAGTGGCCCTGGACCCACGGCTGTGGGTGGCCCACCTACCCAAAGCTTGCAGCATCCTCCGGGATATCACCAGAACGTAAACGCATCCGAACTAGACATGCATCAGAGGTCAGCTATTCAGCAGAGCGAGTTAGAAAGCCAGGGAGGGGATTCAAGTGGGGTTTGGGATTCGGCAAAGAAATGGGCCCAGCAGACGGGAGAAAAACTCGCCGCAGCTGAGAACGAGGTGTGGAAGAAACTCAACAAGGACTAACGGCGACACTACGGTGTCCGCGAACCCTCACAGCAGTCTACGCTATACACTCCGGATCAATCCATTGCGATTCAGGTCCTAGCGCAATAATTGCCCACCGAGATCCAAGAAAGAAAAAGAGTCCTGCATCGGAGTTCACGATACGAGTAGTTTCTCATGCTGTTCTAGATATTTTGGGATTACGAAGCGCTACGTTTGGGTCGGTTGGAAACACCTATACTCGGGTCTTTTGTCGTTTTAGCAAGCAGATCTAATACAAACATAGCGATAGTTGTTTGAACAACCTGATCGCAAGAGGAAACGAAAAAATTTTGCTTATAGAAATTACGAGGCGTGATTCATGCTAACCCACGCAGCCTGGGCGCCGTTCGGAGGACGCGGTACCTCTTCGTAAGCCGGGCTCGGACAGGATTTTTTTTATCGCCCTCTCGCCATGAACTTCCGCTTTCACTGTGAACCTTTTTCACGCATGATATGATCTTCCAATGGGTCTACGCTAGGCATCTGGGGAAGTGATCTCGTCATCGATAGCCCGCGATCTTCATGACGAGAGGTAGGAGTTGCTAAATTTAATAGCAACGGCCTGCGGGTAAAGGCGAGGCATTGAATAATTTCCCAAAAGAGCTGTCAATGTTATGCAAAGGACCGGGCCTATCCCGGTAGGCTAGCAAGAAAGTAGCAGTAGGCCAGCCTCGGGGTGGGGTGCACAAGCGGCCCCCATAGAATGGAACGATTGATAGAACATGTGGAAAGACTAGAAGCCCATTTCTGTCCACTTTACACGACACGATCTGACAGAAACTAATTAAAAGGTTGCTCTTAAGATGTGACATACCTAGCAGCATGTACCGTCCGAGGGTATTCGAGGTCCGACTTCAGTATGTCTCGGTATTTATTCCCATTTCGATAATACATCAGATATCAGTGACCTAGCCAGCTAGCATACCTAGCATACCTAGCACACTTAACACACCTAAACCTATTCTAAATCCGTCCGATATGCATAACTTGGTTGTGCAAGTTTTCCTATTAGCCTATGAAGACTATACGTGTGTATATACGTATGCCTATCTGTAAGAGGTAGAATTATACCTACGTAAATACGTGGCACTGGTTGGAGATAGGAGGAAAAGGAAGCAAGTCGTGCCGTACCGTGCAAGCCGTGTTTCCATAAGCTGATCCTTCCAAGGGCATCGGGAGCGAGACAACCTTGAAATTTAGTCAGTTGATAGAATCTCCATACATCTCAGAATCTCATATCGATCAGCCCTTGGCCCACGCTTACGACAGCGGAGCGTAATGCAGGTACATCTCCAACTACTATAATCTAGCGCTCAGACCGCGGCCACAGCCGAGATAGCTAACGACATACCGCGAGGCGCAGGTGACTGCTGAGATGCAGGAGATCCAGCTTGGAGGACTACTGCAGCGCGCGGCGTTTATGCTGAAAGTGCTCAGGCACCCACAGCGCCCACATCACCCACACATGTAAGCACTATAAAAAAATGTATGTCGAGTGATAAACGCGGGTTGCCAGGGTCGGTACGGTACTGGCCAGTGACCACACGACGAGAATATGTACAGCGTCCAGCGTACTGTGTACTGTATGCGCAAGGGCATGTCGCCGAGTATATCGATAAGAATCTTGGAAAGAAAAAGAAAGCCCTGTTTACCCGATCAAGGATCTGAAGATCCTCTCGACCCCCCCGCGCCATAATATGACGATTGCTATTACCTACATAGTACGATTTACGATTCGGTAAAGCCGTAGGGCCAAACGTATTTCGCAAAGATGGATGGATATGCCAAGATGACGCGACTCGGTATTCTTCGACTAGCTCAAGTGTCAGTGTTTCGTACGAGATTTATCGTCCAGGGCCGTGATATGAAGGTGATGAAAAGTTCAAATGTTCTATATACGTAGAGTTTAATCAAAGTTATCTCATCTAGGTAATTAGCTATGTGGCTACTTATCTTAATAGAATGCGACGTTATTTCTGAAGGCCTACTAGGTAGGTATGTACCTATCTACTAGGTACCAGGTAGCCACCTAGGTCAACATTGAGGTGTCCACGTTCAAAGCTACCCAGGTACCTAGGTGACAACCTGTAGGGCTTATCTCTATCGGGAACGATGTTGGTGACCACCTTATGGGTATCGGATGTTCTATTAAAACTTGGAACTAGTGGGGCTTTCGACCTCGGCCATTTATTTGTCTCTGACGAGGCAAAACAATGTCGATTAGATGAAGGGTTCGCAAGAAAGACGCGGTACCAAAGCCTTAGATATTTTGTTTATTCAGCTTTGGCAGTACCGTATTTTTCGAAGGTAAGTCGAAACGAATGAGGGGTTGAAGGGAACGTTGGGATAATTACTAAGGAGAAATGAACACCAGATGGCCCAGTTGACCCCGTTGACCGGGCGTTGTTATGGCGTTAGTTATGGCGTTGACAGGGACCAGAGGCAGCCCAACTGATTGCCGTCCTTGGGTCTTTTGGGGGAGGGTTTGGAGGGGAATTTGGATGGGGGGGGGGTTCTTTTGGAGCACGCACACCGTGGACCGTGGACTCTACCAGTCCTTAGGTAATCTTGGAGAAATAAAAGGAAATACGGAATAATATTTGAAATATGTAAGTACTAGGTACATAAAATTTGTACACAAATACATTAAATTTCTCAGTACCTTTTCTTATACGTACTCTACCCACCAGTATAAGACAACCCCGGTAAATTGTTTCTAAAAATGAACTAGGTACCGTGGTATATACCTGGTATATATAACGACGACTTGAAGTTGATATACCCCTAGAGGTCGACCGAATCTGCCGCGGGGGTAAAAGTTTTATTTTTCTCGAAACGGCACGACTACATTTGATATCGCACACTACCACTGTGTGTGTGAATGTTTCTAAAGTTTTTCTGCCGTAAGCGTTCCTATGGAAGAATGGGTAGAAGGGTAGAAGATAGAAGAGGAATGCGGAATGCGGTGTGAAGGCACAGCTCAAGTACGGCGAAGTGGATCTGGACCTTTTACCTTTACCTTTTTGACTTTCGGGACTGAGGCAAGTGGGGCTTACAAGGATCAGCCCTTCTGTTACAGATCCTGAGACGCGTCAGGGATATAACCCCCTGGCCCTTACACCCCCTGCCTGCATACTATTTTCCGTAGAGCCAATGAAAAGACTGCCCGAGGCAACTGAAATTCAACATCAAACGCGCTCCCGCTGACGAACGAGACGACAACTCCTAATCTTGGTCGGAATGGTCCAAGTTCCAGAGCCTCTATACACTAATCCCACCTATCCCACCAGTCAAAGAACAGTAGTTTGAGCCAACAACAATACCGAACACTCTACTTTCTGCTTTCTGCAGTCTTTTTGCACTCTCACTCTGCATTCTCTGCAGTATCTGTAGTTTCTGCTGCAACTCTGCGAATTGTTTATTCTCGCGAACCAGAGCCTGCCGATTCAATTTTCGATTACATAGTATACCCTCCTCAATCACGCCAGGGTTTTATCTGAAGCCCCGGCTACACCATTCCACGATGTCAGAGGTCCAAGTATCGACCAACCCACCACCATCTCCTCCACTTTCACTCGCCCACTTGCCCACTCTACCACTCGACCACGTCGCTCCGCCTCCCCATCCATTAGTCCTCTTCGCCGTCATTGGCTATTGTCACCATTCCGGAGCCATCCATCTTGTGGCTTCGTCAGTCTCCTCCTTGTACCTAAGTAGTTCTTGGTAGTTCTTGGCCATCCGGTCTTTCAGATGAGTTCACTTACGTTTGCCTATCAAGCCCCTCATCTCACATCTCAGCTTCCAACCATCAGAGTAACGCACCAACCAGCCGGCTAAACTGCTGAGCTTTGGTGTTTATGGCTGTTGGATTCTGTGGATGTGGATGTTAGGCTTTAAGTTTTTCATATGCACGCCTCCTGACGTCTTAAGCAATGTCGCCAACCTGATTGGCGATGTCGCGCATACTACCCAACGCAAGACATCGAAAAATAGATGTCAGCTTGCGAGGTACCGGTTGCGAACACACTAATCAAATATCCTCACCGGACCGGGTTGCGTGTTAATAGTAGAAATATCCTCATTTTAATAATTCTACCAGCGATTACAGATTACATACAATACCTACATACCTAGTAGGTATCTATTATCTACTACTACTAGGTATGTACGCTGTACACCGCAAAGGATGTGTTTCGCAGCGAGATGTATTCGGCCGGCTGGTTCCACCGGCCCTGGTCTTTACTCCACGAGACCCTAGAGTGTGTTTCCAAAGAACTAGACCCCTGGTTGGTAATAAGAGATTGTACTCTTCGGAAACCTGTCTTTCTCCAGATCGACGTATCCGGTCCACGAAAGTGTCATGGTCGTGTCATACGACCCTACGGCAGCGGAATTCTAACTATATACGTTCACCTGTATGGCCATACGCGCAAAACAACAATCCTCCGAGACCTATTTTCGCGGCTCTTGGTAGTTCGCGAATCGTCCCGTCGTCCTAGCCTTCTCGACCCGCATGCGCCGCCGTATGAGTTGATGAATATTTAGCACCTTGCCACATGGCCCGGACACAGAATATGAGACCTGTCGCCTCCCATGAGGCTCAACGGGAAGGGCTAAATATAGTGGATGTTCGGCCGTTGTTTATGTAGAGCTTCATTTAACTTCCAACTGCCGAGCAGATATGTTTTATTTGATCTAATAAAATTCTCACCTTTTTCTCATTTTCCATTCTCTATATCAAATTACCTTCGTCCTGTTATATCAAGACCCCTGCCCGACTATTCCAAAAGAGTTGGAGATTTCATGGATATTTCTGACTGGGGCAGTCCCTAGTCACCAGTCTAATCACTTTCTGGCTACCTCTTACATGCTATGTACCCGAGACCCATCGACGCTCTCCGCCGCTCCCCCATACGCTCACCACTCTCCCCTGCCCTGCCCTGAAGGCTTGACTATTCCTCGCAACACATCATCGACGAACAGATGTAACCCTCCGTACCCTGTATTGCAAATCCTTGCAGAGCCCTGCCCGCTGGTCCCTGTCTGCCCTGTCTTGCCTGTCTCTTTCCAGCAAGCCAAGCAGAACCTCGCACACCACCTAGTCTCTCCTGTTGAGTTCACAGACGTGGCCAGGTTTGTGTCAAGAACTCCGGCTTACCTCCTACCGATGTTCCGAGCCTGGTCCAGCCTGACCGTGTTGGATTATAATCGGACTGTCTATGGGTCCCTAGGCGGTGCCTGTAACTCGAGAGACCTTCTTTATATCTCTCCATCTTCTGCACCGCCCCTCCATTGACCTGCCCTTTTACTCCTCTTCTCGCCTCGCCGCTCTCCCTCACACCATTATACTAAGGCATTCTACTACTAGTCACTCCTTTTTTTCCAACCCTTAACAAAGCTCTATTATATTGCCACTCTGGTCTATAACACTGGGAGCTGGCTCTCTTCCAACCTGGACACCACCAGTCTATGTGAAGCAAGCATCAACTAGCTTACCTAACGAGTTGTTCTATCCCCAGTCAACTCATTACATTCATTAATTAAGACCTTACGCACTCGACCTTGAGCTCAACGCTGCTCGCCAACATATACACTCACTTGCTCCCACCCTCGACGTGGGACACCCACATAACTCTACATTCCTTCCGAGGTTAAAATCTCACCAACGTCATTCGAGATTATACTCGACTACCATTGACCATGTATGTTATGAAAAGGTCACCACCTAGCTGCTGTGACGCCCTCGTGCATGGACTATATAACCACCCCTTGTCACCGTCATCCCGTCGGCCAATACACTCACATCGTCTGGATCGTTGACTAACCTTCATGTGTGGTGTGTAGCATACAGTCTATAATAGATCAAATCACATTCCTTTCAACACTTAGATAATCATGGACTCAAATCAGGCGCAACTGTATGAATCGTTTGGCTCGACGACATATGACAGAAACTCACACGACTACAGGAGGCAGCAAATTCAGGCGCCTACTTTTACGCTTACCTCAAACGATAAGTACAGCAGAGAGGTTCCGCCACCGCACCCGCCTCCACTGGCTACGATGAATAGGAACGAGATGCCTGTTAAGACAGAGGCTCATGTGGCACCAACTGGGGTATGGGCGACGCCAGCACCACAAGAAACACGGCCGAGACCAGCTACTATCCATGAAGGATTCTCATTCTGCGCCGGAGATGAATTTGGCACGATGCCCTCGTGGGGAACGCCGTCTGGGTTGACGATTCACACACCAAGCGACACTATGTCACGACCTGTTTCGATGCACCAGGACTTTTACCCCGTGACGACAATGGATAGCAGTGAGTTACATTTAGGTCAACGTAAAGCCACCGCTAACCGCAAATGTAGGCCCATGGGGACCGAAGCCATGCGACGATCATCTTGAAATTCCTCACCTAGATATGGATATGAGCATTGGACAGGCATACACAACGGACGAGGCAATCCCGATCATAGATCTAAGGTACTCTGGTCCTCCGATGGACCACGAATCGATGGGATTCGAGTCAAGCTTGAACCCCAGACGCATGTCTGGCTCATCTTTTACCGTATCGACAACAGGAAATCTCTCAGAGATGCCTTCATATGAAGATTTCTCTGCCGCTTTATCCGAGGCTCCGTCCTTCACATCAGACTATCCGCCACCTTCGAACCGGAACTCCCTCATGTCTTCAACGCAACTGTCTCCCGTGGCCTCTCCTCGCATGACTCCTCAAAGCCGCTCTGACCTTGTCCGCACTGCGAGTCGTGGCCGTGGTGCCTCGCCGTCTCCTCGACCAGGAATGAGATCTGCCCCCTACAACGTTGAGAATAGCGCAAGAAACAAGAGATGGTCTACTGGGTCTTATGGCACCAACGCGAACCGCCGACCATCACCTTTCGTTTACCATCACACACACGATGCTTTTGGTCCCCGGATGTCTTCAAGGCACTCATCTCCTACGATGCCAAATCACCCGCTTCCGTTGAACTTTGGAAACCTTCAAGCCGTCCAACAACACCCGTTCCTTGTGTCGCATCCGCCGGCTTTCCGAAATAGCATGCTTCTTCCAACACAGTTACCGTCTCAATTGCCATCACAGCATTTTCACCCCGAAGCTCATCACTTCGAAACTCCCCCACCTCTGCTGTCTCACGGACTCTTTAGGATGCTGCAAAGCAACGCTGACCCACATTCCTTGCATGGGCATTACACGGACTTATCCGATCCACCAGATCTATATGCCTCCCTGCAGGAAGAACAGGTTCCGCCGCCGCCTGAGGACATGAATCCTTCGGATCCGGACCTCGTTCCTCATGAGCAAGAACTACGATTCGAAGGCGACTTGTACACTCCGAAGTGGGTTCGCGGCCACGGAAACAAGAGAGAGGGATGGTGTGGTATTTGCAAGCCAGGCCGATGGCTAGTATTGAAGAATTCTGCTTTCTGGTACGACAAGAGTTTCACACACGGTATCAGTGCGGCTACTGGAAATCCCTTCCAAGAACCTCAAGAGACAAGGCGAATGGATGGTAACCCAGATGTCTGGGAGGGCCTTTGTGGAAGCTGCAACGATTGGATTGCCTTGGTGAGCAGCAAGAAGAAGGGCACAACTTGGTTTAGACACGCGTACAAGGTAAGAATTGATGCGATATTCCTATCACTTAGATCATATACTAACACATCGCAGTGCCACACGCACCCTAAGATTAAGGATGCGCCCAAGAGGCGACGTGAAAGTGGCAACACAAGAGTTGTCGCCGCTTCTCAGATCACGAAACCTAAGATCGAGCCTCAGCAACCTGCGACGCCCCAACAAAAAACCACGCCTGTATCCCTGGCTACAACCCCAGTTCCTATTCCTATGCCAACACCTAGCTCTTTATCGCATCAGCATCAACACCAGCATCAACACCAACACCAACATGTAGTTCACCCACAGCAACCTACACCAAAAAAGACATTCCCTCCACTCGACGGGCTAACTAATATGATTTAAGTCATGTTGATTTACCCGAGTCTTATCTTTTCAGAACGAACGTTTCTTATTATGTCTGGATAGAAAATCTTGGACGAGCAATGAAACATTTCCTTGGATTCCCACCCGTCGATCTGAAGACGGATTATAGACGGACAGCTGGCGCACTCCTGGCGCCAATCTTCTCACTTATCCCCTCTCTACGACCAGTCACTGGTCCAATTTCATTAAAATTATCAACACTATACCCGAATATGGAGGAATTCTCCCCAGCTAAGATGCTATGACGAATTGAGCACAACTAGTTGATTTACGACGGATGGGATAGACCGGAGGTATATCGCGGCGGTTACGACAAACCAAAAAAGATTGCTTCACTTCGTTGTGCGCTATTTTCTCACATATGGTGTTCCACCACACCAGCCGTTGATCTTATAACTTTTGTCTGACTTTCCTCTTTCAATGTCCATATGCAAACATACAAAGTTTTATTTTCCTTTTTCTTACTAATTAATGTAGATAGCTCAATAAGGTGATACCCTCGGAAAATATTGGGGGTGAAACGGAGGGGAACGGGGATTGGAAAGAGGAGGAAAGGGTCGTTTTTACTCGGGAATGGGGTGTGGTTGGTTCTCAGTGAGTCTATATAGCCCTGCTGGGCAGCGGTAGAAATTTTTGGGAAGGGGGCACGAACATTGCGATATCCGTAGACCTAGTTAGATGATGACGAATGATTTCTTAGTACGCAAAAACTTGGTGTTTTTTTCATGATTTCTGTTGCGATTTGTGCGCCTCTTCGAGACTTCGACAGGTTAAAAATGAAAACGCCACCAGCGTTAGTCAAACATTCTGGGGATCAGGGGGGTAACGGATTCCAATTCGAACCGTCCGGACGAGCAAGATCCACGTAAGCTTCGGAATGTAAGAGCTAGATATGCTTGTGATCGGATTATCAACCAATATGAAATAGAAAGATCACCCTCAAGGCGTATGTACAACTCATCAATATCTGGATGGCCCTGGAGATCATATCGTCAAGGGCTTTACCAGGGATTACCCAGGAGCTCCCCACCGGAAAGCCGCCAGCGGGATACATGTACCGACAGGTTCCAGGAAGTCTTGGGAGGGTTCGGGCGTTAATAACCATACGTTCCCGCAAGCCTACGGCGGTCCTCTTGCTACGGGTTCTGTGACACAGCCATAACGTGAAGGCGCCGATCCCTGGCAATAGGATCAGATCCGACAGACCCAGAGCCATGGCTGATTCAATAGTCTCAGCCAATGAATACTTTTAGGGCATCAGTTTTTTTTCTTTTCATGAGAAGCAAGAATGGGATCTGTTCGATTCGCTATTTGATGATCGCCTCACTAAAATCGACGTAACTCCCTCGTACTGACGATTTTACGTATCAAAACTAAGTGAGAAAGCAACCAATAATAAGTACGACTAGTGAAAATTTGATCAAAATGAAGTAATATGAGTAATATGAGAGAGAATTAAGTGAAAAAAAATAAGAAAAGAAAAAAAGAAAAAGAAAACATACAACACTGGGGATTCGCTGGTCGTCACCGACCCAACTACTAGTCCAGCGGTAGCCAGCTTATCTATGGGAGAGCGGACGGGATCCCGAGTTTTCTAGCTCCTATGGTCGTATGTGATAGTTTAACGGTTTATTACTGTATATAAACCTACTTTGCACAAATCCTCCATTCATATCCCAAGCCTCATGACGAAGTGGCTTCCCAACATCCCAACACTTTCTGTCTGTGATAACGACTCACGTGAATGGCGGTAAATCATAAGGAAGCGAAGTAAAGTGAAATACGGGCTTCCCGCACAGCTCACGAACAAAATCTCGTAAAACTCGGCGCTGCTTCGTATTTGACATGTATCAAATGTATGTACAATCCGCCCGCCCACCTCAATTTCCGCAGATGCCGTGTCTAGTACCTAGCGCACGATAAACCGCATCCATGGTACCCTCCCACAACACTGTCTAGAAACGGATATTCTTCTTTTTTAACCCCTCCGTCCCCCCTACTGGTGTCCCGAGATCTGCTTCGGCTGGTACAGCTCCTCGAGGTACTTCTCCTCCTCATCCGTAAGCGTCTTCCCTCTAGCCGCGACCGCCTCGTCGATCCTCTTGTTGCTCGAGAACCCTATGATCGGACTCGCGACCCTCTTGTTGATCCACGCCAGCGCTACGTGGCTCATCGGCCACCCTTTCTTCGCCGCGATCTCCTGCACCCGCGATATGATCGTTAGGTCCGGCTCCACGGTGCCGTGGGCGCCGGGCGAACTGTCCTTCTCGAGCTTGCTGCGCGACGTGGATCCGAAGTCGGCTGGTGGACGCGCGAGGTGTCCGCGACAGAGCGGCGCCCACGGGATCAGCCCGACGCCGGTGTCGTTGCAGAAGCGGTTCATCTCGCGCTCTTCCTCGCGGTAGAGCAGGTTGTAGTGGTTCTGCATCGACACGAACTTCGTCCACCCGTTCTTCTCCGCCGCGAACTGCAGACGCGCGAAGTTCACCGCCCACATGCTGCTCGCTCCGATATACCGCACCTTCCCCGATTGCACGAGGTCGTGTAGCGCCTTCATTGTCTCTTCGATTGGCGTCGAGGGGTCGAAGCGGTGGATTTGCAACACGTCGATGTAGTCGAGGTCGAGTCGCTTTAGGGACGCTTCGACGGAGTTGAAGATGGCGAGCCGCGAGAGCCCGAAGTGGTTGATGTAGTCTTTGGATCGGTCGACGGCTTCCCCGTGCATGAAGTGCCGCACGTCGGGCGTCTCGCCGACGGCCCAGAAACACTTCGTCATGATGACTACTTTGTCGCGCGGGATGTTGTACTTCTTGATCGCCTTGCCGACGATCACTTCGCTGACTCCTTGCGAGTAGACGTTGGCTGTGTCCCATGTGTTCAGGCCTTTGTCGTAGGCGTACTTGAGCAGAGGCAGAGCCTAGAGGCGGCGTTAGCGAGTTTGGGGTGTTTTGGGACTAATTTCTCTGTGAGTGTATGGCACTTTACCTCTTCTTCGTTAATGGCCCATGACTGCGCTTTGGTATCTCCAAAACTCATACAGCCGAATACTGGGACGGAAATACGCAGACCACTATTACCGAGCCTACGATATTCAACCTCGGTGTCCTTTAGCGAGTCCTTTAGGGACTGGGGAATATTGGCAGCCATGACGATTCTAACTAGAACTAGGTATTGGGAATGAAGCTAGGTGTCCTAGGTATTTCCACTAACGACGTCTCGATGAATCGAAGTTGAGACGAACGTGGAATGATAGAGTTTATGTACCTTCCGGTAGGTTTATGTATGGAGACGTACCTCCGCTGCCATTGTCGTATACTGGGTTACATCCGTTCTGGCTGAACTCTAAAATGCGAAATTCCCGCGCAGAACACTTCGATTGGCCTTAAGTCCCTTCCCTAATCTCCAAACTCCAGCGGGGTAACTGTTACTAAGTCGAAGTTATCACCACTATGGCCGGTAGCTCGAGTTGCACAATGGGGACCGATGCTAGCCACCTTGGAAATTGCGAATTGCTAGGGTGACATCCACATTGCCAAGTCGTGCTTACAAACCTACAAACCTACCTTAAGTCCTATACCAGCAAATATCGTCACTTATATGCATGATATCGTCTTATCGACGTATACATCTATCGGACTTTGCTTCCATCACATCATCGTGCATCATTAGTCATGAGGTAGGAGATTTCACATACGAATTTGTTTCACTTTTCTCTTTAATGCCTATGTGCGCTATACGACGAATACGACGAATACGAAGCGAATTAGGGAAAGATTGACCCATATCTTCTATCGTACATAGACCACAGTACCACTTATTATCTCGGATCGACCTGTGTTCCGCAGAGAGCAAAAGTGTAGTTGTTGTTCGGGTTTGTGTAAATCTGCAATTCGATCCAATTAGCCCTATCAGTCTCAAATATGGTAACCTGAGAATTTACGGTAGGCTGGCAACATCCTGCGGTGTTGTAGACCAAGAAGTTGCATTCCCATCTGGGGTTTGTGACGCCCAGCTGGTGTGCCGAAAGACCTGTGATGAAGGGTTAGAATAACCAGATATTTAATCGTATTTTCTTGCAACGCTCTTCGCGAGAAACTCACAGTTGATTCCAAGCTGGCCCTCTATACGCGTGCAGCACACCGGGGAGAATCCCCACCTCTCCCGTGTACGACAGCTGAACTGCGTACTTGGGTCAGAGAAGAGAGCCGCGACGAGTATCGCTATGGTCGATTTGGTATACATTTTCTTGGTATATGTCTCACGAATTTTAATACCACAATGAGGGTCAGTCGAGGAGTTGATTTACAGCATGTGTTGCGAGAAGATTTGCTCGAATTTATACTAAATGGTAGTTGTTAATAAACTCGACCGGCGCCATGTTCGTTGCTTCTTGCTCCACATCGATGTGCGATATTGTCTTGTGTAAACAAGCAACGGTCTAATGCTCTAGCGTTCTCCTTATATAATAGGCGGTACGATATCTATGGCTACTTGAATCAGGATTCGATACCTTAAGTACAAATCTTCAGAGTCACGATTGTATACCTAATTGTCCATAGGTTGTTTGGCTGCCGATTATGAGCTTATCAAAGCGCACATACGGCTGAGGTAACATCAAGGAGATGAGACTGACTAGAAATTCGAAAGTTTTCACGGTCGAGGAAGATGTTAGTCTAATGACGGTTTGAATTGTATGTTCTCTTTAGACATATACAGCCCCTTATAGTCTAGCCAATAGTCTAGATAAGGGGACTTCCATGGTATCCTATACCCACCTCGATGTACGCAACCGTTACCAAAGAACATGCGCACTAGTCAACCATTCTTCCCTGATCCTATCTCATTAAGCCCAATCCACCATAATAGCTCCGCCCCTTGAATATCCAAGTGTCAGATAGTCAAAAGGTACGGTATCATTTCCTCACGAATATGCTGCGAACCTAAGCGCAGATAGTCGTTGGGACGATACCATTTGGACGGAATTCGCCATCTGCAGCCGAGGAAACCTTCTAGATTTCGTCGTCTGCCATAGTTGACGCTTCCTCCTCATCTATCGCCTCGCCCTCGGCAAAGTTGCGCTCATTCGCTATCGCAGCTCGAACACGGGCAAACTTGCTATCAGGCCGCATACTCGCGTACATACTGGGAGTTATGAGCATCGGTAAGCCGCCAGAACGTAAAGCCTTGAGGTATGCGAGTTGCCGGCCCATGGTGTACCACACAAATGACGGTGATATCTTGTAGTACATCTTGAAACAAAATGATGCCTTCAACAAGTCCCAGTTGGAGAGTCCGGTTTTGACCTGGTCCTCTTGTAGCATAGCTCTGACGATTTTGGCATTGGCTTTCTTCGAAGGAGATATCGCCTGCCACCTGTCATAGACATGGGTGAGTCTAGCTTCCCACTCGCCGCGGAAGCCGCGCCATTCTTGAGCTGTGGCATCAATATCCTTCCTAAGCTCGTCTAAAATCGTCTCCCAAGTCGACTTTTTAATAGCCTCCTTTCGCTCACTGTAAGGCCTCAAGAACTTCTCGTAATGCTGATAGAACCCGACGAGGTCCTTATCGTAATTTTCAGCATTCTTAAGGGATTCATTGAACGACTTCAATTCCGTTTCAACTGTAGGATTCCCTATCCTAAACTTGACATAATCGATGATGTGTGTAGGGTCTCCTTTGCCACTCCAAATTTCCTTCTTATATAGAGGGTCTGGAGGGTCGACCCGGCGCAGAGTTTTGCGTAGTCGAGCCCAATCCTGATCTGTAAAGACGACTCCTTGCTTAGCCCTATCTACTAGATGGCTGATAAGAGTACTCAAGAGAATCGCAGGATCATTTCGAACTGAATTCTGGGCGTAGCAGAACCTTTCCTTGTAGTTCGTGCACATGCCAAGAAGATTCTGTTGCATGTTGAACCGGAAAGCCCTCATCAGGAACTCTGAAGTGATATCGCTTGTTCCTACTAGTTCAAGGTAGCTAACGTTCTCCTTACGGACTATGCCCTGTTGAAATAAATCTGGAACATTTGGCATTTCCGCGTTGCGGAAATTATTGACAATCGTGGGCTCCCAGCATACCCAGGCGATATCTCCGTCATAATCACCACCAGAGAGCTTATCAGCGAGAGGTTTATTGCCCTTGGTGGGGAAAATGATGACATCTTTCAACGCGCCCAGTTCCGGTTTAAAGACTACTTTTACCCTTTGAATGTCGCTTGGGTAATGCGCGGGCGTGCGCGCAACAAGGGCGTCCATGCCGTGGAGGTATGTTTCGGAAAAGCCAGAATGTTCATCAGAAAACTTGGAGGAAAACCCGAGGTGAACTTCGTCTTCCTCCAAAATCCCAAGAAAATCGACAACCATATAGGCATACGTAGAGCGTCCAACCTTCACATTCAACCGCTCTTTGAGCTCATTACACTTGTCCATTCTCATCTTCCAAGCCATATCGCTTAGAAACTTAAGCTTGGTCGGTTCGAAGCCGCTATCCGTGAGAAAGTCCATAATATCTTCCCGACCAGTCGGCAGGCCAGCGGTGAATGGAACTTGGTTATACTTGGGGCGTTCCTGTCGGCGAACTGATGGCGAATTTTCATGAACCCAAAGTTTGAACTGGGTCGGGTCTAGCATGGCTGCCTTCTGAGCCTCGAGGTCTCTTTCGAGGGTATCTCTCAAGAACTTGCCAACCAGTGACTTCATTAAAGCTACGTCGATAGCTCTGTCTTCGAGGATCGGGAGAAGTTGAAGGTTTAGATTGGCAGACTTCAATTCTCTAGATGGATTGCGAACTTCGAATGTGCGATGGTCCTCTTCGATATAATCACAGTTCCATTTCCGTTGAGAAGGCGAGGTTTCTATCCAGATGTCGTCACTTGTGTCTGTGACATCCCAAATCCAGAATCCTTTTGCACTACCAAACCGGCCTTGGAAACCTGCTGGAGTGTCCTTCAGGCCCATGAACTTCCTCACAGCTTCCGCGAGGCCGCGTGACATTAGAGCGATGCCATCATTCATTACCTCGCCTGTCGGTGAGAGTACGTCGACTGGTCGGTGTCGAATTTGCTCGGGTCGAAGGACAATGGTGGCATGTGTACGGCTAAGACCTAGGAACTGTTAACTATTTCCATGTGAAGTATAAAAGTCTCGGTTGCCGATACCTAATGTAATCCGGGAAAACAGCTTCAGTACCGATTGGCCTTGATTATTGGGAACTTGCAAGAGCCAATCAATGAGGCCATCCCGTCCCATCTGGGTGTGCTTCCCAACTGTTTCACCCTTCGGCGACCAGTGATCTCCACTTCCTAGACGGTAGAAATCATTGCCATCTTCAGCAAATAAATATATTCGTTCTTGATAAATAGTCTTCGTCTGTGGCATGAGCGTATTATCACTGTTGATCTTCTTGGGTAAGGAAGGCTTGAGAAAAAATGACGTCCACACACGACCAAGAAGCACATGAGATTCAGTGACCAGCCACTGTTGAATACTTTCTATGCCATCTTCTCCAAGAAATTTTAAATCCTGAGAATTCATAGATGGTATAACAAGCTCAAGAAATCTATCCGATCCAAACCTGCGGCTGAGGCGATGTGAAAGATCCAATTTCAGGGGATTAAGCCTAAGCGTAAATAACGGCCCATTCTTCGACGTATTAGTAGAGAGGGAAGCTGTGAGAATGACTGCTGAATCCGTAGTACCAAACTTATCATCGAGAGCAGCGGCCCATGCATTAGATTGGGATCTTTCTGGAAAACTCTTGCCTTGAAATATAGGCAACGCTTGAAGCCTGCGCCACATCGTTTTTTGATCAGTCCATGATGGATCGTAGGCAACACGCAAATCATCCATTTGTATTCCACAGTAGAGAGCAATTCGCAAAATCTCCCAGCGAACTACAAATGGAGCCTGGTCATACTGAGCAGGAAGATGAGCTGATGATGGTTAATGATGGGTTCTGATATGGAAGAGGGTTTTGCGCTTACGCCAAACATTGTGAAGTCGCTGCTCGAGGCTAAAGTTCTGACTGCCTCCGTATGACACAGGTGGGGGCATACCAACAGTGTTTTCCTTTGTGCTCTCCTTTATAGGAGATAGCGTAGGAGGAACTGTAAATAAAGACGACGGAGGTGGCGAGGCTGGAGGCAGAGAAGGGGTATTAGGCTGCGTGGTATCCTGCTCTGATGAATGTGTGACGTCTGAATACGTCGACACATCATTTCTGAGAAGGCCCCGTACGTTTTGCTGAAGCTGCTCGTGATGGTGAAAAGAAATGTGCAGAGCACGTTCGGTACTTGAAGACGGAGCCAAGGAGTCCGAATCTGACCCTAAAATTTGTGACTGTCTCAAATGTGGAAGCTTCATATTTTCTAGATTGCTTGCGACGATTGTGGTTTGTGTCTCTTGAGAAGCTAATGGAAGCTCATACTCATCACGACCTGAGAAAACTTGAGAAGCACTTGTTGTTCCGCTCGTACTTACCGATCTAGTCGAATCATTCACGGCTATAGGTCTAGTTCGTTCGAACCTTGGTGCTTGAATTAGCACTTCACTAGGCATAGGGCTAGCTGTAAGTACACGGCCCCTATCCAGAACTGAAAGTACACTCGGGGGTCTCTCATAATCATCAGGGTCACACTCTGTGTCAACTTCCGAAGTAACACTCCTAGTTCTTTTAGCAGTCGGACTTCCCTGCCATTCATCAGAGTGTCGCTTGGTACGTCGACTCCTCGTGGGTGTTGGGGGTTCATCGTACTCTTGATGCGAGAGAGAAATTGACACTGAGGAGCTTGATGATATATCCGTTGAACAGACATCTTCCAAAATAGCTCTAAGAAGCTCGACCAATTGTTCCCGCTCGGCCCCGGTGGTGGCCCGAGGCAATTGTGTAGGAAAAGGAGTAACGGCAGACTCAGAACTAGGCTTCTTCACCCACTTGCTATGAATCTCCTTTGCCCCACGGTCAAACAGGTCTTGAATTATCGTATGGGACTCCTTGAAATATTGAACTTTGAGGAGTTCATAATATTTCAACTCTGAGTAATAGGACAAGGACCTTTTCTTCTGCGGTGATAATTCTGGAGGAGTCCGTTTGAGATTCAGGTTGTATGAATTGGAAAACTCGAGGAACCAAATATCGAAATCCTTGATACTAAGCCGTGGTTTTGATGGCGTGAGTGGGGGGTAAGCAGACTCGGACCGCGGTGCCATTTTACACGTGGTAGAGTTCGATACTTAACCCAATCGCTCGACTCGCCGAACGGTAGGTTTGTGCTAGGGACTTGATGCAGCTGAGAGGCTAAATTGAGAGAACCTTGAACAATCGCTACTATACGCGGCTAGCTACATTAGCTTTGAGGCCAATCAATGTCGTCGCCAGCATCACACAGATTCGTGTACAACACTAGAGACTGCAACATGGGGGGAATAAGCAGCAGCAGAACAAGTCTCACCAAATCCCGAACTCCACTGCGGAGGATCTTGTCATGTAAACAAACTTGTTGGTGATCGATTGGATGATGTCGACCCGATCCCAAAGTGCGGGGCCAACTAAGAGGAAAGCCAGGAAAGGAAACGTGAGACACACCGGATGATTGGTAGAGGATGGATCGTGAGAATGACCGTGCTGAGCCGTCCCTGATGACGCGACTTTGACACGGGACGACCCTAGAGGTTTAGAGGAAACGCGATTGTAGAGTCCGGTAGAGAAAAAGACGCGTTTATAGTTTAACTTGTGTAAAAAAGGGAAAAAAGGGAGATTGGTTTGGGGTTGTCTCAAGCCGTTTGGACTTAGTCTCTCCACTTAATCGAGCGGACACCATCGAGGGTTTCCATGCGGGATGGCCCGAGCTCGAACGTCGAAGCGGGACAAGTGGATCCATCCTCGACTGCGGGGTTCCCCTGTCTTTTCATATCTTGGGTGCTTGGGTGCTTGGGCAGGCATGGTCGGGTATCTTAGCTTAAGGCAGGTACAACGGTACATCGCTAAAAGCCGGTAATGTTTTTCCGTTAATTAAGTGAAGACGCTCGAAGCTTGGGTGGATCCGTCGAAGTCTCAAAGTCTCGGAAAGTTCGGGGTGTTCGATGGGAAAGTCTTGGCATTCTATTTTCCTCGTTCACAAATCTATCGTAGTCTATCGCTCTAATCGAGTTTTTGCCCCGCTTCCATCAAACTACGGTCGAGAGGATCTTCGGTTTTCGGCATTCTCTCTCAATTCCTCTTTCGCTTTCAATCACAATCATACAGCAAAGCCTTGCTGATCCTGCCTTGCTTAACAATTACCTTTGAGTAATTCAGCGCGCTAAGGTCGGATCCCTGATCGGCTACAGCTGCCGGACTATAGCATCTGTTCATTCCATTGGAAGCCTTAGCCTTCGAGGCGAGGCCGAAACGACAAAGTACCAACTCCAAATCTAGCTCGCGCGTTGCGTGCGTTGCGTGGCGGGGTTTGTCTCATAAGGCCATTCCATAAGGCCATTTCGACCAGCGCTCATGTCATCCGAGCAAGATATCAATCAGGTCCCTATTCAGGACCTGACTCCCGAACAAGCTAGTCACATCATTCATTCTCACCGCAAAGTTCGATATGGTACGTTCTCCAAATGCGCGCTTATTCGCCCGCTGATTCGTCCTATCAACTTAAAACTCTTCATCGGCTTACAAGTGATTTCTAGGTACGGCATGTTGGCCATGCAGGTGTGTGGCATAGTAAACTCAATGTAAGATGAGGTCTGAAACTAAAGGTCTATCTAGGCAACGGAAGGTGAAATGCGACAACAAGCAACCATGTGAAAATTGCGTCAAGAGAGAACATCCACAGCTGTGTTCTTATAAACCCAATCGTTCTAGTGCTTCCAAACAAGCTTCCGTGTCAGCCGAAGGTCATCAGGGGAAGAAAAGACCTCATTCTCCTGATGACAGTGTGAGCAATGACCAAGGGAGCGATCATCAACCCGAGGGTTGGCCTCAAGCAATAGGTGTGCTCCGCCAAATCTTCCACATACCAATTTGTGCTAATTAGTATGTGCCATGAAGATGAACCGGAGTCTCTGGAAATATCACGTTACGTTGGTCAAAATAGTATCCCTGCGTTATTACGAGATCAACCGTCGCCGATAGAGACTAAAGATGGTGTGGACATTCGTCGCGATATGCGCCCAATTCTTGGTCTTGACAACTCCGCGCCCTTCCCCTTAATGTCGTCAAAACACCTCGACCGTCTAACGCAGGACATCTTCTCTGAGCTTCCTTCCGATAGAGAAGTGATGATGTGAGTGACAAGCAGAAGTAATCGTCTTGTAATAGACGTGTCGAGATTTATGTGCTAATTTATCTCCTAATAGCCTCTTCAGAGCGTATAAAGAAATTACACATCCATTTTGGGGATTCGTAATTGATATTGATGATCTAGAGTCTCGTATAATGATATATCTTGAAGAGAGAGCTAAAAATGCTAGGGAACACAGCAAGTCAAGTCGGCGTGTCTCTGCGTCTTGGCTAGCCATTCTCTTTTCCGTGATGGCTGTCGGCTCGCAGTACCGCGATTCACCTTATCATATTCGAACGCGAGATGCCCAGAGATATGTCCAGATATCGTTTCATTTTCTCAGACTGGGGAACTTTTTATTACGGTACGTTGAGAGTACATCGTCTAATTTCTTGTTCGGGCTCTCATCATCTTTAACTTAGGCCGAACTTGGATTCAATCCAAGCATTATTGCTAATAGGATTTTGCCTCCTAAATGATATGAAAGCCGAAGCTTCTTGGGCCTTAATCGGCATGACGTGTCGATTGGCACAGTCGCTCGGCCTTCATAGAGCTATAACATCAGACGAAAGCAATTCAACTGAGATGTCGGTAAAAACATACGTACGAAGAAAGCTATGGTATGAATGACTCCTGATCTTTCTATATAATGTATTAACACAATTTAGGTGGACGTGCCTTTGGCATGATACGCTGACGTCACTATCATTTGACCGGTAAGAGTATCGCTTAGTCATCACTGCTATAGCACATGTTGCTCATCATCGCTACAGCCCTAACATGACCAACATTCAATGTTGTCCCATTCCGCTGTCCCCGAGTTCTTCCGTTGAGGGGCTATCATATCTAGAGTCGATGTATACTCTCTGCGAAGTAATTTCACAGAAGCTTAACCCGGACGCCACTGCTGGGTACTCGTACGACACAATCCTCGCCAACTGCCAGGCCGTCGAGTCTATCCGTGAGAAAGTATTCCCTCAGCTACGCAGTAAGGAGGCTTGCAAAAGTGTGGTCGACAAGCTCCAGCATTATGCCATACGCCTTCATACTTCCTTCGTAATTTCAGTCTGCTGTCGTCCAGCTCTTCGTCGAGATTGTACGAGATTAGGACCTGCTGAAAAGAAAGCCTTGGCCGACAAGTGCAAAACTAACTTGACGGAGACTGTCCGAATGTTTTTATCAATGCACCAGCTATCATTTATTCCGACCCGAAGTTGGGCCTTCACCTACCACGGGCTTTCTTCTGCTGTTCTCTTAGGAATATTATGCGAGACAAAACTAGACCCTGAGGTCCGCCAGCTCCAAGGAGATCTCATCTCAGCTTTGTCAGCCGCAGCAGCCAAGGAGCAAACCAGCCCTGCTCCTGACCACATTCCTAAAATTGACAGGGATATTGAATTATCCGGTCCTCTTTCTAGAGCATTGACAGCGCTGAAGAACATATATGATTACGGCTCTCTGCACGGTGCTTCCGGCGTCAAGAGTGAAAGTGCTTCTGGCAATCGCACACCGATTGGAGTTGCTATCCCACAAGGTCTTCAAAATATCAACAATCAATTTCGTCTACAGCCCGGGTTTGACAGACATCAAGACGCCGCTCTTGCAATGGCAGAGTTACAGAACGGGAATAACCTCGCCGATTTCTCTACGTAAGTCATTTGTTAGATTGGACTGGGAGACTGCTGACGAGTGTACAGGACAATGCCGTACCAACCAACGATCCAACAGACCATAGGAATTCCAGATCTAAACCAACTAGACCCCACCACACTGGCACCTATGGATCTCTACGATTCAATCTTTTGGGGTAGGTGACCAAATCCGTGCACCGATTTTCTATATACTGACCGGTTTTGAAAGAATCTCCAGACCCATTCTACGCAGGTGCAGATATGAATTTTGACTTCCTCCCACAAGCACCCCCGGGGCAATCCCAGCAGCAGTTCTATTTTTAGGGTTGAGTGATGAATCCATCATATCAACTCAAGTGTGCATGACCTGACGATATAGGTGTTACTTTAGCTCCTCCCAATCTCTATTTCGACGACTTTGGCTTCAGAGCCTGAGGCGCCGGTTATGAAAAGTTTTGTTCAAATTCAACCTAGTCGGGGAGGTATCTAAGGGTGTAATATCGGAGTTTGTCAGGAGATCGCGACTAAGGTTAATTGACAGTTATGGGCGCTTCATTTATCTGTAAAACGTACTGCTAGCTCAGATATCCATGTTGGTCAATATCTTTTGTTCGTTATATAAGTCAGCTTCAATTTAATTTGGTATATAACCACGGATTTGAATTGGTATTTACTGGTCGTAACGGCATTAATATTGATCTATTTGGGCTTCTCGTCTAGATTCCTTGACTCGTCTAATCTTTAGCTAAACCAGATCTAAAATCTATACAGCGAATGCGCCCAAGACTTCTTTGCACATCGCTACACATTTCTCTTCCTCTAGTCTCTGCGCTATTATCTGCAGACTTATGGGCATTCCGTGAACAGCGTCGGGATTGTCTGTCCTATAGTTAGCTATGCAAGTCGTTTGAGAAATCGGGTAGTTACGAAGGTATTTTAGTACTTACAATTAGCTTGGATGCCCTTATCTAGATCTGAAAGTGGTTTGTACGTTTCACCCAGCGCGACATCGATGGATTTATCGGCATTGATGCCGGTGGGGAAGGAGATGCAGGAGTAATCCAACACGTTGTAGACGCCCGTGTAGCCAACTAGACGACCTTATCAGCAGCTCACTCAAACACTCTACCTATTCAAGTTCAGATTTAACTCACCATGCTCGAATTTCCCATTCTCCACACTACTATACGGAGTCGTAGGACACAAAATCGCATCAATCCCCGCAGCCAACCACCGATCAAGGTACCGTTTCTGGTACGCCTGGCGATCCATATGTAGCTGCCAGTACTCGAAACCGCTGAGCTCCCTCGCAGTCCCGTACATCGCCATCTCCGGCCTCAATGGCTCCCCCGTGCGAGCCAGCTCCCTCATAATCGCCTTCCCCCCGTCCGCCACAAACATGCGGTTCAGCAGCGCCTGCCCCTCTGCTTGGTCCCGCGACGACCAATCCACGATCTCGTGGCCTGCGGCTTCGAGCTTCGCTACGGCGTGCTTTAACGCTCGTGTCACAGGCGGTGTAGGCAGAGCCATCCCGTCGTCCCACATTACGGCCAGCTTTAGCTTCGAAGGCAGCGCCACGCTACGCCAGGGAATTGGCAGACATCGCGGGTCGAGACGCCACGGCGCGGCGTCGACGACCGTTTTGCTGTAGAACTCGAGGTCCCCGATCGTGCGGGTCAGCGGCCCGTTGACGGACTGCACGGCCTCCTGCCCGGGCATGCCGGAGCGGCAGCGCAGGGTGGGAAAGCGGCCAAAGCTAGGTCGGAGTGTGAAGATGCCGGTGCAGGCCGCGGGGATGCGCAGGGACCCGCCGATGTCGGTGCCGACGCCCAGGGGGCTGCCTTTGAATGCGATCAGTGCGCTCTCGCCCCCGGAACTGCCGCCGCTGGTTAGTTTGCGGTTCCGTGGGTTCACGGTTCGTCCGAAGACGTTGTTTACGCTCTCTGCGATCATCATTGCGGTTGGCACGTTCGTCTTCACGTAGAAGACGGCGCCGGCGGTTTGGAGGAGGTCTGCTAGCACGGCGTCGTAGGGTGCTGGGTCGCCTACGTGTGATGCGAAGCCGACGGTTGCGTCTAGCCCTTTCAGGTTGAAGTTGTCTTTCAGCGAAATGGGAAGCCCGTGGAGAGGCCCGACTGGTTTTCCTGTCTTAGCGAGGTGCTCGTCCAGTGCCTTGGCGGTCGTGAGGGCGCGCTCGAAACAGGTTTCTGAGAGGCAGTTTGTGAGCTGGTGGGCGGCGACGGCGCGCTTGCAGAAGGCTCGGGTTACGGTCTCGGACTTGAGTTCACCGGACGCGAGCTTGGGGATTAGCTCAACTGCCGACTGGTTCGTGATGGCGAGTTCCTCCGCTGTAAACCATTTTGACTCGTTCGGGAAGCTGGTGACATCGTCCTGGTCTGCGGGCGGTAGGAGCTCGCTCGGTACGCGCCACTCGTCTGGGATGGACTTCTCCAACTGCTCGCGCTTCTTAGCAGCGAGCTCCTCCCAATTTCCCTTCGACATCTTTGCTGGTAATATCCGCGAACCCTATAGAAACTTGAGGATTTCTGAGATCTGAGTAAGATATGATAAATAAACATAGAATTAAAATGCGAGCTTATAAACGTGACGTTGAATAAATATAGCTACAATCTTGACCAGGTGATATTCTTCTAGATGCGAGACTATGTCGCTTTATACGTCGGATCCTTAGGAAGCCATAATACAGTCAGTTTTTTTTATGTGCGACTTGGTCGAATATACGTGATTGGTATATATCATTAGTAATATTTAGGGGAGCATGAGGGTATCCAGCCTGAGTACCGTCGGACGCATCCGATATCGTTGGATGTTGGCGAGTTCTGCACTTTCTCCTCCTCGGCGCCGTCGTATCGCACTAATGGGGTCCGAGCTGGGCTTCCCTTTGTTCTCCGCTCTCGAATCCCTATACATAATAGTAGACAGTTTTGAATGTCCTTGACTCTTCCATCTCGCCTCGTGCGACAATGACGAGAACGTAGAATAAGAGGTATAATTTCGGAAGGAAGCCGAAAGACTAGGTATCGGCCGACACATTTATGCGTAACATGCCACAACGCCTATCTCATCAACCATTTAGGTTGGTGGATGTACTGTAGATAACAGCTGAAATTGTAGCCACGATAGCCGAGGGAGCTTCCCTTTCATGGCTATCTCCTTCCCCAATCTCCCCAATCAATCTCCAAAATCAATAGTGGGTTCCATAGATAGAAAAGCAACTCCTCCACGAATAGGAAGCAAGAGCAACGTAAAAGAAAAAAAAAGGGGGTCCGGACCAAGCCTTCTAGGGCGCTATCGCTATTATCGCAGTAACAACCAACCCCTAAGACCCCTGAAGCGAATTTCTTCCTGTGACCTGTTTTCCCTACCCGCTTCCGGTAAGGCGCCTTCTTATCTCTAGCATCTTTCCCCCGCAAATTCCAGCGCCTTGGATCTCGGGCCTTTCATATGCAGATAGCTGTCGTTCACCAGGAACACCGATGTTTTTGCAAGGGTAATTATTTGCCAGGTGAAGGTCCCGAATCCGTAGATAGATACGCGTGTCATCATAGCGCTTCAAGGTTCTATGTAGCTTGGTCGGTTGGTGTCATCCGTTGGCTGACGTATATATGATATGGCGGTCGCCTCGTATTACCAAAACAGAATCCGAAAGAAGATCACCGTCGATGCTGTGTAACAACTCCGAACGCTAGCGGAGTTTACTTTTACTTTTTCTACTTCGTTTTTTTGGTAGGATTGGGAAAAAGCCACAATCTCAAAATGGCGACAGCGACAAGATCGAGGCTCCGGGAATACTTCCACACCGAGTATCAACCCGGTGAGCGGAAGCTGGTCCAGAAAATCGATTTCTTCATCTTGACTTTCTGCTGTTTGAGCTATTTCACCAATTATGTATGTACCTCTTGTTATATTATGTCTTGCTATCCATGTCATTGATTGGATTAATTGGTTAACCATGAATCGTAAACATAGTTGGACCGGTCTAATCTCAATAATGCCTACGTCTCGGGGATGAAAGAAGACCTGGGGTTTGTGGGCAACCAGCTGAATATGATCAACACCTGCTTCACCGTCGGCTATGTCATTGGCCAGATACCCGCCAACCTGTCGCTGCATTACATCAAGCCACGATATTTCTTCCCGGCTTGTATGGTGATATGGGCGGGCTTGACGATGGTGACGGCTTCCGTGCACAAACCCCAGAGTATCATGGCTATCCGCTTCTTTCAGGGTATAGTTGAAGCTACGACTTTCGTCGGCACGCATTATATCCTGGGCTCCTGGTACACCGAGCGTGAGCTAGGCAAGCGTTCCGGCATATTCACCGCGTCAGGATTGGCGGGTACGATGATCGGAGGCTTCATCCAGACAGGCATTCACACCAGCTTGGACGGCCGGAACGGTCTCAGCGGTTGGCGTTGGCTATTCATTATAGATGGTATTGTAAGTTCAGCCACCTACTCTGAAATTCTTCCCTCTTTCTCTCGGTATCCTTATTACGAGGAAGGGGAAGGGAAGTGGTAAATGTTTGATAATATGAGATACTAACATACCATCTAGATCACGTTACCGATTGCGGTATACGGATTCATTTTCTTCCCGGATACGCCATCGACGACGAGCGCTTTCTATCTCACCGAATCTGAGAGGACATTGGCTATATCTCGGGTACCCCCCGTGGAAGATAAATCGCCCGTATCTTGGAAATTTTTCAAGAGGTGCTTCACCTCTTGGTTCTTCTGGGGATTTGTGGTCCTATGGATCATTGCTGGTGAGACTGAGTCCTTCAGTACAAACGCCCTCTTGGCCTTGTACATGAAGAGCCACCCAACAATCAAATATTCGGTCTCTCAGCTAAATAATTATCCCACCGGTATACCCGCTGTGGGAATAATATCGACTCTTTTCTGGGCTACGCTTACGGACTTCCTCAACGGCAAACGGTATCTCGTCGGTTACTTCATTGCTGTCACCGGTATCGCTACTTCTGCTATGATCCTAGCCGCTTCTAAGGACCCGACGAATTCAATGTCGACCTCGGTGGTGTTCGCTGCTTATTATTGGGCAGGCGCTGTTTACGCTTGCCAAGCTACCTTCTTCGCATGGGCTAATGATACTCTCCGGTACGAAGAACACATGTTTCGAGCCGTCGTGCTTGCCGGCATGAATTTGGGAAGTAACGCCGTGAATGCTTGGTGGAGTATTATCTTCTACGGGGCATCTATGGCACCATGGTTCAATGTAAGTTACATATTCTCGTCCTATCAGTTCATAAGTTATGGGAAGGATGTTGCACTCACTAATGTTTTTTTTATAGAAGGGTATGTGGGCCATGATCGCCGTGTCTATACTGTTGATGCTTTGGACGGTAGCGCTATCATATACAACTGCCAAGCACGAGAAGATGCGAAAAGCAGAGCTCGAGCAATCCTATGGTGCCAGCGACCGAAAGAGCGTCACTGATTATTCATGATACCTATCGCCAGGTCGATCTGGAGGGGGGTGGATATTGTAGATACTCATGATTTAAACCGTTATTGCTTTTAAATGAGAACAGCTTATATTAAATCGTTGCCCAATGTTCTTTAGGGTTGGACCGGCGACGCATGTGAATTTCCTCTCATTTGTCTGGAAGTTGGCGAGGGGATATGTCGTAGCCAATGCCAATCGTTCTAAGGCACAATCGTATTTGATCACCGTAACGCTCGAAATACCTCCTGACATAGGAATGACGAAGATATCTGGCTTAAATGTCACATTTCTAGTATGATACCTATATATTGGTCTCTCGAATAGAGCGTCGATCATTACTGCGGGTAGTGTTATTTTTCTTATTTTGTATTCGTATCTCTATGATATAATTAGGTATGATTGTTGAGATGTACTCGGTAAATAGGAATTGGCGGGTGTAAACCGGTAGAGAGGATAGAGCGACCCATAACAATCTCGAAGGAAACGCGCGCGGCCAATATGACCTCGCCAATGGTACGGAGACAAAGAAATTTGTCTATCCAGGTTATAGTTGAGATCTCGATTAAATGTTTGCTTACATCAAGAGATCGAGTCGTGGCTTTTCTCTTATTTGGCCTTGTTGTCGATAATGGACACGAAGCCGAGTTGGATCCGTCAATGTTGATTCAACCCTTATACATTATAGTCCGTTGCAGTCGGGATTGGTGGCGTAGGTACCTCGAACCGAGAACTCTGTAGCACATCATGCATATACCTACTTCGTAAGCTATACATCTTCTATTAGGCTTGACTATCCATACAACAGCTCATCTCATCCTATTTCTCCTCACGATAATAGGTGTAGCACGCGGCGAGCTCGTTGACGTGGGAGTCATCTAGTCATGTGGGGGTTGAAATTCGGCTTCTCAATGTCAAAGGCTTCGGATAGTATTTACGCCTTGGTTTTGGGGATGATCCGTGAAGGGTCTGTTGTCGTGTCGGATCTCGATAGGGGTCTGCTGAGTACAAACAGGATTGTTGTCGGCCGGTAATTTGGTCGGTTCTTGTAGTGATCTAGTATCCTGCTATTGCCCTAACGTGTACGAGTGTAGAGGAGCGCACCTAGAGACACCTAAGGACCCTAAGCTCAGGATCTAGAATAGAGAGATTCCCCTTTCATCCCTTTGATCTCTTACTATCACCATCGCCATCAAATAGTCTCTTGATCGACTCCCGAATCAGATATTTGGTGGCGACAAAATTAAAGTGTGACTGTAGCACGATCGACTACTACGTTTCTAAATTGACCATGGCCAATTCGATTTCCGACTCAAAGTGTTGTTGGGTATCACGCAACAAACGAGTCCCCACGCCGCCATGGACTTTTGTTACGAAGTATATACGCTTATACACAATACCGCATATAACGCTATGTGTATAATTGCAATAACGAGTCTACCATATACTTGCGTCATATTGCAGGCGGCAGGCACATGTCTTAATAAATACCGTTTTCCTAAAATAGCTACCAAAGAAGGACAACTCCAGATTGCGTAAATCGAGAAATGAGGTTTAGATGCTAAGTAGTACGAAGTATTTAAGTCTTCGACCATCTCAAAAAGTCATCTTACCTACCTACCTCATAGTACATGACGAACAAACTTCGGTGAGGAACTACATACTTACTATTTAACTTCAAGGTAAGGGATTTCTATCCATCCCTTCTGATTGTTTCTTTTATATTTACGCATGTGTATGTAAATGATAATGTTAGAGACTTAGGGTTTAGGTTGAGCATCTTGGTGAATGTATGTACCTAATTAGCGGCGGGTACTAACGGGAGGTCCCATATAAGATTTGCGCCACAGCCAAGTTGGGATGACAGCTCTAGAAAACAAGTTCTCATTGGTTCGGAGCGCGATCCAGACGGTTTTGATTGGTTTCTTTTATTCGCATGAACTAGGTATCAAATCCGCTAAGAGAGCTTGTGCGACTCCCGGCGGATTAGCTCTAGCCAATGAGAATTAGGCTAACTACTTAGATACCTATAGTTCGATATGGGGATCCGATCATCTCTCCACGAACCCTCCACTTCCCGGTCTCATGTCTTCTAGTAAACTTGACAAACACATCTATCCTGTTCGCTTAGTTAGCCCGGCTTATGTACAGGCAGACAGGGAATATTCAAATCCGTTAGGCCTGGATACTACTACCGTTAAAGTCACTTAGTCACGCAGTCGCTCGGTCGCTCGGTCGCACCGCTAAGGATGCGCTGCGTTGCGTGTTACGTGGTATACCTAACCGGAACCAAGCTGCGTCTTAGTCTCAAGCCTCGGCCAGATGACTGATAGACACTATCACCGGTTACTAGTAGGTACAGCAATTACTAGTATCGATAGTCCATATCTACACGCTTCCCCGAGTGATCACGCTTTAATTGGAGACCGGGCCACCAAGCACCAGACACGGTTCGGCTGAGAGAGATTAGATCCCCAGACTTCACGGAGCCTGGACCGAAACGTCCTACAGGTATGATTGGCTACATTCGATCTACCGTTTCCGATCTCGAGAGAAACCTGGCACTCATCAATACACATTCCAACTTTTTTTTTTTAACATCGCAGACTACCCGGACCAAGATGTCCGATTTCGACGTCAGGTAGACATCACCTCTGTTATGGAGTCTGTGAGTCGAAAACGACTTGTAGGAATTCGATGTCCGACAATTTCAAACGTCTACTTCCGGCACCTCTGCCTCCCGGTACCGCCCGGACACACGCACCGGAAACATCTCTCCAGAAGGAGACCGGGCCCCCCGTCAAGAAACGTACCGTCTCTAAGGCCGCATGTAACAATTGCCGTCTAAAGAAGATACGAGTGAGTTATATGCTTCCCTGCCTCAGGTTCTTGTAGCGAGTTCCACCTAGAGCTGACCTATGCCTACCAGTGTGACAGCAAGAGGCCCTGCACAAACTGTAGCAAGACTGGCGTAGAATGCAACTTCGTTACTGCTAGTAGCGACGAGACCCCCTTCATGGCTCTGAAGCGGGAAGTCGAATCGCTCAGGAGATCTACAGAGGATATGCTGCAAATATTCGATCTGTTGGAGTCCGCCCCTGATGCAGTTTCTCTCGACATCCTCAGACGATTAAAGGCTATCAGGAATCCATCCGAGGGGGTTAACGATACCTCCGACATTTTAGTATCCGTAAAGAGAGACCTCGAGGACGATCCCGTTTTGCCAGTCAAACTATCCAACCGGCAGCTCATGGCTGGCCTCATACCAGAAACCCAACAAACTCCCGAATACGAGCTAATGATGCGATGTCCAACTACTTACACTTTGCTGATACCCGTGGAGGCTGCGTTTGTTAATCTAGCCAATCTGTTACATCCAACTATTCTTGAATACCCAAAGGCCCCCAGCTTGTACGTTTTTCCTGCACCTGAATATATAAATATATACCAAGCCAAGCAACAACGGACGCTCCGCTATTAACCTGCTAACTTTCATCAATAGCGTTGGAATTGGTGACCACCCGTCATTCACAAGCCTTCCTAGTGGTTCAAACGAGAGTTCCTTTAGGGGCGGAGCGACATTCACTTCATTGGAAGCGAGGGACCATACCACAGGAAGTTCTGCGCCTTTGCAGTCGATTTACACATATGTGGACGATAGGTTAAAGGCTGTGAATTTCCAGAAATGGACCGGCGTGCCTATCCCCAACGAGCTTGCCGCAACATTGGTCTCGTTATATCTGGAAATCGATCACCCGTGGTGCCCTTTATTCGATAGTGATCTATTTCTGAATGACTGTGTGCAGGGAAACATTCATTTCTGCTCTTCTCTGCTCGTGAATGCTTTACTTGGATGGGCCTGCGTAAGTCATGACCTAAATAAGAGTCGTCACAGAAGCATGTTGAACTTTCGGCAACAATGCGTACTGACGTGACTTAGCAATCTTATTCGATGTTGAAGCCAGAGGCTAGGGAATTTATCGTTGCCTTCGAGACAGAAGCTGAGCGCCTATGGCATATAGACAAGCTCAAAAACATGCTTACCGTGGTTGCAGCTTCTCAGCTTCTAACTAGCATATCAGCATGTCGAGGTCGCGACGAGTTCGCAAACGAATGTTTAGAAGAAGGCATACAGATGGGGAAACGCATGGGTCGTAAGTTCAACCTGAGAGCATACCGGCTAGGTTAGGCATGGTGGCGATGCCATATATAATTCCGTGTTTGTGCGGAATTATGTACCGGATAAGTCGAGAATTAGCTAACCCTGGACACCATAGTCTTCGGAGTGCCTTCTGAGAAGTCCTCGGCTTCAAGCTGGCTTGATCATCACAAAGACTGGATAAGAGCTGCGTGTCATACCTCAGTACGTAAACCGAGTGCCCTTCGTCCACTCAGCTGTCCTCCCCGGGGAGAAACAACTTCTGAGTTGAGCTAATTGAGGAGTGATGGCCCCCGAAACATGCTCGAGGCCCCTTAGCACTCTTTCTCTGAGAATATACTACTGACTTCCATTATTCTAGTGGGGTATTTTTTCATGTGCTTGGTGAGTTTCTCTACCGCTAAGAATTGCGATATCGAATTACCTATTGTATATTGTGTATACTCATCCATGATAAATAGTATACGTTCATTGCACCTTCATCGAGCGGAAATCGACGTGCCTCCCCTGCTACCTATGCCTGGAGAATATTCCGAGTCAGGTAGCCACTCCCATTTTGCTTATCTTTCAAATACCTTGCCAGCCAATGAGGCATTCAGAGCAGTGTGTAAATTCAGTCTTATTGTCCATGAGATTATCTTGGCCTATTTTGATGGGGGTGATATTGTTCCTGCCGCCCGGGCTACTATTGAATTCGCGGAACAAATATATCAGAAACTATTTGACTGGGCAGCATCGCTCCCCCTAGAACTAGCGCGGGGGAGACGCAACCACCACTCGACCTTGATGCTACAGTAAGGACCCCTTGATCAATAGCTACCTCGACATCTACTTGCAGTCTCCAGGGCTGGTTTCACTATCATTGGTTTTGAGTACCCCGCATAATCCTAACACGTTTTCCGTAGTCTTTATTTTCACTGTACGGTGATGGAGCTATTTTGGCCATTTCTGCAACAGCATGGAGACAAGGAGATAAAAGTGACCCACCTCACTATCACTACAGCCACCACACAGGAAATACATAAAGCCTCTGTGAACCAGCTCAAAAGGCTAGGCCTCATTTACTGCATTGAATCCAACAACCTGTGCTTATCGACATTGTGGCATATTGCTCTCCTTTACCTAGCTAACGCAATGCTCTGTGAGACTATGCGTTCCGGAAATTTGCGAGATCCGGAAAGATGGTTCTACTTCATGCTCTGCATGACCTGCTATGAAAATATGTGGTACGTGACCCATGATTTCTTACTCTGAGGGATTTATCATTCCATCCTAGAGCTTGCGGGTTTTAAGCGATAAATATGCGAATACTGACTCCCTCTTAGTACGTAACGCTGTCTCTTCATGCCTTCTTCTTTACATCACTTGGCCGTAAAGTTGATAGTGTCTATTTATGCCTTTTTTTTTGGAGACTATTAAAGAATCTACCATGAAATTCGGGAGAGAAATACTGATTCCATGGTAGACGGTTCTTTTCAAGTGGTCGAAATCACGATACTCGGACTGTTAAGTATGGCCTTACGCAACGGATTCTTGTCTGCTTCAGAGGCACATGCAATCCTCAAAAACATGAGGCGGATAGGTCAACGATACGGTTCCCAGCTCGCAGTCCGAGCAAGCTTTATGGTCGACCTTGAGCTTGCGATGACGAACCCCAAGGAGGCGCAAGTGCAGATTCTGGCGGATGCTTTCCATGAGCTAGCAACCTTTCGGGAGTTTACTACCGACGAGCTCAGGTAAGCAAGGGCTCGATACCTGTGGGAAGAGCAGCCAACCATCCCACTAACAGCATAAGACCCTCTAGTATGAAGGGTTAAAAAGCAATCAACCTTGTACCAATGAGATAAATCCTTTTTATATGGGACATCGCTTTAACCAGAGGGAATGAGAAGCTCGCGCGCTCTTCTCTAACCCATCAAATCGACGATTGTTTATCTTCCATTAAAGTCCTCGTGTAACTTAGCTACAAAATGGGGAGGTTAGCTAGTCCGGCTGACAGGCAAGTCTACTGACACTGACCTTTGATATTTGTATTCGAGAATTGGCCGTGATTATATGTAAATATATCGCGCAAATCTCAATATCAAGATATTGCTAAAGAAAACAGAACCGTGCTATTCAGGTAGCAAGTAAAGGCTGCCACGCGATGGTGTCTTCGAGTAATCACATGTGTGAAATCCCCATAACTCACACAAGCCTCACATAGCCTCGAGACAGCGATAAATTCTCCGTTTATCGAGATGGCTATCGTCCTTGATATCAAGCCCATCTACAACTACCGTCAGACAGGTCCTCGTCGTATCTTACGCCGACAGACCACCACCCTTCAAACCCTTCCGATCGGTTACTAAGCCCACACCTCCCTAGCCTTTCCGAAGAAGAATACATAATATCCCTACACCTCGATTTTAAACAATATCCTTTCCACTTGGTAGAGTCTACATCTTCTATGCAGTCTCGATCCCACCGACCTACTCCTAGTCAATCAGAATATAACAAATTCACCAATAACCATCTTAAAATCAAGCATGCCGCCGATTAAGTACGATATACTATTTTCGAGACGAGAGAGCACACAATAAATAGGGGGAAAATCGCAGTATATATAAGACAATTGATCTCTCGAATGGAGTTATCGAGGAAGATCCTGAATAATTTCAGTAGGAAGCATACGACTATGCTTCCAAGGGATATGTGTATCAGATCACGACTCTCTCGCCCTTTGAGACCCAGATCCTAGCACACAGCTTAATACCATTTCCATTTGGGAGCAATGAAAAATTACGATGGTGACGATTTAAATAGATATCTTTCGGGAAGGCTGGGGCTATATCTTTATCTACAAAAGATACAATCGATCAGCCGCCATCGGATGTCCGATGTGTATCCAGGTACCTCATAGCTAGACGCATATGCCGACCTGCCTAGTACCTAGTAGGATCTGTGTGTATTATACAGATCTCAGATCTAGTTCATTAGAGAATAAACCCGTGCGGCAAGTCGCCCCCATAATGGGTTAGGGTACAAATATAATAGAGCAACTCCCAATCCGATGAGTTCGAAAGGGGAGCACTTTATAAAACGCCAAACTAGCGGTACATATGCATAAGCGGCCGCCGGCTTGCATAGGGCATAGTAGGTACATTGCCATGAATAATGGTAACTAAATGGTATGATAATCGATTTAGACTACGGCCTTATCACGCCGCCAGATAGACTTGCATGAGGACTTACCAGATCGGGAACAAGAAGGCCGAGCTAATAGCGCCGGTATGCTGGACCCAGCGCCTATTACGTGGGGTAAACGTCCTGTGAGAAGGGTCTATTATTCATATTTCTTGGTATAATTCTTAGCATGCTGGGTACTTTGAAAAAAAAAATTAGAAGAGAAGAAAAAAAATGTCGATGAGGTGCGGGGATGGGCTTGCGATTTAAACCCTCTACTCCTCGAGAATAGAGATGGTCTGCGAGAGTGCGAAATTATAGTTTTTGCCCTGTATCTCCCGGGCGTGCGACAGAATCTCCAACTCAGGCATCCCGCGAATCTCACATCCCAGCCCCTAACCCCGCCACCCTCACAAACGACCGCCACCAAGACTCGCGATGCCGCGACTCTCACAATGTACGCTCCCCCTCCCGGGGCGTCTAAAAGCACTACCCCTCCCCGTGATCCGCATCATCGGGGCCGTCGTATTCGGGAACATGATATGCTGGGCGGCCGTAGGCGTCGTGCTGCACTACTACCCAGCGATGATCAGCCCGGCCGTCCTCTCCTACACCCTCGGGCTCCGACACGCACTAGACGCGGACCACATCAGTGCCATCGACCTCATGACGCGACGTCTCATCGCCTCGGGCCAGCGCCCCGTAACCGTCGGCACGTTCTTCAGCCTCGGACACTCCACCATCGTCATCATCACGTGCATCGTCGTCGCCGCTACCTCCGGCGCTTTACGCGATCGCTTCGATAACTTCCAGTACGTCGGGGGTATCATAGGCACGAGTGTCAGCGCGGCGTTTCTCATCCTGCTTTGTCTGGGGAATGGATGGGTTTTGTATCGCTTGGTTAAACGTCTGCGTAGTGTGCTTGCGGAGGAGGACCCCCATCACCCCGAGAGCGAGGGCGAGGATGAGGACCAGGCGGCGACGAATTTGCAGCTTGAGGGCGCGGGGTTCTTGGCGGGTGTTTTTAGGAGGCTTTTTCGCATCGTGGATAGGCCGTGGAAGGTGGGTTTTTGGTGCCTGGTGTTTTCTTGCTGTCCTGGGCAAGTGTTGACTTACTGTGTTAGATGTACCCCCTAGGCGTCCTCTTTGGACTGGGTTTCGATACGAGTTCCGAGATTGCTATTCTGGGTATTGCGAGTATCCAGGGCGCACAAGGGACGAGTCTTTGGATTATCCTTATTTTCCCACTATTGTTCACAGGTATGTTTAAGGCGAGAAACAAGGATATGTGCTATGTTATATTGACATTTTCTACTTTTAGCGGGCATGTGTATGCTCGACACGACCGACGGCGCCCTGATGATGGCATTATACACCTCCAAAGCATTTGCCCGGGATACCGTCGCCATACTCTATTACTCCATCGTACTAACCGGCATCACGGTCGTGGTTTCGGCCTTCATTGGTATCATCCAGCTGCTATCTCTCGTCCAAAACGTCGCCGAACCCGAGGGCTCTTTCTGGGATGGCTTAAGTGAGATTAGTGACCACTTCGAGATCGTCGGCGGTTCTATTTGCGGTCTTTTCCTCGTAGCTGGGCTTGGGTCTGTGCTTATTTACGGACCTTGGAGACGGAGGGCTGAAAGAAGGAGAGCGGCGGCGGCGGTGAGGCTGCCGAGCGATGATGCTGGTGGCGAGTTTCGAGATGTGGAGAGTTGATCTACTGGGGTCCGTTTAGTGCTAAAGTGAAGAGACATGGTTATATACCCAGGCATGTGATATTTGTCGTATAGACATACCGATATCTATAAACTTAGAGGGAACACATACGGATCACTGATGGCACTTTAGGGTTGCCTTGAAGAAATAGCATCGCATATCGAACTTAATCTAAGAATCAACTCTGATGCAAAGAACTGTATTGCCTGATCACTTATAAAAACGAGGAGAGACCCGGAGAATACGCAGCATTCTCGTACCTCTACAACTAAACCGACTCCTCTCCTCGCCCCTTTCGCCCCAACGTCCACCCAATGCGTACCTAGTAAAACCCCATACCCAACCCGACTACCCGTTCGTAAACCAACGGGCGAAAACCACGCCCATCCATCCCACTGATACATAACGTGGTATTTACTAGGGAAGTCGGAGCGGTTCGTTCAGTCATGAATCTTTGGCGTGTCGTGTCGTCTCGAGAAAAGAAAAAAACTGCCGATGGGAATGAGAAGAGAAAATCTAGCGGCAGAGCGGTATCCGTGCTCTAGAATTGAATGGAGAAAGCGACTATCGGAAATGGAAAACGTAAACGCGATGCGATGCTATGCCGGTCGATGCTCTTAGAAATCACATGTTTTTGGACGTAGGAAAGGGGGTGGGGGTTGGTGAGCTTCATGACGACTTCTCGTTATCCCGGTTCTGTTCGGGATGTTGGGGGGTACACGATTCCCGCGAGTCGGCTGTTGAGTCGGGAGTGAGGATGGGTGTTTCGTCTGACGAATCGGAAGCATCTGACTTGGCGCAGTCGTCTTTATCGTCGTCCTTATCCTCGGACTTCTTGTCGACATCCGCATCTTTCTCATCGTTACAACCCTTCTTCTCGTCGTTATCTTCCTTAGGCTCGTCATTGACGGGCTTCTCTTCATCCTTCTTCTCATCAACCTTATCTTCTTTCTTCTCTTCTTGGTTCTCCTCTATCTTCTCTTCTCTCTTCTCTTCTTCCTTCTTCTCCCCTTCACCCTCCTTCTTCTCCGCATCATCATCAGGAGCGACGATCTTCTCCTTACGAACAGCCTCGCCGTCGACGATCTCGACCTCATCCGTAACATCCTGATTCTTCTTCTCGCGCTCACCACCAGCGTTCATCTGCGCGTTATCGATATCCGCCGGTCCCTTCTCACCCATACCATTCTCCGCCATATCGCCTCCCTCGAGCACGACGCGCAAGTCTAAGTCCTCGTCCTTCGAGTACACCCGGAACCCGATGATGCAGATGGCGTTCCACGGGTCTGGAAGACCGGACTCGCCGTCGCTTTCGACGGCGTTGTCGGCAGTTGTGGTGGTGGGCTGCGTTGTTGCCATCCGCGGTTTCCTAGTCATGTCGTCGGATGAGTACAGGAGCTCCCAATCTTCAACTGGGCTGTCGGAGGAATCGCCGTCTGACGAGTAGGCGGGAGGTGTGGGCTGCTTCTGTCCACTGCCTGCCTTAACCGTAGCGGTAGCGGTGGCAGTAGCAGTAGTAGTTGCATCGCCATCCGAGGCAGTTTTGTCTTCAGCCGGCTTCTCCTCAGATGCCTTCTCGTCAAGTTTTCCCTCCGGTTTCTTCTCGTCGGGCTTTTCCTCGGACGTCTTCTCTTCAGGCTTAATCTCCTCCTTCGGCGCTTCGGCGACATCTTCCTTCGGGGTCTCGACGACGTCCTCCTTTGGCTTCTCGGTTTTGGCATCTACGGTAGCATCCGCAGTAGCTTCTTCCTTCGCAGCGTCTTTGGGGGCGTCTTCAGACTCCTTCGGCTTGTCAGCAGACTCGGAACTAGTTGCCTCATCTTTGGCTTCTGTGGTTTCCGCAGCTTCCTTAGCCTCCTCCGTCTGGCTGCTCTTGTCTTCGCCCGACTGACGATCATCGGTCTGAACCGCCACATCCTTCGGCTTCTCCTCTTCAATCTTCTTTTTCTCAGCCGCCTCAGCCTCTTCTTTCTCCTTCTTCTCTGCATCAGCCTTCGCCTTCTCTTCATCTTCCTTCTTCTTCAACACCGCGGCTTCGGCCTCAGCTTTGGCTTTCGCGGCATCTTCCTCTGCCTTCTTCTTCTCTGCCGCGATCTTCCGCTTCTCGTCCTCGGCCTCCCGTCGCTTGTCGCGCTTCTCTTGGTTCTTCTTCGTCTGCTTCTTCGTGATGTCGCGGTTCAGATGGCGCTTCTCCCACATCTTGCGGCGCTCTTGCATGCGCGAAGAGCTGGCCTTCTTTTGGTCCGTCTTCTTGCGCAGCTTGGCGACCTGCTCGAGATGCGCGACGCCCTTGCTATGCGCCAAGTCATACGCGTATCCTACTTGAGCCAGTTTCTCATTTTCTACTCTCTTGAGACACTCTCGCTTGACAATGTCCTCTATAGAGGACATATCAGTGTCGCGCTCAGCCATGATGCTGATAAATATAGAGTAGTTGCCAGGCTCCATGCACGGGATTTCGATCGAGACAGATCGGTCCATCAGGTAGTTGCCGTGGGATCTGACGATGTAATCCTCGCTATCCGGTCGACCTTGTTCATGGACTCGGAAGTGCATTCGGAAGGTATACTGACCGTGTAAACCCTTGTAGTACCGGTTGTCAAGCTGCTGAAGTACCAAGACCAAGGGAGACTCCTTGGTTAGCTTGAAGTGGAATTTCTCGTTCCATTGCTGCTTCCACGGAACTTCCACGCCGATCCATCGCTGACAGCATCGCCAGTCGGGGTTCTTGAAAAGGCGTGTTCGGTCGAAGTGCTGGTATTTCTCGAGCATGTCCTCGTAGGTAATCCAGAAGACCGAATCGTTTCCGAACTGATGGCCGAGCTCATCTTTAACATCATTATTCCACTCCTTGGAACCATCCGACCACGGACCTTCCCATATTCCCTTTCGGTTCTTACCCCAGGGGTTGCTAATTCTTTAGTTAGGACTGAAGAGTGTGGTAATACTATGTGTGAGGACTTACCGGAGCTTCACAAGTCTCTGTCCACTCTTTAATGTTCTCGCGTCCATCACGACGTAGGCGTGTCCCTCGCAAATACCATTGCGTTCACCGTAGCCACCATCAAGCAGGCCAGTAGAGCAGCCGAAAAGGAACTCCTTGTTAACCTTACTAAACTCCTGATCCCAGAACTCGTCGATATCAAGTATGTCAGAAGCCAGGAGCTCGGTAGTGACACCACCAGAAAGATCTTCCAATCCCTCGCCGATCCAACCACCAGATAGAGAGCCGTAATCACCGTGAGCCTTGGCATAGGCCTTTTCGAGCAACGGAACCCAGGTTTCATGCTGGTCTTTGCACTGGCCGAAGAACAACGCCTTGGATCCCGTCTGGTACGTCTTACGGTACACCTTCTCCGGGTCCTCACGGTCGATCTGGTTTAGCATCTCGCGCTGCATGCTCGGCGAATCCCAGCATGGCGAAGTTAGATAGAGCTTATCGTCGATGATGGAGTAGATCCATTCTCCGTCTCGGTAGAATACGAATCCATAGATTCCAATACCTATAATAGCGTGTAAGTATCAGGCAAGGGGAGGGAGAGGAGGATAAAGTAAAACATGGCGAGATATAACTTACGTGTGTCGTATTCAACGCACATGCGCTTAAGTCCGTCTTCGACATTGGCGAGTGCACTCAAGCTAGCAATAAGCCAGCAATCGCCGAGCGAGCCTTGCTTCACATTATCCGCAGCCGTGTTCTTCATGAACGTCGGCTTCTCAAAGATCTCGTGCACCCGCTTGACGGCTTTGGGGACAGACTTGTTACAGCTGTGCCTAGAATTCAGAAGATCGTATCTGCGTGATCCAAGATAATTTAGACAATTTCCCTTGAACCACTTCAGGTCCCAGTCCTAGTAAAGAAGAAAATTGTTAGTACGTAGCTTGTTTTGAGGGAGAGAGGAAATGTGTGAAACGTACCAGGTCAAAGCCGGGATCCCGGTATCGGGTGTTCACGCGCTTGCATTCCGCAATGATCTTTTTCACCTTGCGCGAACATTCATCTCTTGCTCGCTCGTACCCCGCGGATAGAAGTTCATTGGGACGTTCGGGGGTGCTTGGAAGAGGCACGGGATCGAAAGGAAGGATGGCGAGTGCCTTGGTGAATTCCTTTGTCGTGAAGCGCCTCCATATCCGATTAATGCTTTGTTGTGGCGGTGGCTTGCGCTTCTTCTTCTTTTTCTGATTCTGCGTGGTCGTGGTGGTCGCAGCCGCTTTTCGTGGAGGTTCATCGGAGTCGCTCGAGGAGCTGTATCCGAATCTTGTAAGGTCTCGTGTGATGGCCGGTATCTGAGACATGTTGAAGGTAATGGATGTGATAGTGCTTTGTGTGTACCACTATTAAGTATAATAACTTAATATCGGGTGAATTATGATCTCGTAGATCTGGGGACTGCTAAATGATTTAATTCGACGATTAGTTCGAGTCCAGAAAGCCGAGTGGCTATGTGCATGCATTCACGATCGGACTATTGGTCATTGGTAATTAGGTACTCACAGCGATTATGGCGAATAAAAAGCTTGACTGCAAGCAATGGCTGAATGGTACGATAAAGTGTCAAGTTCAGAACGCCTAACTCCAGGCAATGTTTATAAAACAAGGTGTGAAAGAAAATTGGCGTCTTTGGATGTGATAGACGAGGCTGTACGAGAGTCAAGTTATTGGGTGGTTCATGTATAAGTAAGTAAGTGCGTTAAGGACTTTTAATAAGTGAAGGTAACGACAAGGTGTAAGCTGAGTATGCGGAGTGCATGCAGGTTTAAGAGAAAAGAGAGGCAGAACCGATTCACCGACAATAAGGTAGGAGGGCTGTCAGGGCTACTATAAGAGCCTCGACAAAAATCATGGCCCCAGTGGCCGGAGTCGCCTATGGTTACCTTGATTGGATTGTCGTCGAAGGTCGTGCATCACTGGCAGATGGCACTGGACTGGAATACTGCGTATGTGGGGAAATGACTACTAACAATCCCGATGACTAGGGACATATGTATGTATGTACAGTACAGTACAGAGTAGAGTAAAGCAACCAATGACGATCTATCAGGTGAGGGTGGACGATGCATGGACGATGCATGATAACGAAGCAAACGATATGTAGTAATGTACTATGTAAAAGGCTGGCTTATTTTCAAGGCAAGGCTCAACAAGTGGCCTATGAGAGCTGAACAGGGGTCCAGATCCGGCCAGCCGAGAGACGGTTCACCGTGCGCATAGCCGCATAAGCATGGATCCATGTTCATGGAGGTTTATTCCAATGTATGTACACATGTTAGTACGCCGTATGTAGAGTCATACAGACATAGATGTACATGTTAGTGACAATACTAGGTACATACCTACTAGGTACTATAATCAGTAGTAAAAACATCAGGACTACCTACCTAACTAGCGCCTCCTGTCCGCCTGCAGAAAAACGGTGACTCTTGTTGGGGGTTTGGACCCTGGATGTGGGACAGCGGAGCGATCACCGGCGGAGACAGGCAGAAAGGACGCCAACTAGAAGCAGACAAGCAGATCCAGGATCGCCAGGGTCAGGGTCAGCATCAAGGTCAGGGTTCCCCCAAGGTTACCCCCATTTTAACCCCCATATTCCTTAGAAGGGGAGTATTCAGAAGTTTGAACAAGCAAAAAAAAAAAACAACCCAAAAAAACCTAGACCGCATATTCGATCTTCGAAGAGACTAGTCTCACGGTACCTCCTAATTAGTGTTAGTCGGCTAGTCAGGAAGAATATTTCTAGACTCATACCTAGACTCATACATAGACTTCTAGACTTCGAGACTTCGAGAATACAATAACCCAAAGACTTGGTAACACAGATCCGAGGAAGATGTAAGATGTGTAAGCACATCTACACTACCTACATCAGTAGTACATATTCCGTGCGGGTACTTAGTATTCCGTATGTTTGTGCGAATACACTAATCGTCATGGCTTGCCGAGCTCGTTTCGGCTTTTCCCTTGCTAGAAGATTTGTATGACCTGGCTGCCTGGGGGAAAAAAAGAATACCTAAGAGAAATAGAAGGAATCAGGGGAATAAGAGAACAATAAGCTGCTTGCTTATTACATATGTGTTAGCCCGTGCCAAATTGTTTTTAGCCCCCCATCATTCGTCAGCTAGAGGTCGGGTGATCCGAACCTCGCATATCTCGCCGTCTTTCCCTTGCGAGACCAAGCGAATCCGGTAGGCAGCCTACCTAAGCCGCATCCTCGAAGCAAGCCAAAACCAGAATACGGGCTTCCGGTTTCTTAGCCTTAAAGATGCTTACCCGCTCTGTATTGCACTTACATAGTACATATGCTGTACGCCCTTGCCCTACTGCCCTGCTGCGCGTGTGCTCTTCTGCCTGCTTCATCTTCTCCACAATACCGATTCATCCCGTCACGAGGCACGAGGCATGAGGTTTGCCAAATCTACTAGGTAGTCGTCGAATAAGCTGTGCAATGCACCCAATTACTGTACCGTTGACGCATTTTACAATCCGGCACATCAAACCAATTAAGGAAAGCCATGTAAGTTGAAACCCGCCCGCATCTGGACAAGCGCATATGGCGAAGCAATGCCATGGCACCAGTCGACATGTCGAGTTCTTTTTCGATTCGTTGTCGAATCCCATTCAAGTCCCACGGTCCAAAGGGTGGCTCCGGCACGACATCCACGCATCCAAAACATCCATCCAAACATCCGCCGGTTCCAGTGCCACGACTCAAGCGCCGACTGACCAGTAGCGCATAATCGTGGACCGTCCCCAGACTTTGTCAAATCTTGAACCAGCGGCGGGACTTCCGTCCTGTCGGGACAAGGATACCTGCCCTACATAATATTAGACTACCAATTTTGGGGACGGACGGGATTTTCTTTATCAGTCAGATCATATGTAATTCGAACTGCAAATCCGACAAGACCTGCTGTGCTACATAATACGGTGCTACCCTAGCCATGTATGCAATTCAATTGATCCTCTGACAGTGCAGCATATAACGAAAAAAAAAATTGAAAAATATGTATGGGTGCAGCAAGGCGAGCTGCTGTGTTCTCTTCCAATGGATAGCAGTTCATTGTTCACGTCGTATTTATCCTACACGTCCGATACCTGGTTAAACGGGCTGCAATGTCGGAGACTGGCAGCAGATCGCCAACCGGTAATTATTCGCGTCGTATCAAGTCCGATTCGCAATCCTCTCCCAACGTTCTGGGTCGTCCTACTTGTCTAATCCGGATATGCCGTGTGTAGTATCGTGAATTGAGTGATTGGCGGCGATCGTCTCAGGCCGGTATCTGGCTAGAATCCTCCATCAAGGTGCGTGGCGTGATATCAACACTTCGGGGGACGAAGAGGCAAAAATGTAAAAAATAAAAAAGATAACTCGAGTTGTCGAACGGCCTTGGAAGGAGATGCCGAAAGCGGCGACGCAACGCAACTTGACGACCGAGTCAGCTTGGGTTGCATTGTGGATTGCCGATCAGATCAGCGAAACCCACTTGGCTTGAAATAATAATCCCGGTTGTTCTTTTTTCCACTTACTTGTTTTTTTCTTTTTTTTTTCCTTTTTTCCCTTTTCGTGGTGTGTCCGGTTTTAGTTCCCGCGATCCGAAAAGTCAACCTCACGACATAGCGGCGATATAAGAGGCATCCGGCCCCCGCTATGGGGTCTAGGCATCGGACTAGGCTGTCACGACACGTGCTTTAAGGTTTAGTATCGTAGGCATCCCTCGCACGTAATTGCCATCAAAGTGTAACAATGGTTGTACTTGCCTAAATAGATACTTCCAACCTACGCAAGGGTATTTCCTCCTTATCTTCAGGGCTGTCATCTGTCAACTATACAAATCACTTTCAAAGTTAATATGTACTCGCTACCTACAACTACAATGCTTGCCCCCAAGCTTGCCTATTAATAGAATTCTTGAATCGACCTTGACATCGCCGTAATATACAATATCTAACACTAGGTACTCTAATAACGAAACGGCACTTGTGTAAGATGGGGCCGAAGCTGAATACTTAATTTTTTACACTTTTCAAGATGTCCTGTCGTCGGGCGACGTTTAAAAATGGACAATCTTCGATAATACTGGGGCGCTGAAACATGGCTACATATGAGGTAGATATCATGTCTGTCTTCGAGTTGTCAGATGGTCTCAAATAAGGATTCCAATATACCGAAAAGGAGGGTTCGCCAATCGGAATCGAACTTGCATTCTAGCTCACGTCGACCCTATAAGAAACTTACGTGAGGCTCTTCGGTATTTCAGGGCATAGCCCGGACTTAATTGTAACTTATCAGATATGACTACGCAACAACCCACGAGGGTTGCGAGGAACTAATGCTATCGCATGATCCATATTGAGGGTTGACCCATTGTCCTGATCACCCACTCGGTATAGAACTATAGGTGGATAATTACTGAGAGCTGTTGCCTACATATAGGGATAGGTGCCTCATAGTTATTGTGGTTACGAAGGCGTGCCGTTGATATAACCTATTTCACAGTTGAACATGCGCCCTCAGCCCTCACAGTGTTACACGTAAGGTAAGCAACATGTATGTTCCCTGATTGCTTACATATTGTTCGGTGAAAGCAACAAGGGTTATACTTCTCATGACATCAATCAGTCACATAGACACCTGATATGTATCCGAGGAAATTCTCTCGGTGTGCTGCGGTATCTAATCTCAAATTAAAGCTTGGCATTGTAAAGTAATCCAATATGTTATATACATCGTGTATCGAGGATATGACTTCTCCCTTGAAAAAGACAAGAGATCAGGGGTCATCTACGTGTTAGTATCTGATCATGTAGGGCTAAGAATGAGTAATTGTTCATCGTATATGAAAACATTACCACATAGCTTATCACAGTATACAACAAGTGGTTGTTGTATGTGACCCTTGTCATCCTCCTTTGGTTTTGGAAACGAAAACGCCAATTTTTCTACCCAGTGCTGGTTTTTCCTGAGTAATCCAACCATACCGAACCATAAATGCTTTCATGTAGGGCAATTATATACAAACCCAAACACCATTGATTTTTTTTCAATGCCCAATCCTTTTTTAAGCCGATAGATGCAATTATCAGAAGAAAAAAAATTCAATATTTCCTCCCTTTATGGAAGGCCCGAGGTAGCGCGTTGTAGGAGGGGTCGATCATCTAGTAGTCGCTCGTCGATGCTAGCCTCTTCGTCATCGAAGACATCATCATCTTCGTCCACAGAGGCGTCTTGGCTATAGATGAAAAACTGGGCAAAAATCCCCAGATCAAGGATTAATGTCCCCAGGCTACCAGCCAACCATGAAAGGTTGACAAGTATGTATCTTCCGTATATCCTCTCCGACTCACCAGGCTGGCAATGTAGACCAGCACAGTGAGGCTCGTATGCGAAGATTGAAAGTACATATGTCAAGTTTCCAAGGCAAGCAAAGAGGAAGAACAAGATGCTCACCCCCTCAGTTGATTTGCGACGCCAATTAAGTAGTAGTTGGGGGAGACGCGAGCCAAGGTAGAGAATAGCGCATAGCCAACCGAATATTTGACCCAGAACGTCGAACGAAGGGACGCCCCCATCCGTAGGCGATTTGGGTTGGCCGTTTGCGTATTGCCTGCTGAGAAACCACCCAAGCACACCAGCTACGCAGACCATCAACACGGCCACCGAGTTCCAGATAACCGATTGTAATCTCGTCGGTGTAGGTGGGGGCATGACTGGCGGTTCCGATACTAATGGCACTGCAGGACTTAAGTGAGACCACCCACTACCTCTTCTTCCATGTTCGTCTAAGCCGTTACTCAACAACCCAGTTCTCTCGGTGGGCTCTCCAACGTTTAGGGCGCGACGTGGTTTCGGTTGAGGTGATGGCAGCTCGTCCTTCCACGTAAATCCTTTGTAATAAAAGCATTGCGCTAATAGGACGAAGTCGGCGATGGTGTAATAAATCGCAAGAATGAGCATGGTTGGTAGGACTCCTTGGAGAATAGCGCCGAGAATATTAAAGACATCCCCAAGTAGCCAGAGGATAATGAAGGGGACGGAGAGGCCATTCGCGGAGCTTCGTCGGAAATTTTCGATAATCTGCGGAGAGAAGACTACAACCCAAGCTGCAATTGAGATAGAACTGTAGAAAAGGCACAAAAGTATTAGCATATAATTCTAACTATAATCCTAACTCTAATTGTTATGACTTCTCACCCGCAGATACCCGATATGGCCTCGACATCGAGGTTGAGAGGCGCCGTGGGAGGCGCCATCCTACTTGGGAAGTCCGAAAAAAGCAAAGGTCGTGTAACAAGATCGAGATCGAGATCGACGCCAAGGGAGCTCGTAGATCGAAGTTTTTAAATGGTAGCTAGATTTTGGAAGATATAAAAATGATGACAGTAGTAGAATATTAGAAATAGTGATTCTACAGAAATGTAAGAGTATACAAAAGAAACAATTTGGCTCATAGAAAGGAAATTTTCATGGAATGATGGAGCTGAGAAAGTTGCGCCGACACCAACGCTTTGGAATAAATGAAACTTGCCCACTTAAGATTAGTTGCTGGTTCCAATGACGCTCAAATCACCCCACATTCTACATTCCACCTTCATGCATTCTGTGGGGACCCCTTCCACTTTCCAATTCAACTTAGAACCTGAATTCAGCACTGACAAAACCGACAGGGCGATAGATAGGGCGATAGGGCTGCGGCTACTTGCCTAATTTTTGTCCAATTTGAGATATATTACACGAAAACTTTGTTCTTTCCATTTTAAAACTCTTTTTTCAACTTTTATCATTTAAAAGTCAACTGAGAGTTATTACCATTTCCTACTACCTCCCATGAAGGTCTTAGCGAATGTTGTAGCGAACATCTCAATGTTTTGTTTACTCCAACCTCTTAATTAGTACCTACCTAGGTATCCTACATTTAACCTCGGCGGTACCTTGCGTGGGTTCCTGCAGGTGTAGTTGGGGTTCGCAGCGAATGGTGAAAGGAGAAATATCTTGTCGCCGCAAACGCCGTTCATCGGCGAAAGACACTGGTTACTCTCCGTACCACCTAATATTGACAATTAATCATCAAGATATCGCAATGAGACCCCGCTCCTTTGATCCTTTGATAACTTTGGAAATGTCGAATTACTCCCGAATTACTCAGCAGGTATCGAGGACAAACACCGATTTATTCACTTAGCCTTACCAATCAATCCAACGCATGAGGTTTACTAACTCCAGTAAACCCGATATAATCACTACGCTCTTATTTTCCATGCTTACCTACATGTAGGTAGCTTCTTATTTTAAACCACGTATTTTGTATATTTCCACTAGCCTTAGTATTCTGCCAAGATAAACGAGCACAAGCCTTCTCACTTCACAGATTGTCTAAACTACCGCAAGCTTCAAACAAAAGTCTTATCAGCCGAAATTAACAAACTTAAAGTAAAATTTAAAGCGTAATGGGGCAAGCGATTCCGGACCTCCCGATCCTCGCTGAAGACGACTCGATGTTGTCCAGAAAATTTGGTCGCGAGATTGCCAACTATTTTAGCGGTAGCCCTCTGAATCGAGTTTCATTCTTAAGGACCGATTATGGCTTCTTGCGCGCTGCTTTCGCTCACCCCAGCGCATCGTTCCTACTATTGAACAACTTATCGCCGCTTGCGAAAGATGCCGCAAACTTATCCTACGTGAATAAGGACGTAGTCATACCGCTAACCGGCGAAGAGCCCTTCAAAACTTCCGAGGAGGAGCAAGTAAAGGGGTTTAACTCGGACATTACACAGTCCGTCATCTTGTTCCTTGGCATCGACGAGAAAAAAAATGGATTCGAGTATCGCGAGTATAAAGGCAAACCATATTTCGCTGTGGACGTCACTCCGAAAGGCACTACCTCGGAGAAGGCTACAAGTATCATTGATATTGTCAAAACTAATGGCGTTTCTTTCATCGATGGGAGGAGGCTCTTGTCTTTAAATGCCCCTGAAGGTACGCACTAGCCAATTTGAATCTTGTGTAAAAACCAGTATGCTCACTATAAACAGCGGCGATATTCGCGGAAGCTCGTGCTTTGTTAGATTGGAATGCTCGGAATCCGTTCTGCGGCGGCTGTGGCAAGCCGACGTTATCTATTAATGCCGGATGGAAGCGAGTCTGCCCCACGTCGGATTTAGCAGGCGTCCCTGAAGGTGGCGCTGCGACGGAGAGAGCAGACTGCCCTACACGGCACGGCGTGAGCAATCTCTCTTTCCCGCGAACAGACCCAACTGTCATCATGGCGGTAGTCTCAGCCGACGGCAGCAAGCTCCTCCTCGGTCGAAACAAACGCTTCCCTCCAAACTGGTATAGTACATTAGCGGGGTTCCTCGAACCCGGCGAGTCCATCGAGGAAGCGGTGCGGCGCGAGACTTGGGAGGAGAGCGGCGTGACCGTCGGCCGTGTCGTAATCCACAGCTCGCAACCGTGGCCCTACCCGGCAAACCTGATGATCGGCGCGATTGGCCAGGCAGCTCCAGGAGGGGAGACTATACATCTTGGTCACGACGAAGAGCTAACCGATGCCAAGTGGTTCACTTTAGACGAAGTACGAGAAGGCATCGCGAATGGTGTCAGCGCTCTGGGAGATCCGGCGCCTTCGGAATACAAGGAGGGTTCCTTAAGACTACCGCCACAGACGGCTATTGCCAATCAGCTGATACAAGCTGTTCTGAAGGGCTACCTGGACATAGTGCCGAAGATTTAAGGGATCGTATTTGAAGCATATATGGAAAGCGTGGATATAGACGTAGGGCCGTTACATTATCATGAGGTGTGAAGGGTTTGATGAGGTTGGTTCAGCAATGGCTAGAGGGAAGATTCATGACATATTGAGCGACGTGCCGCATGGAGGTAGACGACATATTTGGTTAGCATATAGACGCATATAAATGATAGACTATCGTTAAGTTTAAGCAACGGCACACAGCTTTTACAGTGATATCTGCATATAGCGAAGCAGTCATTTAAACCAGCCTATATCCAAGATGATAGGCGTCTAGACCGAAATCAGCCGCAAAATTTCTCCCATGGAATTATTCTGCTTCGTCCACTGTAGAAAGGAATTTCCAGCGCCAAAAGCAACGCTATCACAGTCCAGGAAAAGTACTAGCGCACCAATCACGTGAAATGCTCACGCGTAGCCCTGACTGGCCAGTGCGCTTCCCCACCCTTAGACCCTAGCGACCGCATAAATAAACCGAACTCTCATCGAAATCCTTTTTCCTTTCCTCTTCTTTTTTTTCCTCATCATCAGTAAGGGTTAAATCTACATCGTCAAATGTTTATTTAATTTTTACGAAGGCTCCGCTACGGCGGCTTGCTGAGGGTTATCATTTTATTCTCTATGGATTTCCTTCCGTTCCCGGCCTCCAATATCGACCGAAAACGCTCTTCCTAATCAGCCGCCGACGCCAGCTTTTCCTGGTTCGCGACTGTGGGGTGTTTCCGACATGCTTACTTCTCATCACCTGTGTAGATCTGTAGTTTTTGCCGCTCTGCGCGCGATTTGCGCGGTGTTTGCGGAGAATTGTAGGACATTGCTTGATTTTGCCAGATAGCTCTTACATATTTGATTTGCATATTTTAAAATGCTTGTGATGAATATGAACATAGGCTCATTTGATGAAAATGACCCAATGATCTGCTTCATGAATCTACATTTGTGCTTTTTGAGGCTGTCGACGACTTCATGACGAATTTAAACCTCGTCGCATCGACCTAGCACCTGAAAAACTTTCATCCTCACGAAATTACGCACAATTAAGAGTTTTGTTGCCTGGAGGTTCGGTGGATTGGCTATCTGTGTGCTACTACTAGAATCTAAATACCAGCACGTTCAGTACTACATCCTCCAATGACCTTATGCGACATCTAATCTAGTAGAGACGCTTGGGGGGAGACATGGTAGCCTTGATGGTCAAGCTACCAACGTTCTGCCAGCCCTTCTTCAACAACGAGACAAGGTAGTTGATAGCCAACATGATGTTGCCGACGAGCTCATCCTCGGTCATGCCGACGTTTCCGACAGCGACACCCATGCAGAGAACCTTCTTCAGCTGGAACTTGATGGTGGACTTGACTTCGTTGATCCTGCCAGTAAGGTCGTCGGAGTGGGAGACGGGCGTAGGGAATTTACCGGCTGGGGATTTACAGTTAGTCTATGGTTCTGCTGTGTAATAAATCGGATTGTACATACCCTTGGACAGACCGGGTCCCAAGAGACGAGGAATCTGCTTGATGAGAGCCTCAGAAGCAACGAAGGCATCGTACTTGCGAGCGAGCTTCTTGATGAGCTTCTTGTTCTTGTTGAGCTTCTTCAAGTCGTCGGCAGACATGGCATCGACACCGCCGTGCTTGGCACGATCGAGATCATGCTGGTCACCCAAGATGCTACATCACAAGTGTTAGTCGCTATTGATTTGCCTGTAGCAGTGGGGTGTAGTACCAGATGCTCATGTTAGGGCGGGGGATGGCAGGCAGCTTGATGGTGCCGGAGAAACGCTTGTCACGCTGAGGGTCATAGTTCTTGAGGCCGATCTGGAGCTCGACAGTCTCAAGGAAGTTGCGCTTCTTAGTGTTGAGGGAGTAATCAAGTAGATCACCGACGTTGGAACGCACTCCGGCTATAGTGGGGTATGAATGTCAGTATATTTCTTTCTTTTCGATTGACGCAGTGGGATTATGAGGATGACTTACCGACTGTGATTTTCGACATGATGACAGTCTTCCAATAGATGGACTCTAATGGTGAGGATTATTGCGTTCGTGGGTGGTGAGAAATTGAGGGGGAAAACGACGATTGCGACGTGTAATGGATTGGGAGGAAATTAAATATTTTTTTTCAATTTTTGACAGTTGCATTTTGCATATTCAAGTTTCGTGGGCTACAAAGAGTGGGGATTGTTAGGTAAGCGATTTCATCGAAGTGACCCCGCATAATTGCTTTGTCATCTTTATGATTTTCCTATGAAAGCCACACGGACTTAACTTATCTCAAGTTCACTCCGTTAACTGATGCTTCTTGAATTTCCTCTCTATACCTCCCTACACATAAAATATCGTCGGCTCTGCAGGCCTATTCCCTCTGGCCAGATACTCATTTAACTTCGGCTAGAAACTCGTCTATGTCGCCTAAATTTAAGATTCCATCGTTGTACGGAATAAGGCTGAGGTACATGAAGTATGTACTACCTATAGGTATGGTGATTGAGTGTGCTTCTCTTCAACTTCACTTCCGAGGATGACGGAATTTCTCTAAATAAGGGCCAACGATCATATCGATTATGTGCTCATCATCCGATGTGCCTGACGCCTTTTGCCTGGTACGGTCCTCAGAACCTGCAACCGCGAGACGGCGTCTGAACGGCCAATCGGGTTGGGGGATTCAAATCCCTGCTTCATCATGGCTCTAGGTCTCTTAAACAAGTCTACGAATCTGTCTTAGAGAGCAATTGGGGACATTTCATTACTACCTACTGTGAAACATGGCTCCGCGCCAATGGATCTTCAAGGTCTACCGGTTGCCGCAAAGCCGGCCTACTGTTGGTACAGACCTCGCACAATTTTGTTTCAATTTATCATTCTTAGATCGGCGCTGAGCTAAATCTGGTAGAGCCCCGACTATCATGACCCTATCATGACCTCTATACATTACCAGAGGCTAGAGAACCCTTAATCTAGTGGCGTTCTTCAATATTAGCCAAAGGCTTCCTGGATTTGAATACTGGCCTAGATATGGTCTACGCCTGACGACGCTGGGTCGCTTAATGGAGTGAATTTGATACGAGCCGCCACCTTTGATGCCGAAAGCGGCACAGTTCTGCAAGAACGCTCGAATACACACTCGTCACCTAATTATTTGTAAACGTCGGGAACCTGCATCATCCACCGTTCTCGAAATGCTACTTGCTGACGAGTTCGTCGCACAGGATTCTGAGTTGGTGAGGTTCGAGTTCTGTTACTGACAAGGGGTTTCTATCAACTGAAGATACCCTGCGGGACAACCCTTATCGATCCAGCAGGAAGCGGATAACGTTGAGGTGAAATTATTTGCATCGCTTCCTTCTACAATGCGACCAATCATCAACGAGCGAGTTACTGTACCTCGGATGCCTTCGGGGGTTGTTGAGATGGCTGCCCACCATTACTGTCTTGCAGATTATCGCTTACTTTTGGCCTACTGGTCGGGTAATATGATGTCGATTCTGCCCAGTCCTATCTAAGATTATGTAAGTTAGGGTGTGATATCACATCTAGAAATCCAAGTCGACGAGATCGTTGAACGGAGGCGGAATGCACCTATGCGGCTCCCCCGCAGGAGTCCTCGAGACATGCTTTACGACCAAGTCTACCCTGCAATCTTTTTTATCTCTTATTCGAGATCCACGTGAATGGATCTTGATTCAAACATCATTTTACAAACACATGAACTAGTCGACGGAATCCACAGTTGGCACTACTTACCAACTACGTTGCTGACTAGTCGAAGGAGGAGCTTTGCCAATAATATGCCATCGTCAGTTTCTCGCTTCTTGATGTCTGATAAGCGCCCCTGGAGTGACATGGGTCTATTCATGCAGGCCACAGGTTACGTGCAGAGATTCTGCCTATCCATCTGCGAGCCCACCATGTTAGGATCTGCCCCCCTTTTGGCCCCCGGGCGGTGGGGGCAGGGGTAATAAGGCTGTCAGTACGAGAAACGTACCGGCGCTCATGGCTACCCTGAGCTGCTTCCAAGTAGCAAGATCTGTCTGGACTGTTCCGACAACCCTATTCGTCACGATCGAGAAGTTCATACGCATGTGGTAACCATCAAACTAGGTGGTGACAACCCCGTATCTACATTTGATAAGTTGGCTCCGAAGTCCTGTCTCATATCTTGAGAATGCAAAACCCGATACTCCACCGGAGGGACAAGATCTTGTGTGCAGTGTGCTAAACTCTTTTCGTTTCCGAAGACTTGGATAGATCGCCATGGTTTGCATAATACATTACCTTATGCTTAACCCCATCTCATCGATCAGTTCGATGCTATAAGCCCCTAGGTACTACTTTCATGTCCAAGCCGGTTGACTTCGAGGTGGCTCGAGTATCGTTCAACGAAGGCAGATAATTCATGTTGCCATGAAACTATTCAACGGCCATAACTCGCAAGGCGTGTCAGGTCTTTCACTTACACATATCTCTAAATTCCGAAATGCAACTTCCGCCCAACTCCGCCACCGAGAGCTGGCCAACGCCGAACTATGTTAACCCGGAAACGAGAGGACATATAGGGATGGCTGTTGGCATTCTACTCGCTGTGATGGTTACGATAATTTTAGCGATTCGATTGTACGCAAGGAAATGGCTGACCCGAGGTTTTGGGCTCGACGATGTCTTCATATTACTTGCATACGTAAGCTAGCACTGCAGCTTTACTTTTCTTTTGCTCTATCATACTAACGCATAAAAGCTTCCTGCTACGGCATATACAATCATCGGTATTGTTGCCGAGCAGAAATTCCATTGGAACCGGCACACTTGGGACCTAGAACTAGAATACTTCGTTCCAGGTTTACAATTAATGTAAGATGCCCTTCACAGTTTAAATGACTTATTAGCTTAACGGTATATTAGACTTGTCAACCAGATACTATTTAATCTGGCAACCAGTTTAACCAAGCTGTCGATACTCGCGCTTCTCCATCGGCTCACATCTGCTTCAGGAGATCGGATGATGACCATCGCTGTTATGGCATCGATAGCAATTATTAGCCTCAACTGCTTCATCTTCATCATAGTCAGCATATTCCAATGCACGTAAGTTTATAAACATAATAAATGCAAAGGAAAATTAAGATCTAACAAATCCTTAAAATTAGGCCTTTATGGGAATTTTGGGAGCTTTCTTCTGGGCCACAAAATTGTATCGATCAGGATGCCCATCTAAGGGCGATTAACCTCATCAACACCCTCACCGACTGGCTCGTCGTACTCCTTCCCCTCAAGACAGCACTCGGATTGAATCTGCCTGCTAGGCAAATTAGCATGGTTATCTTCCTCTTCGGTGTTGGCGTCCTTGCAAGTTCGGCAGGAATTGCGAGATGTTATTTCGCATGGATGTTGACAACTAACTTCGACACTGTCTGGAACAACTGGTCGTCGTGGTTTTGCAGCGCCCTTGAGTTAAATATTGGCATAGTATGTATATGACCTCGTTTACATGCACGGCTTTTGATTAACATATTTTCAAGATATGCGCCTCGATTCCGGCGACGAAACCTTTCTTTTCGAGCTACCTCCCTAACGTATTTGAGACTACGTTTCGACCACATAACTCCATGACTATGGACTGGAATAGGAAATTATTGACACAATCACCATCTCTAACTACCTTCATCGATCAGTCATCTACATCATCGACCTTCCTTCCGCAACACCCCACGCCGCTACTCTCCAACCCTCAACTTGCTAACCTCAATAAACCACTACCCCCTATTGTATCTAATCGACACGTCGATTTAGAAGCGCAACCGGTACCCGTGAATGAATTTGGCCCATATACCCGTTCTATAAAAACATCATTACCCCAGCGGGCTGGTGTAAGATTCAGCGATCCTTGTAGGAATCTGCCACCGAGCAGTTCCCAACCGCAAGATCGAACTACAATATTAATAATGTACCGAGCGGATAACGAGTCGGTGCCTATACAACAAATACCCAGCCGCGCATCATTCGCTTAAATTTACCCGTTCAAATGATTCACATTCCTAATTACTGGGAGGCTACATTTTCTTTTCTCTAATGTCATTGGTAACGGCGTTTTCAGTGGGCATCAACGCAAAACGAATCGTTCTGCAGTTTTACATGGGGCATACTTTAGAGCATGGGTTACAGTTCATTCATTCAACGGCACCGGAATTGCATTTTCACGAGAGCTGGATCAGGGTTCAACTCATCAGGGGAAGGTTGGGATAAACGGTGTTGCTCTGCATCTGGACGGCTTATACGAAGATACCCACTTTCGCTCACCGGAGGCTCATTCGCACTTCGCTAGACACGGCAACTATCATTTCTTCACTACACTTTTTTCCTTCTCTAAATTCCACCATACCAATCATTTGCCTCCGAGCGAAAATCACTCACTCGCCTTCCCAGAACTCATTACTACTTTACCTTGGAGAGGGGGGAGTTTTACTATAGCATAGCGACCTATCTAAGGTGGTAGCGAGGATCACCTTGGGGAAACGCATAGAAACATACATTAAACGTCAATATGTCTTGATCGCCATCCCCGCATGAGATCCCCGATATCTGTCAAATCAACCACATGTCCGTACACACGCCAATCAAACAGCTATAATTAGGTACACATGTATGATGCATGTCTACCGTTTAGTGTAGTAATCGGAATCCAAAGAAAAAAAAGAGGGTGTGTGTAGTTGTAGTTTACTTAAGCTCTACCAAACAATTCCACTCCCGAAGGATTCGATAGTTGAAACAGGATCCGATCTATCTAACAGGAGCCCCTGGATTACCGAACCACCACTACCTTTCCGTGACATTTAAAGTGGGGAGCTGGCTTTTTCGACTTGTTGTCTCCGTTCGGCGCCCCGGTAATGGCGGCAATGTCGTTGTTGAATATAGAGTCGTAGTTTGATGGAGGAAGTAAAGGTCTAGCCCGTTTCTCTCCTTCCTCTCACAGGCGTTGAATTATCGCACTAGAATATGAGAACAGCGACGAACATCGCCGTCTACTACCCATTCGACGCAGAGCGGGCGCGGGGTAAGGAACAGAGGATTCGTGGGCATATCATAGCCTCAAACCAGCGTCCTGATGCGTCGTCTGCTCCTCAAGGGTTACCTTCTGGTGGGTACCGGGACGGGCTCTGGGAATACATCGGGTTGCCTAAAGCAGAACTGTTAATTCCAAGGCTAGGGCCTCGGTGTTGGGTCTCGGTGACCAATGAGTGGAATATGTTGAGGCTCTTTGAGGTATATTCTCGACTTGCAATGGCATAGAGTGCGTTCCATTTCGGTATTCGTTAGCAGTACTACCTTCTTACTTACTTACTTACCTACCTACTCATGTACGATAGGTCGCATATTCTCTACTAGTTTTCCTTAAGTCCCAATAGCTCTATAACCTGTCCATTGTTTCACCACTATCTTGCAATCCTACATTTTCGTAAAGTTAGGGTGGTAACACTTTATACTATCCAAGTCCTGGGAGGCTAACTAGAAAGCCTAAGTCCTGTATCACATTAAGCCCAACAAGAGCTACGGGCTTCTTAGCTCTAGTAATCCGTCATGTTTACCTACCTGGTAGGTAAGTATGTAGATGTTCCAAGACCAAGTCAATCAAATGTTTCAATTAAAGGAGATTAAATATCATACGAGTAATACTGCTCCTCACCAAATCACCCTTAAAGACGCCCGAAACATCAGAGGAATACATCCTCAAATGGAAAGTAAGAACCCTAGTAATAGATACTGTTCACATTTAATGACCTAATCACTAAAAGCATAGGGAAGCATAAGAGTTGACAGAAGTAAGGGAGTTGGGAACAACGGCTGTCACAGATATCGAGGGCGGAGTAGATGTATTTTTCGAGTTCTAATTAAAACAAAGAAAACTATATGATGTCTAAATGTAGCTGTAAATAAGCTAGATGTTCAAAATATCCAATAACCAAATATAAGCTCAAAGTGTCTAGATGCAATCAGATCACCAGCAACAATCAATCAATCCAACAATATCTCTATCGCTGCCTCCTGGTCGCAAGCCAATAACTATCGACTACCTGGTCGATAGTTGCTGCGACATTTCATAGGGCATGGCCGCGCGGGCCGTCACGTCCCTTTCCTCCTTTTCCTCCAAGCGCATATCTATCCTCTCAGGCTCGATGTCCTGGAATCGACTCTTCCCACACACCTCGGCATGTCCATGGTTTTTTCTTAGGTCTCAATCCGGAAAATTTCTACAATCAAATGAGACGTAGCAACCGGTACCTATATCCCTGGGGGTCCAATGCCGGGCTCGGCTCGGAGCGTGGCGGTTTCTTCAAATGAATCCTTAGAGCCTAGCCAGGCTCCGTCACGGTCTCCAGACCGGTGGAAGAAGAAGTAAAAAAGGTTGGAATATGCGCTTGCATATCCTCTGGTCTGTTAAAAATCATCCTTGGTCCTTAGTTTCGATTTTCGCTGCTGGATATCATGTTAGCTAGCTGAACGAGAGATGTTGATTGGGAGGCATATCGTATACGCACGTTCTTCATCTAGCGAGTGTGGTGTCCATGGGATCGTCTGTACGAATCCTGGGTGCTGGTCTTGTTGGAGTGGAGTAGCTTCTGGGAGATCTTTCCCATGGCTGCCAAGTGGTCCCTGGCCTCGGTGATTTGATGCAAGTAGTCAAAAGCATCTGGGACGCTGAATTCTTGCAGGTAGTTCTGCAGGGCCTTGTGGTGCTGGTACCATTCGTCAACCATGGGCTGCTCGGCGGCTCTCATGGCAGCCTCAGCTTGAGCATATCTGGAGGCATGCTTGCGGCTGCTGGTGCTGTCTACGGAGTCCTTGTTCTTGCGCTTTCGGCCCTTGGCCGAGTGTACGGAAGATCCGTGCGCAGAGGGAGGAGATCCACTGACAGCGTTGAGTGAGTTTCCGTTGTCATTGTGGACGCGTCTCATGTGGTCCTTGAGGTTCCACTGGCGAGGGAATCCATTTCCGGGAACAGCGCGGTCACAACCCTCGTATGTGCAGAGGTAGGGCTTGTCGCCGTGACCATGCATAGCGTGAGCCTCTCGTTCATGTCGGAGGAGGCAAGCAGTTGAAGAAAACCGGGCGTTTTCGCACGAGTCAATCTTGCATCGGTATGGCTTCAGGTGCGAGTCGACGAACTTGCTGTATGGTGGTTAGATCTGCAGGCATTTCCAAAGTATGCTCGACTTACTCGTAGTTGCACTTCAGCTTCTCGGGCTTGTGGTTGCAGCTGGACTGGCCCTCCCAAGGGCAGTGGAAAAGTCCGTCGCCCTGTGGGCAGGCGGTCTTATACAGCGGGTGGTCCCGGGCAGAAGACTCACCATCACCGCTGGAGCGGCGAGTGAAAGAAGGAGGCAAGGCAAACATGTCATCCGCCAAAACAACTCCGTTGGGATCCTCTGTAGTCATCATGCCCATCTGGCGATCGAGGCTGATAGCGTTCTCTACGTCAGAGTGTGTCCGAATGTCATTGCGATTAGTTCAACATACCTTGGCGAGATGCCATTTATGATTGGCGAAGAATCGTTAGTCCGCGAGGGAGAAGATTCCATGGGAACGGACCATGCATCCTCAGGGAGACCAGGGGTAGAAAGTCGGGATTCAACGGGGCTCAGCGAGCTCCAGGTAGTAGCAGCGGGTGAGTTTCCTGCGAGGTTGGCCTCAAAGTTCAATTGCATTTGGGTGGGATCGATGTGCTGTTGTCCCATCCCCGGGGTAAGCACAGCAGGAGAGTATGGGAGTCCATCTGTAGGCAAACCTACGCTCATGGGCAGTGTTGGGTAGAACATTTGAGAGGAGACAGAGTGGGCATCCGATTCCTGGAGAAGATATGCGTCCATCTGTGGATTACCTGACAAGTCATAATTCGACATGTGCGAGCCATGAGACATAGAGAGCAACCTTGGGCGGCTCTTCTGTGCTGAGGCTTTGATAGTTCTGTTCTTGTGGCTTCCGGAGGAGCCCCTCGAGCTGATCCGTCGCATGGGCTCTGCGGCGGAAGCTTGGGCTTGCTCCGAAGCGATCCATTTGTTGGTCATGTCATCCACGGCTTCATGTTGGTCCTGTCCTCTGGGAGTAACTTGGCCATATGAAAAATGGAAATCCTCTTCGCCATTGAAGTTCTGTGTTCCTTCTGCTGCATCCCATACTGAACCATGAAGGTCCGCATGTCCCGTTTGAGAGTAAAGAAAAGATCCGCTGGAATTGGCAAGCATGTTTCCTTGGGAATAAGAGCTGTAGTCACTGAGGATTAGGTTAGTGTTCTGTATAACCACTACCTGGCGGTAAAATCACGAAGATGCTCCCAAAATCATGTACAAATGAAATGGCTTCAGCATGGTACAACTTTGTTCCTGTTCCCGCAACATCGGTTAGTCTTACGCACAGTTTTGGTATTTTGGGGAGGGCATTCGTATACAAACCAGAATGAAGTGTCAAGTTAACTAATAATCCGAGGGTTTGGTACCCAGTGACACCATAGCATATATAGTCCCATAAATTGGAAGATCCAGATGGTGAATTTGTAGGCGGCCTTGAGCAGAACGATGCAAAAAGAAAATAAAGCAAAAAAGAGAAACCGAAAAGCAGAACGGTACAAAAATGAAATCCGGGTAGATAGAATCCTGAAAGTTCCAAGTCGAATTGACTGTCAGAGCACAGACGGTTGATATGTTAGTCCACGAACACGCGATCAATCAGGTTGAAGCCGATCGAGTCGACACACATGGCATACGTACTGCTGTCGGGAAGGCAATGAGACGCGCAAACCCGGTGTCGACAAGACCGTCCTCTGGAAAATTGGCTAGGTGTACCTCGGGGATCCAGGCAAAGCGGCACAACTATACTGCTCCTCAGGAAAGGGTTGAAGTTCCGGAATATCATAGGCGAGTTTGATCACAGTCGAAATGCCGTATATCCTATTTGGGTGCACGCAATCAAGTCTGAGCTCCTAGGTATGACAAGTCTAAGTCTTGCCCTACACGACTACTGGATGTGTGAAGCAACACAGCAGAAACGAGGGAAGCACCGCTTGCGGGGGGTCCGGAAAAGTCGTGTTGTAAATCCATAGTCCGTAGGTGAAGAACATAAACAAGAGAAAATCCATGGGTCCGCGATAAGAAAATCCTAAGCAAAGTCCGTCAAGTTCGTAGATCAAGTCACAACGGATCCGCGGGCTGGCTCTCTTCCTAGTCTGAAAACAAAGCAATACTTGTCACTGGTATCCGGTAGAGTCTATCCTGGAGTTGCTGTTGTCACTCTTTTCTCTGCGCGGGCGATACTTACTGTTTCGACGTTGAATATCTGATAATTTCTTTGATGATCCATCTGAGAGACGTGGAGTGGTCAAACACGGACAGAAGCCCGTGCTGCTTGCTTGTGAAGCTAAGCCTCAGAAAAAGTCCTGAGGATTGAAAATCCGGGGAAGATTGACCTGGTGTCCTTCTGGGTTCCATTTCCTTGAAAGGTCCTGTTCCGGA